AATTTTTCTTATTATTTTCCTTCATCCAATAATCAAAAACTGATAAGAATGTAGGAATAACTGGAATGTGGTAATACTTATTCTTGTTTTCATGCCCTATGTTTTTAAATTATAAAGACCTTGAGACCAAGTTGTCTTTCTCTTGAATTGAGCTCAGATAATAGTATATTTAATTCATTTCGTTTTTCAAGTAATAAAATTGTTTAAGTCACTCGTGAGCTAAGGAACAACTCTATTCAAACAGAATTATTCTCAGTTAGAATTGTTTTCTTCCTTGGTACACCAATTGATTTCTTTAAAATAGCAAAACAATTTTCCATGTAAGACATTGTAATTATAAGTATTGAGTTTACCAATAGAAGCTCTGCAAAGAGTTTTGCCATGTACTAATGACAGTCTGCCTCTGCTAGAGCCTGTCCCCCACTTTCTGTGTGATCTTAAACAAATTATTTAACTTTCCTGACCCTCAATTTCCAGATGATAGCTTTTTTATAGAATCATTGTGAGGAATAAATGAGTTACCACATATAAAGGGCTTAGACCAGTGCCTGTACATACTAAATGCTCAATTAATGGTATGCTAAAATTTTTCTCAGCCATTTTTTGCAAGCAAGTTAGAAGTTGACATTATAGTTTCATTCAGCATTATGCTACTGATACCCAGGTTATATGTTCTATTCCTACATTTGCTATTTCATTTTATTCTGTTAATATTCAGCCAAATGTGTAGTAACACAAATTAGGGTAACACTTAGTTTCCACAGTGATTTCACAATACAGCATGTCTTTTAAATTTCCCTCATTTATAAAGGAAAAAGGCTCAGAATCAGTAAGTGACTTGCATAAGGCATAACTAATAAAGCAATTCAGGATACCAGCCCAAGCTTTTTTACTCTTAGCCTAGTGTTCCTTCCATTACACCCTACCTGGCCCTAAGAAAAATGAGCCAAAAGAATGAATAGACCAAACAAATTTAATGACTATATGTTTACATGGAATTTAAGAAATCACGTAGATCCCACTTTTTGTGTATTGACACATTAATCACTGAAATAAAATATTAAGATATTAACAAATTATTAGGATAAAATTGTTTAGTTATTATTTTATAATGGCTTACTTGGCTGAAAGTTGTTATAGCACTAAAATAATCTACTCATTCATTAAATATTTATCAGCACCTTTTATTTACCTGGCACTATACTAGGTGCTAGGGACACAATGGTATTTAAATCAAACATGATATGGTCTAGGATATCACAGAGCTTACAGGAAAAGAAAGTTAACAAGTGATTTAAATAAAGTCAATTGAGTGCCATGACAGAAGATGTACAAGATGCTAATGTAAGTATACAGGTTGGGTAACTAGTCCAGTCATTTATGACAATAACAATAATTTGTAATAATTAAGATAATGTTGATTTTTTTTTTCTGAGTAGCTGAAGCCTCTGTTTATTTATTTTAAGAGACAGGGTCTCACTCTGTCACCCAGGCTGGAGTGCAGTGGTACAATCCTACCTTACTGCAACCTTGAACTCCTGGGCCCAAGGGGATTCTCCTGCCTAAGCCTCTTGGGTATCTGCAAATATAGGTGGGCACCCCACGCCTGGTTAATATTTTTAGAGAGGGGGTCTCATTATGTTGACCAAACTGGTCTCAAACTCCTAGCCTCAAGATATCCTCCTGCCTCACCAAGTAGCTGGGATTACAGGTGTGAGCCCTCATGCCTGGCTAGAGCCTCTGTTTAATAAAGTTGTACATAGGCCGGGCGCGGTGGCTCACGCCTGTAATCCTAGCTCTCTGGGAGGCCGAGGCGGGTGGATTGCTCGAGGTCAGGAGTTCGAAACCAGCCTGAGCAAGAGCAAGACCCCGTCTCTACTATAAATAGAAAGAAACTAATTGGCCAACTAATATACATAGAAAAAATTAGCCGGGCATGGTGGCTCATGCCTGTAGTCCCAGCTACTTGGGAGGCTGAGACAGAAGGATCGCTTGAGCCCAGGAGTTTGAGGTTGCTGTGAGCTAGGTTGATGCCATGGCACTCACTCTAGCCTGGGCAACAAAGTGAGACTCTGTCTCAAAAAAAAAAAAAAAAAGTTGTACATAAATATACGATTTTCTTCCAGTTAGCCTACCTACCTCTTGACCCCATCACAAATATAAAACCTACCAAAAAGAAATTTATCTTTTGAATTCCTACTCTGATCTTTTTTCTTCAGAAAGTTTTATTATAAAATCATTAAAATATGTGGTATTAAGTCCTTACACTATTTCATTCATATCCACTTGATCATAATATTTAAATCCCCAAGTAAAACCAGAAATATAAAAAACTTCAACTTCCATTGTTTTATAGTTCCTGTAGTAGAGAGAACCACTTGCATATTGTTGTTTTCTAAAATTAAATGTGATAAAATCTCTTTCACCAACAAAATGAAATAAAATATTACATTCTAATAGGCTGGGTAACCACAAGATGACAAATGTGTTCACACTGAGAGAGCAGTATGACTGCAATGTACAACAGATTGCCTCATAATGGACTAGAAATAGGACTCCAGATTCCTTAATTGCACTACTGGCAATTTCATGTGTAAAGTGATAAAAACCAACCAACAAACAAAAAAACACTTATATTTCCTTTCCCATTATTCTGTAATAAAATAATAAAAATTCATAAGATATTGGGAAATATGAACATTTAAAATGATACAGAATAGATAACATTGCATTTCATTTTTAAAAAACAAAGCAAGGAACTGAATCTGTGATTTTTAAGATCGGAAAAGTCAACTTCAGGAATGACTTTTAGCTCAGGCAGAAATCAAGAGTATGAAATAGCAATAATGTTCATATGACAGATGAAGGTGTGATTTGATCTGAGCCACAGAAAGAGAAGACAAAGAAAAGTGGTTTACATTAAATAAATCAAAAAGTTAACTTTATAAATTAAGAGAATCAAGACTGGAATAAATTTCCTAAAAACAAAGAAACTTCTCTGATGGAGGAAAAAAGTTAAGTCTTAAGTGAACAACATTAACTAGTAAATTGATCCTGACACAGAAGATGTCTCAGGAAATTAAATAGGAATTAAAAACTGAATTTGGTTAGAATCAAATAAATCAGAAAATATGATGTAAAATTCACAAATTGTATAACTTTTATTAAACACAACTAACACTTTACTCATATTTATGTTTGGCTTCTAAAAATCCTTTGTGGAATTAGAAAAGATATAGATAAAAATTTAATATTTAGCAGTTAATCAAAATTTTATTGTGAGTTAAGTAACAAATTAAAATTTAAGGCAAATTTTCCCAAATATTTCTATGTGTAATTCATACTTTGATTTATTAAAATAGCATATAAGAGCTACATTTAAATCTGTAGTGTGCATACACACATATATATACATAAGAGTTACCTAAATACAAAGAAAAAAATTTTGACACTATCTTTAAATTTCCCCATGGTTTTAGCAATTTGTAACAATAGAACTTATCTCTTTTTTGCTGCTATTCTCCAAATGGAACATGCAACCTCAAATCATTTTTGAAGAGGTATTTCCTAAATAACTTAGTAAATTTTATTTTTTTTAATTTTTATTTATTTATTTTTGAGACAGAGTCTCACTCTGTTACCCCAGCTAGAGTGCCATGGCATCAGCCTAGCTCACAGCAACCTCAAACTCCTGGGCTCAAGCCATCCTCCTGCCTCAGCCTCCCGAGTAGCTGGGACTACAGGCATGCGTCACCATGTCCGGCTAATTTTGTTCTATTTTTAGTACAGATGGGGTCTCACTCTTACTCAGGCTGGTCTCAAACTGAGCTCAAATGTTCCACACGCCTCAGCCTCCCAGAGTGTTAGGATTACAGGCGTGAGCCACCGGGCCCAGCCATAAATCTTATTTTTTTAAAAACTATCTTTTCCAATCAGCCCAAATTTGTCAAATATTAATACCCAGGCTATATTAAATAAATTAAATTGTGACTATAGTTCTAAAATTTTTTAAAGTACTTATTTGAAATGTATGACTTATAAGGGTTTATTAACTAAGACTCCCATTACGAATAACCACATATTTCCTATAATTTACTTTTTATATCTTTCTAGTTATCAATATTAAATTTTACTTAACTAGAGGTCTACTCAAATATGCCAAATAAGAGAAAGATTGAAATTATAGAGTAAATTCATAGAACTTCTGGAAACATTTTATTTACATTTCATTTCAGTCAAGTACTCATTTTCCAAATCTATAAGGCCATCTGTGTCAAGTTCAAAATTTTTACTATTATTTGGAAAACTAATTTTTAAAAATGAATGAAGAACATTTCAACACATCGTGATGAAATGCACAAATTTAAAATGTTACATAAAACAGCAAAATACATGTATACGACAACACTGAATATACTTTATTTAAAACACCAAGTAATTAAAATGGGTAAAAATGACATAGTAAAATAAAAGTTTTTCAAAACTCATCGAACATACAATGCCATAGATTCTAATATATACAAACTAGGAAATAAATCATCATCTGTCATTAATGGGAAGATATGCACATGTTCAAAATATTCATAATTTTACGTCAGACAAATAAAACACTGCATGGGGGAATGTGTCTTTTATATTTAGTCTCTTTAGAGGCGTTTTAAATTCCGCTTACTCTGGGCACTTCCTGGGAGAGCATCTTTTCTAGTTCTTGACTTTGCTGCTTCTCTACTACATTCTTCAGACCCATGATAAGCACACAAACATAACACACAAAAGTCAAAACCACAGGCTGTGCGGCTACACAGTCCCCTTTTCTTATATGGCTGGTACTTAGCAGGGGATTGGCACCTTGGGCAAGGTTTTAACGCTTCATCAATAAAAAGTGTTTTGGCAACCTGCAGTGAAAGCATATACACTAAATCTTCTGGTTTCATATACAGAAGAGCTTTATTTCAAACTCTGTAAATATTTATTTCTAATAACTTATGATAAATACTCACCTTAACATATTCTTCCTGTTTACTACTTAAGGGAGTAGCAGAAGAGCTTGCTAACGGTGTCAAAACTTCTCCCCAGGGAGATAATGTTGACACTTGCTCTTTCTGAGAACTGGATGTCCTAGCCTGTGCTTGCACAGATCTTAAAGCTGAGCGATTTAAAAGATGGAGCCGAGTGGCAGCATCCTCCACATTTAATACAGCCCCCTGTGGTAAAAGACAAGAAGAGTCAATAGCTTTCTGATGCACATGGATTAAATGCTTAGAAGTGGTTTTATACCACCAGAATATTCTTCCTAGACCATTCCTTTTTAGGGAAAAAAATATTTTTTCCATCTCACATTTAAAAGTCAAAGAACTATAAAAAGGAAAAATTAAAACAATAAATTCTAGCTCTAAGTTTCCATGATTGGTTATTTTTCCAATTATTTTAAGTAAACGTTTCCATGAACAGCATTGTGAAAAAATATTAAAAAATTAAAAAGAAAAAAATATACAAAAAAAGAAAAAAAACTTTTTAAAAAAAAGAAAAAATAATAAGTAAACGTTTCCTGAAAAGGGCTAGATAGCATGTAACTATTTTAGACTTTGCAGGCCATATAGTTGCAGCTACTCAACTCTGTGGTCCTGGAGAAAGCACTGTAGACAAGAAGTAAACAAAAGAGTGGGGCTATGTTCCAATGAAGCTTACTTTAAAAACATTGGGAGTGGACAAGTCTTGGCCTATAGACCACAGTATACAACCCCTGTGTTAAGCCAAGCTCTAAGAAGTGAATCTTTTGAAAGTTTGCTATAGGATATTATGAAATTCTCTGAAGATTTCTTACCTTAGCCACATGTCACAAGAACAATGGGACTGGTTAGAAGCCCAATTACTTCTGGCTGATTTTTGCAAATAAGTGGTGCTGATTCATTTCTACAGTTAAATTTTCAACAGCTTTGATATTATAAAAGGAGAAAAAAATCTTTCTCATCTGAACTGGATTGCCACATTACTCAAATATTCAGTCAAGAAATATGTTAATTAGATTGATTCTGATAATCATTTCACAATATATACATATATCAAAAGCATCATGTTTTACACCTTAAATATATATAATTTTTGTCAATTATACCTGAATAAAGCTGGAAAATATAAAAATAATTAAAAATTAAAAGAAACATGTTCAATGAGTAATCCTCATAGTCTATTTTGTTAAGGTTGGTAATGGGGAAAAAATAGTAAGTTTTTAAAAAACAGATTGGCATTCTTAACCAATTATCAAAATAAAATGTACTATGGCCTGTAAACCCAGCTACCCATGAAGCTGAGGCAGGAGGATCAACTGAGACTAAGGGTTCAAGACCAGCCTGGGCAACATAGCAAGGCCCTGCCTCTAAAACAATGAAAAAAAAATTAGCTGGGTATAGTGGCATGCACCTGTAGTCCTAACTGCTTGGGAAACTGAGGTGGGAGGATTGCTTAAGCCCAGGAGTTCAAGGCTGGAGTGACCTATGATCATACCACTGCATTCCTGTGCAGCAGAGTGAGACTCCCCCTTAAAAAAATAAGTACTACTGGTGAATTTCCTTACATGTTCAACTTTAATTATGTTTCCTCTCCCTTGATCATCTCCCTTTGCCACAATTGGCTCCTAACTGTGGAAAGAGCTAAAGCATGAGAAATTACAGTAGGGTAAGTATAGGAGATGAGGATCTTAAAAAATCACATCATTCATAGTTTAAAAATATATGCATATGTGTAATGAATAAATGTTGGTCTTCAGAAATTAGAATGAATACCAATTGAACATATTGAACATGCTGAATTTACCAATTATCTCGAGGACTTAATACATCTCTTTATTTTTTTTTTTTCTATTCTATGGTATTTTGTTAAACATCTCTTTATTCTACATTTGTATAAATGATTTCCAGCCTAGGCCACAGTGCATGTCCTAAGAACACACTAAAAGGAGAATATCTACTAGGTTTCAACGTAGTTGGTAAATACAGTGACTATGCATGCACCAAAAAAATGAAGAAAGATATGATGTTGAAGCAAATTTCAGCCACAGAAGAAACATTCATTCACTTAACAAATATTTATAGGACAATGAATAGATGTCAAGTGAGTAAAACAGTCTAAACCCTGCCCTCATGAAGCTTAAAACATGTGCTATAATACTATCTCTGAACAGGAGGCAAAGCAGTCAACAAACGCACACATTCAAGAGTGCCAAAAATTTTCACAATATAGTTATCATCACATTATCAGAAAATATTTAAATGTGAGGGTGGAGTCATCTGGTGGCTATTCATTTCCACAAATATGAAAGAACAATGAAGAATAAATTAAGAAATTCAATAGAAAAGGTGTGATATTCTAATTCTTTTTTTTTTAGTTTAGTACTTTTTTTTATAGCGTATTATGGAGGTACAAGTGTTAAGGTTACATATATTGCCCATGCCCCCCTCCCCCCTCTAATTCTAATGCTCATTCTCACTGTTTCAAAGAAAACAGATAAAGTTTAGATCCTATTACACATATCTGTTCTGTGCCTGATCAGAAGCTTTCAGTAACACTACACGAGTGTGAGGAAAACCATCAAACACCTTCCTTTTATAATTTTTTTGTTTTGGTAATGATCCATTGGTATAGCTCAGGGAGAAAGCAACCAGTCCATATTGTAAAAGGAAGGCAAAGGGCCCCAGGAAGGAGGTCACTGAGAAACAGAATAAACAGGTAGAATACCTGATTTGTTTGCACTCACACAGAGGAGACTTTCAGTTCTGGTGGATAATGGGAGATGAATCAGGGATCTGTATGGAGAAACACTAAGAAGAATAAAAAGAAAAGAAAGAAAGCAAGGGAGGGAGGGAGGAAAGGAGGGAGGGAGGAAGGGAGGAAGGAAGGGAGGAATGGAGGGAGGGAGGGAGGGAGGGAAAGAAAAGAAAGAAAAAGAAAGAAAAGCTAGACAATTATTAACTCTGAAAAAAAGTTATACAGGAATGAATGTGTAATGTACAACATGCTGCAGCTGCAAAAAAGTAATAATAATCTCAACAAAGTCTTATTCATGTCAGCCCTAATTCTGATTCACTATCAAATAGTGGTGTAATTATAGTCATAAGATAAAAGAAAGGAATTCGGGGAGTGGGGGGTTAGGTAGGTAGTGGTAGTAGTGATGAAAGGTTAGAGAACTAACCTAATCCCTATATAGAAAAAAATAAGGAAATAGCAGTAAAAGCCGATTAGGTAGAAATATGGAGGTAAATACTAGAAGAAACAACTAAAGCATTGGAAGTGATTGCCTTGATTGGGAAAGAATTGAGAGCATGAAGAGAGAGCACAGGAGAATGGTAGGTTTTGTTATAAATGTCCAATTTGACTTTTTAAAACATATACTTGTATTACTTTTTTTTTTTTTTTTTTTTGAGACAGAGTCTCGCTTGTTGCCCAGGCTAGAGTGCTGTGGCATCAGCCTAGATCACAGCAACCTCAAACTCCTGGGCTCAAGTAATCCTCCTGCCTCAGCCTCCTGAGTAGCTGGGACTACAGGCATGTGCCACCATACCCGGCTAATTTTTTCTATATATATTAGTTGGCCAATTAATTTCTTTCTATTTCTAGGAGAGACGGGGTCTCACTCTTGCTCAGGCTGGTCTTGAACTCCTGAGCTCAAAGGACCCTCCTGCCTCGGCCTCCCATGGTGCTAGGATTACAGGCGTGAGACACTGCACCCGGCCTATACTTGTATTACTTTTTTAAAAGTTTTGAAAAGCAAAACAAAATAATAAAAAGAGTTTAAGAAAGGAAAAAAAGTATAGTTCTTTAAGAAACCAAGTATTTTAAAAAAACAATGCCTATAATATGAGGGTAGAATATTTTATCTGGAATTACCTGAAGGTGATGTGCTGACACAGCCACATGTTTCTTCCTTAGAGGAGCTAAGGAACATATGGAGCCAAACATTTAAATTTTAATGATGCTTGCTTAAAAAACTGTTTTTTAAGTCTGTCCCCAGCATGTAGGGCAGCATTCTAAAAAGGTATATTAAGAAGGCAATTAATATCTTCACTGTTATTAGGTTATTAAGTATGAAATATCTGATTTCCTTAAGTACTAACTTTGACAGTTGACATCTCTGATATTTCATTTTGACACTTCTACTTTTATTTCATTGTGAAGGTACAGTCTTTCAAATGCATGTTTTGGCTTGTGAATATCTTTCAAAATCTTTTTAGAGCAATTTTGTGAAACCATGTAAAAAAAATTGTGTTATTTTCAAATACAAGTTCTGTTGTGGAACCAATACAGCACAGAGCTCAAGATATCAACGAAGTGTTGGGGAAGGATGTGGCTAATGAACACATAAGTACATCGATGGTTTGAGAAGTTCCATTCTGGTGATTTTAATCTTGAAAATGAGCCATGTGGGCAACCTGACACCAAGGTGGATAATGATGAGCTGAAAGCTGTAGTGGAAGCAAATCCATTCAACCGACGCATGAATTAGCAGCAAGGTTTGATGTTACTATTCCAACAATATGGGCCATTTGAAACAAATTGGCAAGGTAAAAAAGCTGGATAGATGGGTTCCAGGTGAATTAAACAAGCATCAGAAGAGAAATTGTCTCAAGCTTGCTTTTCTTTGCTGTCACAACACAAAGACAAACCATTTCTACACCGTATTGTTATGTGTGATGAAAAATGAATTCTTTTTGACAATCGCAAGCATTCAGCACGCTGGTTGGATAAAGATGAAGTGGGGAACCATGGTCCAAAACTGAATATTTATCAAAAAAAGCGAATGGTGACTGTTTGGTGGTCCAGCGCTGGTATTGTCCACTACAGCTTCATGAAACCCGGTCAGTCAATTACAGAGGATGTCTACTGCAACCAATTGGATGAAATGATGAGGATGCCTGTGATTAAGCAGCCGAGATTGGTCAATAGAGACAGGCCAATCCTCTTGCGAGAGAACACTCGACCACATGTCACACAAAGAACGCTGCTCAAACTACAGCAGCTGGACTTGGAAACTCTCTGTCATCGACTATGTTTACCAGACCTTGCACCAACTGACTACCACTCCATCCAGGCTTTGGATCACTTCTTGTAAGGAAAAATATTCAATTCTCAACAAGCTGTGGAAAATGCCTTTTATGATTTCATCACCACTTGCTCTCCATGCTTCTTGGCTGCTGACATAAACAAGCTACCATTAAGAAGACAAAACTGTGTCGATAGTTTGGGTGCATACTTTGATTAATTGTACTGCTTCTTGTTTGAGATATAATAAACTAAACTTTTGATTTAAAATCAGACATTTCACATTCAATGACCTAATATAATCTCCCAGAGCCAGCAGCTGCAGCAGCAGCTGCAGGAGCTCTGAATAAATGAGAAGGTAAAACTTTTCTTCAGAATAAAAAAGAAAGTCAAAGTTTTAGTTAACAGCAATCCCTAATATTTCATTGTAATGAGAAACCTACCAGTCTATATCTAGGTGTTCATATTTATTTCTGTTATACTTCATCTCAATTATTATATTTAGTCAAATTAGAAATTTACTTATAGTATGTTATTAAATAGTTTTTAGTACAACAAGAATAAGATAGAGAACTCATAGAGTCTCTTTTGGCTGAAAAGTTAAATCTACAATGAAACAGGGATTATTAGAGTCATCAGAAGCCTGTTACACAAAGTAGTGCGTCTGGGAAGAATTCATCAGGTCCTGTAAGACTTTTCTTGTTTAAAGCCAGATCTCAAATCCTCAAGTGAATACAGGAACAAATAGCAGGTATAAATCTGCTATGCTTTCTCACCTACAGGCCTGTATATGCTATTCCCTCTTTCCCGTCTTCTTCACCTGGCCATCTGCTAACTCATTGTTCAAGTCTCAGCTGAGATACACTTCCCTTGATTCCCAAGTAAACACTCCTTTGAATCCAATAAAACTCTGAGCTTTCTCTAACACACCTGTATTGTAGTCATTTGTTTACTTGTATTTCCCCCAGGGTATGAGCTCCAAGAGGACAGGGACCATGTCAGAAATGTTCACCATTCTAATCTAAGCAACTGGCACAGTTACTGGCATGTAATATCCACTCAAAAAACTGGATAAAAATGTTATCAGGGCATCTAATTATGAATAAGATCCAGCATATCATTGGTATTCAAATGCCACTAACAGCATCAAAACCCAACAAGATATTCTTGATGCTAGGTAGTCTATTCCACTTAAAGACTAGGTGAAAATGAAGTTTGGGAAAAGTAAAGAGTTTTTGAGTGAATGTCTGCTAAATGCAAAAGCTTAAAAGATAGCAGGAATACCAAATTAGGTTGTCTAGCAATATGGGATTATTACATATTTATAAAAATCCATTTTAGAAAAGTATTATATGCATTACCTCAGAATCTTTTTTCAGTTGTATGATGTAAAATTTCCTTCTCCGATTTGCTCTCTTATCTTGAACGACAATTTCACGCCAATTTCTGCTTACTTTCCAAACACTATAACAAAAAGATCAGTCCTTATATTGTATATATTCCATAAGATTAACATTTTTTTGTATTTGGTAACTAATAAGAAAAACTTGTTTTAAAGATTTGGGGCAGTAAATTTAAACCTAAAACTTTAGATTAAAAATATGACCTTGCTGTGCATAATCAATGCTAAAAAATATTTTTTAAAATAAAAATATGACTTGGTCAACATTATTGTTCCATATTGAGTTACCATATGAAAGAATTACTATTAAAATATTAAGTATATGCTAGCATTACATTGAGAGATGACTATTTTATAAATGGTCATGTAAAGCCAATGTGGGTCTACTGGGAGACTGGTTAAGAGGATTTAACTTCAAATGTGACATTAAGATAAAAAATTTGGAACATGATATGCAGCAAATGATTATCCTTTGCAGCACAAGAGGTTTTACCAATTTCTATTACTCTGTTTAACAAATCTGTCATTTTGATTAAATAAATGTGAGAACAATTAATCCTTCATTGGCAGTACTAAGTGCCAAATCATAAATACTATTATGGGTAGCACTGCAAAGTTCCTATTTTATTAACTAAAGTTTCTGAGGAGGAAGCAGCTAAGAAAAGACATAATTTTTGTCCAGTGACTGCTTATTTATCAATAACTTTGACTATAGTAATTGTTAAAGAAAAAGTAATCCTCAACTATTAATCTAGTCTTTTTAATTACTCTGCTTAACAAATCACTCGAAGAGAATAAGGTGAGGGATAAGAAGACCAAAAAAAAAGAAGTCACTTGTTATGGAGGGCCCCAGGTAATGCTTTGAGTTGTCAACACTACTATTCTTCCAGCTGAAATATGTGCCTTATCTCAGGGGGAAGGAGAGGAATAGGCAGAAAGTCACCCATTAATGGGGAAGAAATGAACTATATAATTGGGTATTGCCACAAATATTTCAATTGACCATCAACTCTCACATTACCAAGAATGGCACTGGTAACACAGATACACATCCTGCAGTGCACATGCTGTAAGTTTTAAGTTTGGAGGGATGGCCAGGAGAGGTAATTGTAGAAATATGACTGAATATCAACTGCTAGCACAAATGACCACCCAAAAGTGTCACCTGATTTTTTATATTTACTGATCCATATCCAATATAAAATAACATTCCTGTATCTCAGCCATCTCCTTAATTTTTTAAAACAAATAACTTATCTTTTGAACATTTTTAAAAGGCATACACCTATGAATGCACTAATCTATTTATTATCCTATTTGGGTTACACCACATATATTCCTGATCAACTCTATTGTAAAAGGCCTTAAACTTTATTAAGAGTTTGTGGAAAAATACTGGATTAGAAGTTCAAGAGCTCAATTGTAGCCTAGATCTATTCCTATCTCTTTGAGTGACTGTTGGCAGGTCACTTAACTTCTGGGTCTCAAGTTTTCTCATCTGTAAAACATATGATTGAACTAGATATCTCAGATTTCCAGCTATGGAATTCTATAATTCTCTACAATAGCCTATAATTAATGTATGGAAGAAAGGTGAAGACGGGCTTTAATAGAAGTAGTGGCCATAAAAACAAGAACTCTATGAACCAAACTCTTTGACATATACCCATCAACATCTCCTCCAACCATCACCTTGCAGAAATCCTATTCCACATGACTTCCCTCCTTCCTGGCCGTGGCATTTCCAAGGTTCTTGTCTTCTGATAGCTCTGCAACTCCCCCAAATTGCCAGCATGAACACAGTCTCATTTTAGTATTTGTAATCCCACTTCCCACCCTCAATGCTCCTAAATGTCTTAGTCTTTCTTTAATTATGTTGCAGCATTCAATCTACTGGAATATCTGGGGACACAGTTTTTAAATTCTTGAAATTCCCCTAAGTAATTAACTTTCACTGCTGTGTTAGCCATGAAAATAAAATAATCCACATTTCTTTGGTCTCTGGAAAGACCAAACCCTAAAATGAAAGCTAACCATTGTTCTTGGATTCTAGAACTTAAATAATTAAATGGTATCCTTTGTATGTTGTCATTTCTCAGTTACCACAATGTTTTACATTATTTCTGACCAAGTGTCATAACTTTAACACAATCTGCAATCTGACAATAGGATTTGAAGTATTAAATAAATCATTAAGCAACTTCCATGCAATAAAGCTGGCCATCATGAAAATTTAAAGTTCAACTTTTAGTAACTCTCTTTCCAAATGACAGTGATAAGAACTTTACTCAAAAAAAGACTATATTATTGCTACTAAGGCAGACTTTTAAATAGAAGGAACTATACTAACAAACTCTGTTTGGAAGTTCACTTAAACCATCTTTGATATAGTATAAGACAATCAGAGACAGAGATAATAGAACAAAACAAACAAACAAAAGAACAGGACCACCACTCGAGTCACAGAAAAACATCCCAACTTAAAAAAACATAAGTTTTATTTCATAAGCAACTTTTATTTCTTACCTGCATAGGCTTTCTGCAGTCAAGGAATCTAAAACCATAGCAAGAATATGCTGTAAATTTCTATATTTTAATTCTGTTAAGATGTCTAGCTTTTCTAAACCCATTTTCTTGCCAATCAGTCCTGCAAGTAAACACTGCAGTACAGCTATTTTCCCCCCATCCCTTTCTTCTAAGAATTCGTGTGCACTGTTTTGCAGAAACCTTTTCCTTTTACTTTTCATAAAGAGCTCATGCACCAATTGCAAGGCTGGGGTCTTCGATAAATTCTTAAAGCTTAAAGTCAAATCCCCACTCTTATCACTGCTCAGCTGACTCTCTGAGAGGTCAGAAGCAGCTGCTGGTCTTGCTTCTGAGTTGGAGCCGACGGTCTGCTTTTCCTCTTCTGTCTCTGACTGTGAGCCTTGCTCCCGAAGGGTGGACAGTCTTCTTGTCCTTACAAGATGCCTTGACTTTCTTATGGTGTCCCCCACTTTCAGAGTTCCCTTATGTTTCTGAAGCAGCTCATGAAAAGAACCCTCTTGGTCAGAGAGGGAATCTTCTGATTTATCCAAGCTAAGTGAGTTAAAACCACTGTCTTCAGGAGTTGAAATATTGCCTCTCACTTCAGTTGAAGGAAAAGGTGCTTGACTCGCATTAAATTTAATGTTTGCTACAAGATTACTTACTGGAGTCACAAATATGTCTTCACCTGTTCCACAAGTTGTTCCACTAATAGAGGAGCCCAGAAGTTCGTGATATGTATTCTCGTCACTAATGCATAAACTGCTATCGCTAAAGTCATGTATGATAGAGTCTTTAAAATCACTGCCCTGAATTGGAGATATACATTCAACTTCAAATAGGCTATCATCTTTGGAATTATCTACTGTGGAAGTCTTTTGTTGAGAAAAATTAAGTCTCAATTTTTGACTATTTGAAGTCACTTCTTCTGTTTTTAAAGTACTCATAACTAAAGAGCTAAAGTAATTTTGCCTTGGAACACCTGAAGCACTGCTTGTAACATTTTTTTCTAAATTAAGAACTTGGCTTACACTACTTTCTAAAGAACTATTTTGTGATTCAGAGTCCCCCTTTAGAAGAGAGAAGGCTACATCCAACCTTCTTCGTGGTAAGTATTTTTTCCCACTGATTTTAGGAGTTTCCCAAAGTTCTGAAGTTTTATCCTTTTCCTTCCTAGAGAAGAGAAATTTCTTTTGTGGAGTGGGAGACTCTAAAGGATGTGGTAAGCTCAGGCCTGAAGTTTCAGGATGCTCATGGATTAATGTTGGGCCTTTTTCTTTCTTTCTAAAATATTCGTTTTCTGTATTATCAAAGCTGTAAGATTTTAACTCATTATAGGCACTATCTTGAAATGAAGATGTGGAGAAGTCTCTGAAGTTGCAGTACTTAAAACTGACAGTAGGAGAGTCCACCTCATTTCCGCCTCCAGTGCTAGCTTGACCCAAGTGCCTTTGTGACATCTTCAAAATCTCTGTTTCTATAAAGCGAAAAGAAATTTATTCTTTTATTGGATGAGTAGCCAGGCAGCTTACACCAAAATACATGATTTGTTAGGAATACAGATAATAATGGAAAATTGTATGGCAATTTTAAAAAGTTACTTTAAAAAACCAAATCTACTTCACAATGAACCGATGTGTATCCTACTTAAAACAACTTCTTAACATCATAAAACCATTTTCAGGTTATAAATGCTCACAGATCACTTGACTTAACCCATAGTAAGTATCATGCACAAATTTTTTGAACTACTCTTAAGAAAAACAACTTAACAGCATCATTTTTGGATTATTTTATTACCTTATGATGACTTTAACAGAACTAAAGTATATGAACTTAGTTTTAATATTCTAGCATATATATGCTAGTCTATTTCTTTTAAAAGTTCTGGGATGTAAATAAAACTACTTAAAAAACACTATATGCTACTTTTTAAACATGACTTTGGGAAATATGTCCAACTATGAGTGCTGCTACTAGATCTAACTGCAACAGGCTGAACTCCAGGGTAATGTTGTTCATACATATAACATAGACCTGTTGCAGAAATCTAGTCCCCATGACCATTCACAAGGTCTGAATTCCCAGACTTATATCTTTACAAAGACTCTAAATTACAGACACATTCTTCTTGAGCTAACCAAAATAAACCACTGCACCCTAGATATAGGGCCATATCAAACTTGGCATGTTGTACTCATTCATATTTCAGTTTCTAAATATTTTGAGACATAAGGCCCAGTTGCTGGCTTGAATTCACAGATAATAGGCAACTATTTGTGGGAAAACCACCCTTTATAATATTCCCTTTTTTTTAAACAATAGAGACCCTGTTCTTGCATATAATATTCTTGAAGTTGCAAATAAAGAATTCAACTCAATTACTAAAAGAAGAACAGTTACTTGGCAATTATTTGAGTAAGGAATATCAGTAGGAAATATTTTACTCCTTAACCTTTTGAACAGTATCATCATATTCCTTCTTTTTAGAAATCTGAATTAAATCTTAACTCAATAAAGCTAAGAAAAGAAACTTATTATACTTTTGATATTTCTCCAGATTATTCTTTGAGGCACTTGGAAAATTGTCATTCCTTCAAAGTTTTCTCCAGGCTAAATGGCACAAATTTTCTCTATTAAAAGATCCTTGGGGCCGGGCGAGGTGGCTCACTCCTGTAATCCTAGCTCTTGGGAGGCCGAGGCGGGCGGATTGCTCAAGGTCAGGAGTTCAAAACCAGCCTGAGCAAGAGCGAGACCCCGTCTCTACTATAAATAGAAAGAAATTAATTGGGCAACTGATATATATATAAAAAAATTAGCCGGGCATGGTGGCGCATGCCTGTAGTCCCAGATACTGGGGAGGCTGAGGCAGAAGGATCGCTCGAGCCCAGGAGTTTGAGGTTGCTGTGCGCTAGGCTGACGTCACGGCACTCACTCTAGCCTGGACAACAAAGCGAGACTCTGTCTCAAAAAAAAAAAAAAAAAAAAAGATCCTTGGAAGATATATTTTAGTTGACTGTAATGGAATAGTAATTTATTTAAATCTAAGCTACATCAGTTAAATATGTGAGTGAATGAGCTTTGTTACAAAAGCAAATTGCTACTTGTAAACACAAAATTATTTCTTTATGGTATAATGATCATTAGAATATCATTTTTGCTGTGAAAAATATCCAAGTGTTTTTTAACCTTTTAAGCTTATACTCCTTTGTGATAAATCTCACACATGACCTCTTCCATGATACATTCTCTCAGGTCATTCTCTCAGGTCTCTAACTTCTTCACATGCTCATGAGCCATGATTATCAAACTCTGCTTTCTAGAATTTGTATTATATTTTAAAACAATTTTTGATCTCCAAATATTAAATTAATAAGGATGTGTTTTAAAATTACATCTCCACCCACGAACTGTTTCCACCCCTGAGAATCATTCTATTATGTAACAGCTTTCACTCAATTTGATAAAATTAGGTTTGAGTCCTTTTAAAGTTAAAACATATGTAACTATTCCTCCACTTCACCACTAGGTGTCTCACCATGCTGGAAATTGGGAAAACTGAAAGGCAAGTTATTAGAAACAAATTGGAATCCCCTTCTCCTAAAGTCCACAGATTACTTATTATGAACAGAAAAAATATAGAGCTTTTTTCTGTTCATCTACACATTTGAAGTTGCCTCTAACGTGCTTTCTATCCTGTCATTTTCATCTTTCGACTACACCAAGGCATTGGTCTCAAAACGTAATGTTGTAAGATTACTCATGTGAAATCACGGGCTTATTTTAATGACTCAACAGTTTACTGATGAATCAAACAAGTCTCTTCGATATTCACTTTTTAAAACCAGGCTCCAGACAGTGGGCTGAGAAAACTTATCTGCAAAATGCTCTCTTTAAAGAGAGAAAAAGCACCTATCGAATCAGAGGGTGAAATGACGTCATTTAACTGTGTTACAACCAAATTTCCTTCACTTGTTAAAGGGAAAAATCTTACCATCAGCAAATGTCGAGCTACTAGACGTCAAAGTTATGTAGGACTCCACACAAGACAATCTCTCATCTTTGCCTTTAAAATTCATGCCAGAGAAAGGCCACCTAAAAACTTTAGTTGGAACAATTAATTAAAACGCGCAGCAGCAGCACGGTGAAACCTGAAAGTTGAAGGGAACGAGGAGCACATTGCTGCAGGGATTATTTTTAACACTGGAAAAGGCCTAAATCGTTCTGAATTTCCTCAGCCCTCCAGAGACAGCAGTACTCTCAATATCCTTGTTTTCTCCAACTAGTCTCAGAAATGAGTCAATTTCCCAAATTCGGGCTCCTGGAAGGGCAGTGCGGGCTGCAGCGCTGTGGTGCACTGGGCGAGGTGCTATCCCGGGCGGGTGGGTAACGGCCTCACCGGCGTGGAGATCCGCTCGGCCCCCCGCGACCCTCCCCGGGCCGGGCCGGGCCGGCGCAGGCGGCTGGGGCGGCGGACGGTGGGAGGCACCTGGCGCGCAGGGAGCGGGGAAGCACAGGGCTGCCGTGCGCCTCCTGAGTCCCGGCACCTGGAAAACACAGTGGGGCGCGGGGTCGGGGACCTGGACGCCCAGAGGCCGGCTGCGGAGCTCAGAGCCGGTGTCCCCCCTCCCGCCCACCCGGAGGCCCCGGCAGGGCGCGTCTGGGGCTCGGAGCCAGGCAGCCGCTGCTGGGTGCGCCGGGGAGGAGCCTCGGCCTCGCCCCCAGGGATGCCCGGCTATGGCAACCCCCACGCCGGCTCCGCGCAGGCCGCCGCGCTTCCCTCCTTCGGTTTGAACTGCCCGCCTCGAGTAACCGCTACGCCCCGCCCCGCGCCGCGCCGCCCCTGCCCCGCCCCGCCGCGCCGCGCCCGCCGCCCGCAGGCCCTGGCCTCGCTCTGCCTCTCGCTCTCCCCTTCCACCGGCTGGAGCACTCAAGGACTTCCTAGTTTCTTTTGGTTTTGTTTTTTTGTGTTTTTTTGGAAACAGAGTCTCACTGTGTTGCCCAGGCTAGAGTGCCGTGGAGTCAGCCTAGCTCACAGCAACCTCAAACTCCTGGGCTCAAGCAATCCTCCTGCCTCAGCCTCCTGAGTAGCTGGGACTACAGGCATGCGCCACCATGCCTGGCTAATTTTTTTTTATTTTCTGTATATTTTTAGCTGTCCAAGTAATTTCTTTCTATTTTGAGTAGAGACGGGTCTCACTCTTGCTCAGGCTGGTCTCCAACTCATGAGCTCAAACGATCCGCCCGCCTCGGCCTCCCAGAGTGCTAGGATTACAGGCGTGAGCCACCTCGCTGGCCATGGACTTCCTAGTTTGAAAGGCTCTTCCTCTCCCGTTCCTCACTCTGGGAAGCATTATTTGTATTTAGAAAGGCTAATACGTCCCACAGAGGCACGCCATTAGAAATAATGTAGGCGAATATTTGCTTGAAAATGTTTCTCCAACCTACCGGGTGTAAAAAGCAGGTTACAAATTGAATGGCTCCTTCTAGGTGAAAAGTGTAGATATACACAGGATAAGGTCTGAAAGGTATGAATATCTTGGTTGCACTATCTTTGGACAGGATTATGTTTGTTTTTCAGTTGTCTTTTTGTCTGTATTTTCTTCTCATATTTCTACAATGAATATATATGGATTTTGTGTATATATGTAAAAGAAAAAGGCATTAATAAAAAACAGACTGAAATGTGTTCATTGTTTACAAACATCCCCTTTTTGGCACCACAAACACCCAAATATCTTCAATGCCAGATTCATTTTTAAACCCTAATTTTTATCCAATCAATATTTACTGAGCTATATATGCCAGGCACAGTCTTTTATGCTCTTGCCATCTTCTTCCCTAGTCTCCTTTTTCTGGCTTCTTTTCCTCAGCCTATTCCTTAAATGAGATGTCCCACCTCAGCATTTTTCTTAGTTTATCATCCCTTGCTTATATAGTTCTCATTCAGGTCTTCAACCATAACTTTTAAGCCAGTAACGGTTCCCACCACCACTCTCCTCTGATGGCATTTCTCTATATGGAAATTCCTTGGTCATCTAAAATCGAACTCATTAACAATTATTAAGTTCCAACAACATGCCAATTATTGGGCTAGGTACTAGATATACAAAGGTGAGGAAGGCACAGTTACTGTCATTAAGGGGCTCATTGGTACAGTGCAAGGACTAAAACAGAGGAACAGTAGTAGCACAAAGGAAAGAGGAACCTGCTAAGCTCACTAGAGAAGAAGGTGCAGCGCTAACTTCATAATGACGATTTTGATGGACAAGTGGCAATTTAAAAGGCAGACAACAGAGAATTCCAAACTTAAAACAAAATGTAGAAGAGCAGGAAAATTCTGGACTCAAAACAAATTGTGCAAGAGCAGTTGGGCACATTAGAGAAACTGCAAATAATTTGTTATAGCTGGAAGCTAAGACTTAGTGGAAGAAAAGGCATGAGAAAATTCTTGAGAAATGAAGAAAAAAAGTCTTAGAGAGTTTTGGATACATGTTAAGAGTCGGAAGTTTATCCTCTAGGTAATGCAGAGCATTTTAGAAAGGCCACTCCGGTGGTATAATGGAGAAGAAAATGAAGAGAGGTGAGGGTGGCTGCAGGGAGACCACTAGGAAGCTACTGCATCTCCCCAGTAGATAGTGGAAGTGGAGAAGAACCTGAACTGGACATATTCAGTTGGCAGAATCAATTGTATGTGGCAAGGAGTGACGAGTACAGGCTTGAGAGAAAACAAGATGAATTTAGGGAGAGATTGTTAAGTCTAAGGTACCTGTAGCACTTAGGTAAGGAATTCGTTAATTACACATTCTTCAAGACAGCACCTCTCTGAAGCCTACCACACACTCCTGGGAAAAACAAATCTCTATTACAGCCATTTTGCCCATCCCTGCCCAGTATTTGCAATCCTTCTGCTGAATCCTGCTGAATTTTCTCTGCATAATCTATTACCTTCTAAAATCCCATCTTATCTACTTATTTAATGTCTGTTCCCCATCCCCATCTCATTGTTAACAGGGCAGGGAGTGTTGCCTATGGTTAAATAAAATCCACATAATTCCAAAACACCATTTAAACATTGCCCTTTTCTTTTTTTTCCCCTAGTTTATTTTTCTTGAGTTCTTTTATTACAGTGGAAAAGTAAAAGAGTATATCATAATTCCTTTATTTATTTATTGAGACAGAGTCTCACTTTGTTGCCCAGGCTAGAGTGAGTGCCGTGGCGTCAGCCTAGCTCACAGCAACCTCAAACTCCTGGGTTCGAGCAATCCTACTGCCTCAGCCTCCCAAGTAGCTGGGACTACAGGTATGTGCCACCATGCCCGGCTAATATATACATATATACATATATATATATATATTAGTTGGCCAATTAATTTCTTTCTATTTATAGTAGGGACAGAGTCTCACTCTTGCTCAGGCTGGTTTTGAACTCCTGACCTTGAGCAATCTGCCCGCCCCGGCCTCCCAGACTGCTAGGATTACAAGCATGAGCCACCGCACCGGCCATAATTCCTTTATATTGTTCAAGGAAGAATAATTTTCACCCCCTCTGCTCCCAAAAGGGAAAAAGGCACCTGGTTATATATGCAGCTTACCCTGAGCTTTATTTATATACTCCAGATTTAAACCACTGAGATATATTTTCACATTCTTTATCCACCACAGACTTTTGCCGTTTTTATTTCCTTTCTTGGATTGGGTGTCATACCATCATTGACTTCAGAATTCTAAAACCATCGACTTTCCACAAGGTTTAATGCTTCTTTGTAGAACCATCCAATAAAACATGATGGAAGATTTTCCCAATTACCATAACATTCAAGCTATGCAGATATACTTAAGTGAATATGATTAAGGAAAAAGGAAAGACAGATATTCAAGGGAAAAGTAGTAACTTGCATCTCCATAACCATATTATAAGGAGTTAAAAGTGCTATTGTCCAGGATGTCGAAACAACTACCCCCATTTGGAGAGAGTAATGCAGTGATTTCTGGCATCTAGTATAGTGCTCAAGAAATGTTAGTTAATGTTATCATTAATTAATAGGGTTGCTTACACTGAGCATGCTCTATAGGGATCCTAAAACTATAGGTTTCTGGTGATAGGAAAGAGAGTGTTATATTGGCAACTAGCACCACTATGAACTCTTGTTGAAATTCTGGATCTCCTTGCTATGACTTGTCATTTACCCTGCCTCTCTGTAGGGTTCCAGAATCTATTTGTATTCTACATATGTTGATCCATTCTGATCTCTGTAGATTGTTCTGTGCCAGAATCATCTCGGTATTTCAACCAGAGAGTTAAAATCCAAGACAGCTTGCAAATATGAAAGTTGCACTTTTGGGATCACTCCATTATATTTTGACAACAGTGGTTCTATCTAATACTTCTTGTAGGAAAGACTATTTTGACTCTTGTATTGCATTACGTCTTTGGTTGAAAGGACAGGTACTTTGTAACAGGGCTGATGATCAAAATATCTATGTTCTGTATATCTGTGGAAGAAGAAGCTGGGAACTGCTGTTTCCCTGGAAATTTTTAAATTGGCATATAGGAAGACTGGAAAGATCAAGTCTCTCAAGCTGGTCTGTGGAGATGCAACCACAGTTTGAACTCCTGGAAGTGAATGGTGAAGCTCAAAGTCCTCAGGTTGCTGGGTGGAGGACCAGAAAGGAGTGTAGCCTGCTTTACAAGATACCAAAGACATAGTGCATGTTGGGAGAATGCAAGCTTGCTTCTCCGAATAATTTTATAATAGTTATCAACAACTGTTTATTTTTGAATTTCAATGACTTTATCTTTTTCACCTACGTTTAATATAAGGAAAATGCCTGCTGTAAGAAAAGTAAACAAGTATAAACGTTCTGAACCGAACTGATTTATCTCACTGAAATTTTGATCTTTGAAAGAACGCAGCACTTCCACTGAGCAGAACGTTTTGTTTTTCTATGGAGGAATACATGGAACAGAGGGGAGGGTCAGTAGACAGCTGAAGCTTAGCTTAAAATCCCTTAGCTTTAAGTGGGAGTTGTTGACGTAGCTACCCTCAAGCTAGGCTTTGCTTTAAAACGAGTAAAAGGATTGAGAGAGAGGGATGACAGGAGCCTAGAAGAGAAACGGCCAGAAAGCAAAAACGAAATCACGGAAAGGCTAGGAAGCGGCTGCCGCATTGCCTCAGCACAGGTACCAAACAATTTGAAAAACATAATTTGGAAAGTGTTTTTCTACGTGAAAATCATTAGTGGAGTCGATTCTTCCATATTCGTCGCTAGCCTAGGATTCCACGGGCACTTTGTCATAGCGGTTTCTCTTCTAACCTCTGCCCTTCCGGAAAAGTATTACTTTCAACTAACTTCGTTAGCTGACGACAAAACTGCACTTGAGACCGCAAAGTCTAACATACAAAAGCACCGGCTTGCTCGCCTTTGCCCAATCCAAGGTCCCGGCTACTCCCAGGGCGGAAGGGGCGGAGACTCTACTGTGCGTCATATGCTAGCGCCGGAAGTTGGCAACGACACAGCTTCAAACCGGGTTTTCTTTGGAATCGCGGTGAGAAAAGTTTCTCTGTGCTGCGTAGGTAGGGAATTGGTGGCTTGGGATTCGTGCGTGGGTATTTGGGCCAAAACTGGAAAGACGCTTGGGGTTAAAAAGGTCGAGTGTGGAGTTAGAATTGGGGGGGGCTGGAGTCTACAATGTGGGTTACAGTTGGGTGGGATTGGAGATAGCGTCCATGCTGCCAGCTTTTCCTTGTTTAGCCGCTAGGAATTATTTTTTTTTTTCACCTTCGGTTAGCCTGTTCTGTTGAGAGAGAGAATTTTTTTTTGCTATCTCTGGCCAAAGTTTGGAAAAATAGAACTTGCTAAATAAGAATGCGAGCCCTGCAGTTATATCTGAATCCCTTTTGCCTCTTAAACTGAGTAATCCTGCAGAGATTAACGTCTTTAAGCCTCGGTATCTTCATCTATAATATAAGAATGATATTTCCTAAGATTGTTGTGAAGTTTATAGTGAAATAACATGTATAAAGTATTTATTATTGTGTCCAGTTTGGGATAAAAGCTCAATACTTGTATGTTTGAATGTATTTCATCCTTTAGACCTAATCCATAGGGTTTAGGAAAAAGTACAGATTAGGAATTGGGACCTTTTTAGCCTTTCCTGAAAAAAATGGAGACTGGATTTGTGAGAAGCCCCTTTGAGATATTCAATATTTGAATCTGTGATTTTAGGGACTAACAATGGACACCCAGAAGGACGTTCAGCCACCAAAGCAGCAGCCAATGATATATATCTGTGGAGGTATGAGTAGCACTTACATAAAGTAAGAGTATTTTACTTTAGTTTTTTTGAAATTATTACATTTATCCTTTGTTTAAATTAGTTAATTGATATTCAGAGTTATAAAGTAGAATACTTTAGCAACTACTTTTTAAAAAACTTCTTGTTAAGATATCATTTTCTCTCCTGGGAAAAGAGCATTGCCTACAACTATTTTCATTCCTACCAAATATATTTAGTAATAGCAGCACACCCTTGATATTGAGTGTGTTTCAGTGCTTTGGGTCGCCTTGGGTGAAAAATATAGTTAAGATAATTTGCTTGTCTGTAATATTTTTTATAGGCATTGAGTAAATGTGTTTTCTTTTCTAGAATGTCACACAGAAAATGAAATAAAATCCAGGGATCCGATCAGATGCAGAGAATGTGGATACAGAATAATGTACAAGAAAAGGACTAAAAGATGTATCCTTTCAACTATGCTTTCTAAATATGAGGTAGGAGAAAATGAAGGATGATGCTAGGGTTGATAAATACAAATTTCTGGTAAAAATGGATTACAGTATGTATTTTAAAAATAAACACGATTTAGTGTTTTCATGCATCCATGTATAGGTTCTAAATAATCTAAATACTAGTTGATTTTGATTCTTACAAGTTTATTTTTCAGGGATTCTGTACAGTCCTGCTTAAGGACAGGGACACATTCTGAGAAATCAGCCTTAGGTGATTTCATTGTTCTTATACAAACCTACCTGGCATATAGCCTACTACACACTTTTGCTATGTGGTATAGCCTGTTGTTTCTAGGCTACAAACCTGCATGGCATGTTATTGTACTGAATACTATAGGCAGTTGTAACACAATGCTAAGTATTTGTATACCTAAACAAAAAAGTACAGCAAAAATGCAGTGTAATCTTATAGAGACCACTGTTGTATTTGTATATGCAGTCTGGTTTTGGCCAAAATGTCCTTCTGTAGTGTGTAACTATTTATTATATTCTTGAGCTTGAGTTTATGGCCAAACTAAATTATATTGGGGGAAATTAAAATATTGTGTATACTACCTAATGGGAAAATGTAGGGCCACAAATTAGTATAAATACTGAGAGTAAATTGTTATGTGGTAACAGTTTTAAAACTCAACAAATTACTCCCTTTAACATTGCTTCAGTGTTTTTTGATGCATTGATCTTTTGTATCATGGAAGAGGTAATAAAAATTGAAATAGTTGTTTTAGTTCATCTATAGTTGTCATAGTAAATAGTAAATCCCATTCTTTTGTGCATTTTAAACTAAATAACAAACTAGCTTATTACAAAGAGAAGGTGATTTGGAAGTGTGAAATCTTATATATAATTTTTAAGTACTTTTGTTGTCCTTAACTCAGTTTAATACAGTGGTGGTTTTTGATGCCAGATGAAACCTGTGAATTCAGAGGATCGTCTTCATTTGTATTTGCCCCATTAATGTTTCTCATTATTGTATAACTTTTGGTTAAAAATACAGTAATACTCCCCACTTACCCTCAGGGGATATGTTCCAAGATCCCCAGTGGATACCTGAAACCTCAAATAGTACCAAACCCTACATATGCTGTGTTTTTTCTATATGTATGTACCTATGGTAAAATTTAATTTATAAATTAAGCACAGTAAGAGATTAACAACAATAATAAAATAGAACAATTATAACAATATACTGTAATAAAGTTATGTGAACGTGACTGATTTCTGTCAAAATATGGTATTATACTGTACCCACCTATTCGGGAACTGTGATTGATCATCAGTAACTGAAACTACAGAAAATGAAACTGGATAAGGGGGGACTGCTGTACTTATGAATACAACTATATACATATTTTGTTTTTAAAACCATATTGTATTTACGTATCAATATTTTGTATAAAGAAAGTTTTTGTTCAATTACATGATTTTTAATTTTATTGTATATGTAATCTGACACACAATAAAGGTTAAAAGTGCTTCCCCAAACCACACTTTTCTTTTTTTGAGACAGAGTCTCACTTTGTTGCCCAGGCTAGAGTGAGTGCCGTGGCATCAGCCTGACTCACAGCAACCTCAATCTCCGGGGCTCAGCGATCCTACTGCCTCACCCTCCCGAGTAGCTGGGACTACAGGCATGCACCACCATGCCCGGCTCATTTTTTGTATATATATTTTTAGTTGGTCAATTAATTTATTTCTATTTTTGGTAGAGATGGGGTCTCGCTCAGGCTGGTTTCGAACTCCTGACCTTGAGCAATCCGCCCGCCTCCCAAAGTGCTAGGATTACAGGCATGAGCCACCACGCCCGGCCGTAAACCACACTTTTAATCAAAACCTAAGTCATCTGCTGTCCTTGTTAAAAATGCAGATTTCTAGAGCCCTCTGAAGATCTGATTATAAAAGTTCCTTGGAAACCACTGTTCTTTGTCACCACCTGTTATTAACTATAGTGTCATTTCATACAGAGTATATCAGTTCACTTGCTTTCAATCTGCATACATCATTTGAATTCGGTTTTTAATTTATTACTTGGTATAATCCTTCCTGTATTTTCTATATAATGCTTGACTATTTTTTAAATCTTGCAAGAGGGAAGGGAAATTTAAATGGTTGCTTTCTGTAAGGCAAAATCAACCCCCAGCAAAAGTGGATGAAGCAGGCTATTCAGGTACAATTTCCCCCAGGTGTAATCATTGAGGTCAACAATTCTGCTTTTAGGATATAAGAATAGGGATTGATTTACACTGAATTATTGGATAAATGTTTAAATTGTTTGCCTTGATCTTAGGGATGGGAATTGATGGTCACACTTACATTCTGTTCTAAGATTCTACAGTTAAAGGTTATGTTGGCCTCCCTAACAAAAGATTAGATATATTCTAGTTTTATTACTATGTCTGATATTCCAAAAATTATCCTTGACTTTTTTTAAAAACACCTGTATTTCTACTACCATCTTCATATACTAAATTCTATAAATTTATTATATGTTATATGAAGTGCTACCTAACTCAGATTTTTAAAGAGTGCTTCCTTGGTCTAGGTTTTCCTTTCCATGGTTTTCATAATTTTATAATTTTGCTTTTGAACTTGTCCTTTTTAGACATGGGAGTACCAATATATGATATATCTTTATGACAGTCACCTAAACAGGTAAATCCCAGCTCATTGGATAATGTAGTTCTCTTAACTCCTCTAATTTCAACATAGGTCCTTTGCATATCAGTAGTTTAATTGAATATTGTTATTCAGCTAACTGGACAGACCAACTTAACAGAAAAAGTATTACTGGAACTCACTGCTTTCAGTCAGCCTTTTTTTTGTGCTCCCTTCACTTATAAACTGGATGTATTTTTACTTCTTGCGTTCCTGGACAGTTTTAAGGAAAAATTGCTATAAAATTGTTTTTTAAATATTTTGAATAGTGCTTTATCAATATGAAAATTTATAAACTTGAGCTTACAGTTAGCACATAACTTGTCCATTAATAACTAACTATGGACATACTGAAAACCATGCCCATGTCCATGGAAACAGCACTCAATGGAGATTGGTTCAAATCCTGCCCTGCTATTCAGTGACTAGCCAATTTACTTCATTTCTTTTAACTTCAGCTCTGTTATCAAAGTGGAGGAATTGATTGTCAGTACATGGAGGTAACAGTACTTTAAGACAGAGATTGGAGTTTTGAAAAATTCAAAAATGGATGAAATCAGAAATAAGTAGGTGTATAGGGGTAGCTGAAAAGGTATAAAAACAAGTTGCTTCCTCATAACTGCACATATGTCCCCTCCCCTCCTAGAATAATTTCTATGTAGAAAATTAGCCAAGGTGGAGTGGTTATTATAACAAATGACTGATGAATGAGAACATTACTGAAATAGGGGGGAAAGCTTGTGTAAAAACTCTGGGATGGAAAGTGAGCTTGTCTTGTTCCCACTTCAGAATGAAGCCCACATGACTCAAAACTTCAGGAACTAGGGGGCAGTAAGAGGAGATGAGCTTGCAAAGGTGGGCAGAGGTCAGCACTCTTAGGGTCTTGTGATGGGAATACATTGAGACAGCAAGCAGGAGAGTGACTTGGTTTAAGACAAAAAATTACTCAGGCTGTTGTGTGGCATGGACTGTATAGAGACTGGTGGCAGCTGGGAAACCAGTTAAGGCCAATGATAATGGTGGCTGGGCCAGGGCAGCAGCAGGTAAGAAGTAGCTGGTTGTGAGATATGTTTTGAAGTTGAGCCAATAGTACTTACTGATGAATTGGCTAGTAATTAAGAGCTCAGGGCCGGGCGCGGTGGCTCACACCTATAATTCTACCACTCTGGGAGGCCGAGGCGGGTGGATCGTTTGAGCTCAGGAGTTCGAGACCAGCCTTGCTTGTTCACAAACTGTGTGTAATTTAAATGCAAAAGGGGAAGAGAAATAACATTTATTGGACCGGTACGTGCTAGGCACTGTACTAGGTCCTTTGTGTTCATCATCTATTTTAACTAGTCTGAACTTATAAAACTGAAGTAAAGTTCCTGACAAATGATCGCTATTGTTTTAATTATCCGAATTGTATTGTTTTATTCACCTTTGTATCCCTGCGCCTACTACAGTGCCTAACTCATAACCAGCACTCAGAAAATGTGGAATGCATGAAAAGGAAGAGGGAATCTTGACTTTCATTTACTCTTTTGTTTAAAATGTAAGAGGTTAGTAAATCCAAGTTCCAATGCACTCTGCATTTTTAACTACGTTTTTACAGTCAAGTAGGAGTAGGTAATCAGTTTACTAGCAGGGAGTACGAACTCCAAGATACCAGAATAGTGACAGCGTCTTAACTCATTCTACAGCAAATTGAAACTCAAAGGAGAGGACACTTCAAGGATTCTTCCCAAGTAGTGCTAGGTCTGGGCGAAGGTGGGTGAGTAGAAGCTGGGGCCCGGGAGGCCAATCAGTGGGATGGCAGGTCCAGGGGCGGCCAGTCACCCCGCGGATGGCCTAGTCTCCGCCTCCGGCCGACAGCCGGGCCTAGGCGACAGCCCCGCCCCTCCCCGCCCCCAGCACCTGCAGCGCCGCGGGCCAAGGTGTGGCGGCCGGTTCTCCTCGGGGCGCGGGGCTGAGAACAGGTGAGTGCTTGCGTGTGCCCGCGGGCCGGGAAGAAGACACGTCTCGGGTCGCAGTCCCGCTCTGCGGGGGCGAAAGACAGAGGCGGAGGAGCAAAGGCACCGACGGACTCAGGTGACAGGGAGCGTGCTGTGGGATGAACGACCTTCCAGGGCGTGGAAAACAAACCCGGGGCTTTTCGGGCCGCGGCGGGCGGTGGCGGATGGGGGGGCGCGGTCGCAGTGGCGGAGTCCGCGGGGTCTACCGGCGGCAGTCAGCCCTAGTGACCAAGGCCGGGTGTGGGGAGCGATTTCAGACGGTTGCGGCTGTCGGCAGAGCTGCCGGCTCCCGGCTCCCGGCCAGCGCCTGAGCCCGCGGGCCGCGCTGTACATAGAAACCGTTGCTACGGCGGGGGATGCCATTTCCTTTCGCGCTCCGGCCGCAGGGGGGCGCTCGGCCTGTGCAAGCTGGAAGGAGGGTCCCTCGGTGGGAGAGACCCAGGCTTTCGCGTTACTAGTCCCTAGCCCTGTGCGCTGGAGGTAATGCTGATAAACCGACTAGGAACTATGGTAATGCTGATAAACCGACTAGGAACTATGCGCAGTGCATGTGGATCAGGATGGTAGAGAACAAATTTTTTTAAATCCCCCTAGGACTGAAGTTGTCCTAATTAGAGACCAAGACTTTGCAAACAGAGGTGAAAGAGTTCTAAAGAGAGCAAATAAAGTATTGTATAACTTGTTTTTTGAAACTTGAGAATTAACATTTAGTGATTTTGAGGATGTGTATCCTACAAAAAAAATAAAAGCATGGTTAATGAAATTCATTTGATTAGATAATAGATGGCTCCATCATTTCGTTTTATTATATTTTATTCAAATCATAAAATCTCAGGGGTTGCAAGATACCTTCAATTCAAGGTAATCTATTTTAATCGCATTACATGAAAAATGTCTCCAACCAAAGATCCTCCAGCTTGTTGGAAAAATTCTTCTAAGGCAACCCATTCTATTCTGGGCAGCATCAATAATTTACAAGTTCTTCATCTTGCCTTCCTGTAACTTCCACCCTTAAGGTTATTCTTGTGATTGGAGCCGTTCATCAATGAGCCTTGCCGGTATGGTGTGAAAGTCACATCTAATTTCTCAGCTGGATTTCATCTGAAAGCTGAAGAATTGTCATCTATAATATATTCTAGATCCAAATCAAAGCCAGCAGGAATATGGAGGAGAAGCTTACAGAGTGTCCTCATTTTCTGCAGAGGTCTGATGACCAGTTTTCCAGAGGGCAGTCATGGTGAAAGGAATACACTTGTATGAATTAGACCCATTTCTCCTTCTTGTTTTTAAAATTATCACCCAATCGATTCTAGTGCAGTGTTTTGTCTTTTTTTTAAACTTTGGCAGTGACCCACACTAAGAAATATAGTTTATTTTGCAACTTTGTGCATTTATATACACACATAATTTCCATTTATATAGACATGAAATAAAAGTTTGTATAAAACAATATTTAATGTTATATGCTAGGTAATCTATTTTTTATTCTACTCTATCTCTTAAAATAATGCTGATTGCAATTCACTAAATTGATTTCATGGGTTGCTACCTCAGATTGAAAAGCACTGTTATTTCCATCAGTCCATTGCCAGAGGAGTGCTAAAAAAGAAAAAAAAAAGAAAAGCACTGATATTAATATACTGGTTAAGTATATGGGCTCAGTAGTTAGCCTCCTGAGATTTATATCTTCAGTTCACTTGTCAACTTTTTCATCTGTAAAATGAGAATAATTATTAATATCTTTTATGAGAGTGGTTTTGAAGATTAAGTGTGCCATCTATGGCACATGGTGATTTAACTCCATAATATTGACTGTTATCACTACTCTCTACTTAAAACCTACCTGATACAGTAGTTGAAGGATTAAAGGAAGTAATCTATGTAAAGCACTTAAAATGATGCCCAACATGCATTAAGCACTATTATTATTATGATCATCATTACCAACAGTATCATTAGAGTAAAACTCTCCAAGGGCTCCTTATTCCCAATTCAATTCAGCAAGTCTTTCTTAAGGGGTATAAGGCACTATGTATTATATTAGTCCTGGAGCTATGAGGATAAATAAAGTGAGATCTCTCACAGTCTAGAACGGAACACAAAGAGGCATAATTAAAATATGTGCTACATGCTATGAGAGAGGTCTGTATAGAGTACTGTTAGAACACAGTTCTGAGATCTGTTCGTTGATGGCAGAGTGGGAGGGAGTGTAAGGAGGCAGGAAATGGGAAAGAGGGCAATGTGAAGGAAAGTTATAGAAAAGGCTGGGCACGGCGGTGCATGCCTATAGATAGTTCCAGCTTACTTGGGAGGCTGAGGCAGGAGGATCACTTGAGCCCAGGAGTGTAAGACCAGCTTAGGCAGTACAAAAACCAAAAACAAACAAACAAAAAAACCCAAACGCAGAAAAAAAAGGATGTTATTTATGTTTGTGCTGAATCACAAAGGATGACTGGGATGTTAACAAACAGCTAAAGTAGAAGTAGGTCGTTCAAAATTAATATTAAAAGATACCTTAAAAAGCAGTTATAGCTTTACATGAATTTCAGTTTGGGAAAAAGAAAATAAAGAAAAAATTAAAAGATAAAAAAAAGAAAAACAAAAAAAGTAAATAAAAAGCAGTTATAGCATCAAAACCTGCTTTGTTATTGTATTCCAGCTTTGCTTAAGTGAAGATTAATTGAGATAATTCATACATGGCACATAGTAATTTAACTTCATAAATATTAACTGTTGTTATCAGGGAGAGAGAATATAGTAGTCTTCCTCCTTGGAAAAAACACTCCATCTCCTTTTCTATAGACATACTTAGGTGGTTATTACCATCCAAATTAGGTATTATATATATTAGGTTTGTGATTGTTTTCTATACTGTATTTCAGCCATGACTGCTAAAGAACATCCATCATTGTGGGGCTTTGGAACAACAAAAACATTTAAAATTCCCATTGAGCATTTGGATTTCAAGTATATTAAAAAATGTTCAGACGTTAAACACCTGGAAAAAATTCTCTGTGTGCTCAGGTAAGCATTTCAAAACCATTTCGTGTTTCAGTGTGCCAGTTTAATTATCTTGTTGGCTTCTAAAAGTGGAAGCCACATTAGAAACATTGGAGAAGGGGTAGACAGAGAAAAGACCATGTGAGGACACAGCAAGAAGTGCTGGCATCTGCAAGCCAGGAGGAAAGACCTCAGGAGAAACCAACCCTTCTAGCACCTTGATCATGGACCTCCATCTTCCAGAACTGCGAGAAAATTAATTTCTATAGTTTAAGCCAAGAAAAAAAATATATTGGAGAAAATTTTCAAATATTAAGATAGTTGTTTTTGCCCATGTATGGTAGGTTCCAAAGTAGTGGTTATGATCCTCTGGTTATTAAATAGTTTGGAGAGTTCTGTCTAGGTCTACTTTCAGCCTAAGACTTAGGTTAATTAGCATCCAAGAGTGCATTTTTCTTGCCGCTTCCATGTTTCCTAGGAAAAGGTAAAGTAGCTGTGAAAGTAGCCCTTATGAGGTAAGGTTACCTCACCAGCCTGTGCTGATAAAGCTCTTTGGCACTTTCCCACCTCATGTCATCTGACAGCAAAGGAGGATGACTCACTGCAAACTGATCACATGGAGGATGGTGGAGAGGCCTGGATATAATATTAGAAGGTAGGAGTTGAGGGCCTTTTCAAGGGAGAGCCCCATGGTGGTGACTGTCAAACTTTAATAGGTGTCAAATGTAGTTATTTAAAGTTGCAAATTTGAGGGCCCTATTCCCAGAGACTCTGCTTCAGGAAATCTGGGGTAAGCAGACTGACAGGAACCCACTTCAATAAACACTGCCTTGTGGGGTACCAACATGTAACACCTCTTTTCTTTCCTCTGAACTTCTTCCTTGTCACTGTGTTCTTTCCCTTTTCTCTTTCATCACCTTTAGCCTCCTGTCCTTTCTGCTTGTACCCAGCCAGAGTTGATGTAATAACCTTATCATTTCTGAAATGGAAAGATGACAAATCATATCACTGTTTTCCCTTTGTTTGTCTCAGCAGGGTATTGGTCATGTATATTTGGTCAAGGACTGATTTAAAAAAATGTGAAGTTTATGGGATGAAAGAGTGTGAAAGCCACAGTTATAATGTTGGTTCCAAGAAATTCCATCAATAGCCTAATTAAATTAAATTGTATTGACTTGGAATTGTTTTTCAAAATTTAATTTGGAAATGGGACTTATTTATATTTTTCTAGAAATTTAAGAGTGAACAGACTTACAAGAGAATGCAAAAAGATTGATTTTCCTTAAAAACAAACAAAAAAGAACACATGTCTCCATTTACCTCTCTGAGGAAGGAATTCTGTTCCTTCTGTGGTTGAATTTAGGGGTGTTTTGTCTAAGCTGCTTCTCCGCCATTTTCTTCCTATCCCTTTGGAGAAAGAAAACAAAACTGAACTGTGAACAGAAACTCTTCGTTAAAAATGAAGTCCAAATTCTCTCTTTCTTTGCCAGTCTCTAATATTGAATTTGCATTTATAAGTTTAAAATTACCTCATGTACAAAATGAACATATGTATGTTAAAGAAGGAAGAAAATGTTACATATTCCACTTTTAAAGCATGTGATGGAAATTGGTTTCTTTGGGGTTCCTTATTTTCTTTGTTGCATCACTCTGTAGATTAGCAGATAACAGGGAGTTTATACTGGTTGACGAAGGAGAGTGGGAAGCCAGCAGCCCAGTCTTCAGCCTTGTGATCTCTGCGGAACCCCTGGGCTCCATGGAATCAAGCTTGCAACCCACTAGTCTAGATGATCTCTAAATAATGTGCTAACTGTAAAATTATGATTTTTTTTTTTTAAAGATCTGGTGAGGAAGGATATTATCCAGAACTTACAGAGTTTTGTGAAAAGCGCCTTCAAGGCTTGGCTCCTACAAGTAGAGCTTTGAGGAAAGATAAACCAGCAGCTACAGCATCCAGTTTTACAGCAGAAGAATGGGAAAAAATTGATGGTGATATAAAGGTACACAGTAACATCAGTTTTTTATAGATATTGTCATGATATTGTATATATGTCTACCTTACTTGCCTGAAATCCTACTCCTCTTGTTTGTTGGTAAAGAGCTTTTAGTGGTATTTACCTAGGTGGTATTAGTTGCTTTTTATACCCAGGTTCTTTTGGTATAAATTATGAATTTGTGTGTGCACACATGCATTCACATGTGGAATTTTTTTTTTTTTTGAGACAGAGTCTCATCTTTGCCTGTGGAGGTGCCGTGGTATCAGCCTAGTCCACAGCAACCTCAAACTCCTAGGCTCAACGGAGCTCTCCTTCAGCCTCGATAGCTGACTACAGGCATGCACACCATGCCTGCTAATTTTTCTCTATATTTTTAGTTGTCCAGCTAATTTCCTTCTATTTTTAGTAGATACAGGGTCTCACTCTTGCTTGAGCTGTTGTCGAAACTCCTGAGCTCAAACAATCCTCCTGCCTTAGCCTCCCAGAGTGCTAGAATTGCAGGCCTGAGCCACCTCACCCGGCCCCACGTGTGGATTTTTGTTTTAAATAGAGACAGGATCTCGCTCTTGCTCAGGCTGGTTTTGAACTCCTGACCTTGAGCAATTCTCTCACCTCGGCCTCCCAGAGTGCTAGGATTGCAGGCGTGAGCCACCTCGCCTGGCCCCACATGTGGATTTTAACTGGCTAAATAATGTGCCATCCTATAAAAGAATCATAATTTAATCAGCTGCAATAAATAGTGCTATATAAATCTTTTCTTTTTTCCCCTGAGAAGCCCTAAAGGAAAAACTTGTTTTTGTTTGTTTTCTTTTTGAGACGGAGTCTGGCTCTGTTGCCTGGGCTAGAGTATTGTGGTGTCAGCCTAGCTAACAGCAACCTCAAATCCTAGCTCAAGCGGATCTTCCTGCCCAGCCTCCAAGTAGTGGACCTACAGACATATGTTCACCATTCCTGCTAGCTAAATTTATTATTTTATTAATTTATTATTATTTTGTGTTCATAAGTGTCTTTCTATTTTTTTTGTAGATGGGGTCTTGTTCAGGTGGTCTTGATCTGACTCAAATGATCCACACACTCGGCTTCCGGAGGTAGGATTTACAGGCATGAAGCACTTCATGCTTGCTGACCAGGAAAGTTGTTTGTAGTTCATAATTTTCGTTCACCTCTTCTGGTATTCCTAGAATAATTATTAGAATCAAATTGCTGATAAAAAATTTGAATATTTTTTAAGGCTTTGCGATTTCTGTGTTCTGAGAAAAGTTGTGCCTTCATCCTCTCCCAACAGCAGTGTATAAGAATGCCCATTTTCGGGTAACCTTCACTGGATACTGTAATCATTTTTAATCAATTAAATGGTTGGGAAAAAAATGATAGTACAGTAGTCTCTTTTTATCCTTGGGAGATATGTTCAAAACCCCTAGTGAATACCTGAAACTGTGGATAGTACCAAACCCTGTGTATACTGTTTTTTCCTATCTATACATGATAAAGTTTAATTTATAAATTAAGCACAGTAAAAGATTAATAACGATAAAAATAAATTATAACCATTAAAACAATGTACTGTTATAAAAGTTATGTAAATGTGGTCTCTCTATCTCTCTCAAAACATCTTATTGTGCTGTACTCACCTATTTTCAGACCAAAGTTGACTGTAGGTATCTGAAACTTAGGAAATCAAAATTGTAGATAAAGGGGGAATACTGTAGTGTATTTTTTTATTATTACTAAAGTTGAATTATTTTTCATATCCATCACGTGAATTTCTTCTTTTATTAAGAAATCTCTACCAATTTCTCCTTTAATCAGTTTTATTGGGGTATAATTTATATTCAGTAAAAATTACCAACTTTATAGTGACAAATGTATGTGATGTATGTGATACAGAACATTTCCATCACCCCCAAAGGTTTCCTTTTGCACCTGGCCTCTGGAAACCACTGAACTGCTGTTTGTCACCATAGTTTTGCCTTTTCTAGACTTTCATGTAAATGTAATCATACAATGTGTGTTGTCTTTCTTTCCTGTCTCCTTTCACTTAGTTTTTGAGATTCATCTATGTTACTGCATGTGCCCATAGTTCATTCCTTTGAAATGCTGAGTAGTATGAAATGTATGCATATCCCACAGTTTGTTTACCCATTTACCACTTGAACAAACTGCCAAAATGTTTTCCATAGTGGCTGTACCATTGTTTTGTTGTCTCTGGTGGCAGCCATGGAGGAGGTGGAAGGAGAGGCAAGAGAGGCAGGTATACTGGTGTGACTTTGCAGAGGTACGCTGTAATTTCTGTCCAACTTTTTTGTTTTTCCTTTCTCTAGAAATGTTTCTATGTGGTACCAATCCTTCTTCCACCATTTCCTTTAGTTTCAGTGTTCTTATCATAAAAGAGTCCACATCATAAAAGAAGTCAAAAGCAGTCCTGAAAAATCAGAACCGTTCTGCCAGATTGCCTAGTGTCAGTTTGTTTGTTGGCACTGTTTCTGTGTCTTTGGCCCCGTTATCTGGCACTAGCTTGGAAGCACTCATCTCCCCCAAGTCATCTGTTAATTCCTCAGGTGTGGTGTCTATTAGCTCTTGAATTTCTCCAAAATCCATATCTTGAAACCCTCACCCCCACCCCACACACTGTTTCTTTGGCCATATCCACAATTTCTTTCATGACTTCCTTGATTTCCTTGATTATAAATCTTGTGAAGTCCTGCACAACATCTGGACACAGTTTTCTCCAGCAGGAGTTTATTGTTTCAGGATTGATGGCTTCCGTAGCTTTTTCTTTCTTAAAATTAAAAAGAAAAAAAAAATTTTTTTTTAATTTTTAAAAAAAAAATTTTTAAAGAGGTGGCATCTCACTATATTGCCAGGCTTGAGTGCAGTAGCTATTCACAGGTGCAGTCATAGCGAACTACAGCCTTAACTCCTGGGTTCAAGCGAGCCTCCTACCTCAGCCTCCCAAGGAGCTGGCACCACTGGCTTTTTCTGTAACAATGATGGCATCTTCAATGGTGTAATCTTTCCAGATTTTCATGATATTCTTTCTGTCAGGGTTACCTTCCATAGCATTGACAATCATTTCCATAGAGTACCCTGTGTAATGAACCTTAAAGGTCTTTATGACCCCTTGATCTAGAGACTGAAATAGAAATGTTGTGTTTGGGGGCAAGTAGACCACTTTGATGCCTTTGGTCTTGAACTTGTGGAGTTCTGGGTGGTCAAGGGCATTGTCCAATATCAAAAGAACTTTAAAAAGCTGTCGTTTACTAGTGAGGTACTTCCTGACTTCAGGGACAAAGCATCAGAGTAATCAATCTAGAAAAAGTATTCCTCTTGTCCAGGCCTTCCAGTACAACCAAAGGACTGGCAGCTGGCATTTGTCCTTTCCCTTCAAGGCTCCAGGGTTAGCAGTTTTATGCCAGTCCTGATCATAACCTTGACTGCATTGCAGAAAACAGTAGAGTTAGCCTATCCCTTCCTGCCTTAAATCTTGGTGCTTGCTTCTCTTCCTTACTAATAAATGTTATTTGTGGCATTTTTTTCCCCTAGAATGGAGCACTTTTGTTTACATTAAAAACCTGTTCAGGTAGATATTCTTTCTCCTCAGTAATTTTCTTAATGGCATCTGGGAACAAGTCTGCTGCCTCTTGGTTGACAGAAGCTGCTTCTCTTGTTCTCTTGATGTTTTTTAAACCGAAGCTCCTTCTAAAATTATCAAACCATCCTTTGCTGGCATTATATTCTACAGCTTTAGATCCTTTACCTTTCTTTTGTTTTAGTTGTCATATAATGACTGCTTTTTTTTTTGTATCATACTAGAGTCTACATATAGGAATGCCTTCCTTATAGCAATCCTGCACCCACATAAAAGCTGCATTTTCAATATGAGAGGTAAAGAGGTATTTTGCAAAAAGTGCAAGCAGCTGCTGGCATAACTGCAGTGACAGCTTCTTGAATTTCCTTTTGTTTTTTTACAATGGTCCTTACACTGGATTTGTTTTTCTTGAAATGGTGGGCAGACGTAGCTGCAGAGCTCAATCAATGGTACATAGTGAGCAATTCAACTTTTTCATGTAATGTCATGACTATTTTCTGCTTCTTGGGAGCACTTCCAGCATCACTAGTGCCACTTTGTATGGGTCCCACGGTGTTATTCAAGGTTTGCAGTATTATACTAAACACAATGAAAAAGACAGGAGAACTGTAAGAGATCACTTTGTACTGCAAGACACAATTTACTGGAAAGACGAACTGCTCACATGGAGATGCTTAGCATCACAAAGCATTTTAAGCAGATACTGGCAACACATGAGCTCACCAGAATAGCAACGGGAGATGGTTGTGAAATTATTACTGTAGTACAGTATGTGCTACAGTTAATTTTCTGCAGTTATAATTTAATACTGTGTCTTTATGTTTGTTTACATTTTTCTCCACTGCAAATGGTGCCATGTAAGGTCTGTAAGTGTGTGCATAAGTTTTTATAAATTTTAACTTTTTATAATTTGTGTATATTTTATGTCAGTCAATGATAAAATAGACTAGTATCTACGTATATTTTATACATTTGTGATATTTCTGGCTTTTACAATTTTTCTTGATATTTCTAGTTCCTCTGTGAGTCTTTTCAAATTGTCACAAATCTCCAAAAATTTTTCCTATATTTTTATTGAAAAAAAAATCCACATATTGGCCAGGCGCGGTGGCTCATGCCTGTAATCCTAGCACTCTGGGAGCCCGAGGCAGGCGGATTGCTCAAGGTCAGGAGTTCAAAACCAGCCTGAGCAAGAGCGAGACCCCGTCTCTACTATAAATAGAAAGAAATTAATTGGCCAACTAATATATATAGAAAAAAATTAGCTGGGCATGGTGGTGCATGCTTGTAGTCCCAGCCACTTGGGAGTCTGAGGCAGTAGGATTGCTTGAGCCCAGGAGTTTGAAGTTGCTGTGAGCTAGGCTGACACCATGGCACTCATTCTAGCCTGGGCAACAAAGTGAGACTCTGTCTCAAAAAAAAAAAAAAATCCACATATGAGTGGATCTGTCCAGTTCAAACTTGTATTGTTCAAGGGCCAACTGTTTCTTATGCCTGGTTAATTATTTCAAATTATATATTCACCTTCTTTTTCTGTATTCCTCTCAGAGTTGGGTATCAGAAATTAAAAAAGAAGAAAATAAAATGCACTTTTATGAAACTGAAACATTTACAGCAACGGAAGATAATTTGCCTCCAGTTCGTGGTTCAAATAGCTGTCCTTATGTTGGCAAGGTAGGTCTTTTGGATGTGGGTGGGGTATGGGTGGTAGGGAGAGAGGACTGTTGTTGTTTATTATGGGGCTGTCTCAGTTTAATCGAAGAGCAAAATGTGATGTTCTCCAGAAGAGTCGAGGAGTTTTTTCAGCTGGCTGTGTGTTATCACCGTCAGTGGCTGTGTCTCATCACTTGGAGGTCAAGCTTGCATCTTGGATTTACTGCCTTTCTTCTCCTCCTTCTTTCTTCTCTCTTCTTTTTTATCCTGACTTTTTGATATCATGACTCTGACCAGTTTTGATGACACAGAAGGTCTAATTCAGTGTGTAAGAATTTCAGGGTCCCATGGTGTTCTTCAAGGTACAATAGAGGTGCAGAGGATATATCTTATTATATAGTTTAATTAACTATGGATTTAAAATATGAAACAGATACTTTTAAGCACTTATACGTATAATTCCTCTGTTTGGTGTATGTTTTTTTTCTGTATCCCCATTTCTCTGTGGTTGGTCCCTATTTTGCCACATAGATCTCTCTTTTCAACCCATGGGTTCCATAGAGAAGGGGCCTGTTGGAGTTCCAGGTCCATTCTACTTAACTTCAGATTGAAACTGGGCTTCCTGGCATCTATCTGAACTTGCTATTTCTCACAGGATGGCTACCCAAGCCTTTTCATTCTAAGTTAATTTAGAATGAAAGTTATTATTTTCGTCTTTTCTTTGAATCCTCAGTTTTATTTTAAAAACATTAATAGCCCTTCATCACTCTGCTCTCAGATACTTGACTTTCCTGGATCTTTTTACTCCCCATTAGGAATTACTCAGGTAACAGAGGTGCACATATGGTGAGGATGTCACTGTCTATAATCAATGACTTCATATTTTTATTGAACACCCACCCACTATGTGCTAAGTCTATACCCTAAAATATAACAATGAATGATACTCAGTCTTTGCCCTCTGGGAGCTTATAGTCCAGTGGGGTAGACAGTGGTTCTCAAAGGATGGTCTGGGGACCTTAAATTCCAGAGATCCTTCCAGGGGTCTAGCAAAGTTAATGCTGTTTTTAAGATAATACAAACGCTTTGTCTTTTTCACTGTGTTGACATTTGCGCTGAGGATAACACTGCTGGTGCCTAAACATGAATCAAGGCAGTGACAGCAAACTGTCCTAACACATACAGTAAAAAAAATTCCAACTTTACCTAAAAATACCTTTGCTAAAACAATAAAATATTTACTTTGTTACATTGTGAGCCTCAAGTATGTGGTTTTTTAGTATTTTTTGTGACCAGGTGGGAAGTATGCAGAAAGCACCTCATGGCATAATAAAAATGTGATGGTTATCTCAAGAAAAGCACTTCTCAGTTGACACATCCACTTTTTCCAGGAATGCAGTTTTTGCTTGTAAGAATGGCTGACAGGGCCAGCGTGGTGGCTCACGCCTGTAATCCTAGCACCCTGGGAGGCTGAGGCGGGCGGATTGTTTGAGATCAGGAGTTCGAGACCAGCCTGAGCAAGAGTGAGACCCCATCTCTACTAAAAATAGAAAGAAATTAATTGGCAAACTAAAAATATATGGAAAAAATTAGCTGGGCATGGTGGCGCATGCCTATAGTCCCAGCTACTTAGGGAACTGAGGCAGAAGGATTGCTTGAGCCCAGGAGTTTGAGGTTGCTGTGAGCTAGGCTGACGCCATGGCACTCTAGCCCGGGCAACACAGTGAGACTCTGTCTCAAAAAAAAAAAGAATGGCTGCCAGACAAACTATGGTTATTCAGACTTGGGGTTTTGGCAGAAATTTTGTTGAAAATGAATGAAGTGTGCCTGTCACATTAAGGAAAACAACTAAGTATTTGTTGCCAATGAGAAAATCTGAGCATTCAACTGCAAATAAAGGTTTTAATATTTATATATGTTTCTCAAATACCTGCTTGTGACAAAAAATATTTCAAAGGATAAAATTATAATAAATTTAGTTTAAAGTTCTAATTGGTTTTCATTAGTAATTCATGGATCAGGATGACATCTCCTCTAAAAATGTAAAAAATGTGCTCTACTTGTCACAGCAGGACAGTTGTTTTTTATAAGGTAGTTTAAGCAGGAACAAGGAGTACACAAAGTGGATTGCTTAATATCAGGTTACTTTCCTTATGAGGGTTAAAGCAATGGGGACTTCCTTATCATGCTGGCTAAAACTGGCCTGTTAGGGGAATTGGCTATTATCTCTCTCTTCTGAGTTCTCTGGTCACATAAACAACTTAGTTTTGGTTTGATAATGTGGTACTTTAGCATGAGTGACTCCATTTTGGTTTAGTCTATTAGGGCCTAATGCAGGAGCTCAGTCCAAATCAATGGCTTCCTGTAAATTTTATTTAGCATATTTGAAAGACTTTCCTGATGAGCTCCAAGGAATGTTAACAAATGTGATTCTTTTAAGTTGTAAATGAAATGTGTGAATATTTGGAAGATCTGCATAACTCCAGATGACTGATAATTTTAAGAATATGGGAATGTCACAATACCAAAAGTTTCAACCCCACTGATGTAATATGTTATGCATCATAACAGGGAATATAGGGTGCTATGGGACTATGTAGAAGGGCACATATCCTAATCTTTTAGTCAGGGAATGTTGTCTTCTTATAATATAAAAATATAGGCCAGTGTGGTGGCTCCCACCAGTAATCCCAGCACTTGTGGAGACCAGGGTGGGAGGATCACTTAAGCCCAAGAGTTTGAGACCAGTCTGGGCAACATAGCAAGACCTGGTTTCTACAGAAAATAGAAAAATTAGCTGGGCATGGTGGCGGGCCTGTAGTCTCAGCTACTCAGGAGGCTGAGGCAGGAGAATCGCCTGAGCCCAGGAGTTTGAAGTTACAATGAGCTATGGTAATGCTGCTGCACTCTAGCCCAGGCAACAGAGCAAGACCCTGTCTAAAAAAGTATGTATGTGTATATATACATGTGTAAATATATTTATATAATGTATAAAGTATACATTATATTTTATCCCATATACCTGTATCTATGTCTTGAGACTCATATTAATCCATGTTCATTATTTTATTAAAAATTTTTTCTTCTTTATTCAGTTATAATTGAAAAATAAAAACTGTATATATTTATGATACACAACATGATATTTTCATATAGCTATACCTTGTGAAATGATTACAACTATCAAGCCACTTCATGTTCATTTTTTGATCCCTTACGGGGGATATTTTTTGTCACAGGTAGGTATTTGAGAGTCACATATGAATATTAAATACTTCTGATTTCTAATCAGTGCCCTTTTAAAACTAATCTATACCATCTGTATTAGTTTCCTAGAGCTGCTGTAACAAAGTAACACAAGATGGTTGAAATTTTAACCTTTAAAACAACAGGAATTTATTCTTTCACAGTCCTGGAGGCTAGAAGTCCAATATCAAGGTGTTGGCAGGGACATGGTCCCTCTGAAACCAGCAGGGGAAGATCCGTCCTTTCTCAAGCTTCTGGTAGTGCTAGTGTTCCTTGGCTTGTGGCAACATGACTCTAATCTCTATTTTCATCTTCATGTGGCCATCTTCCCTCTATGTGAATCTCTCTCTTTTTTTTTTTGACAGAGTCTCACTCTGTTGCCCCGGCTAGAGTGCTGTGGCGTCAGCCTAGCTCACAGCAACCTCAAACTCCTGGGCTCAAGCAATCCTTCTGCCTCAGCCTCCCAAGTGGGACTACAGGCACGAGCCACCGTGCCCAGCTAATTTTTTTCTATATATTTTTAGTCAGCCAATTAATTTGTTTCTTTTTATAGTGGAGACTGGGTCTCCCTCTTGCTCAGGGTGGTTTTTGAACTCCTGGACCTTGAGCGATCCTCCTACCTAGGCCTCCCAGAGTGCTAGGATTACAAGTGTGAGCCACCGCGCCCGGCCTCTCTTTTTTTTTGTTTTGAGACAGAGTCTCACTTTGTTGCCCAAGTTAGAGTGAGTGCCATGGCATCAGCCTAGCTCACAGCAACCTCAAATTCCTGGGCTCAAGCAATCCTACTGCCTCAGCCTCCAGAGTAGCTGGGACTACAGGCATGCACCACCATGCTCTGCTAATTTTTTCTATATATATTAGTTGGCCAATTAATTTCTTTCTATTTGTAGTAGAGATGGGGTCTCGCTCTTGCTCAGGCTGGTTTCGAACTCCTGACCTCAAGCAATCTGCCCACCTCGGCCTCCCAGGGTGCTAGAATTACAGGTGTGAGCCACTGTGCCCGGCTCTTTTTTTGTTTTTTTTGAGACAGGGTCTCACCCTGTTGCCCTGGCTAGAGTGCCGTGGCATCAGCCTAACTCACAACAACCTCAAACTCCTGGGCTCAACTAATCTTTCTGCCTCAGCCTCCCGAGTAGCTGGGACTACAGGCATGCGCCACTGTGCCCGGCTAATTTTATATATATATATATTTTTTAGTTGTCCAGCTAATTTCTTTCTATTTTTTTTAGTAGAGATGGGGTCTTGCTCTTGCTTAGGCTGGTCTCAAACTCCTGAGCTCAAACAATCCACCTGCCTCCGTCTCCCAGAGTGCTAGGATTACAGATGTTAGCCACTGTGCCCGGCCAGTGAATCTCTTCTATTTTCATAAGGACATGTCATACTGGATCCTAATGACCTCATCTTAACTTGATTGCACCTGCAAAGATCTTATTTTCAAATAAGGTCTCATTTACAGGTACTAGGGGTTAGGACTTTACCAGATCATTTTGGGAGACACAGTTCAACCCATAACACCATCTTAGCATTGAGAACGTTGTCTTATATGCAGGAAATAAGGTTCAAGCCTCAGATGATTCTTATTGAGCCTATAAAGAGTGCATAATACCCCTTCATGCAGTTTATACAGTTCCTATTAAAAAATATATTGTTAAGTCATCTATTAGCAAACACAAACCTAATGATAATGAAGATATGTAAATAGTTTAAAAACAAATCAGTATCTACTTTATTTTATTATTATAAATTCAGCTATACTTCCCTTTCTTTAGACTCTCTCTCTATATATATTTTAAGTTAATATATCTTAATACTTTTCAAGCATAAAATTGTACTCTCTCTGGAAGATTATTTGTGAGTATAATGGCTATTATTTGTGTTCCTACCAGTCCCTTCTAGTGAGGAACCTGCCTTCTGTCTACAGCAGTGGGCATGTGGCCTAGTTTGGGCCACTTAGCACCAAGCTAGTGATTGGTCAGGGATGGGCATGTGACCCAAGGTGGCCAATCAGAGTCCTTCCCTGGGATTTCTCTCACTGAAGATGGAGAGAAGAGTCACCCTCTTTGTCTTCTTTGATGGGGAGGCCTGTGAGGTTATAATCCCAGATTTCTTGTGGTTATGTTTTCTGTTACATGAAGAAAGCAAGTAGCCACAAGGGAAAATGAAATCAATAGGCAGAGAGGAACAGAGACTACAGATGAGGTAGATAGAGAACTGGAGAAAAGGCATAGGAATTCCTCTGGCAGCACTCCTGCTTTTTCATCAGTTTGGTTATACCAGCTGATAATTTATTCTTTTTAATAAAAGTCCAAGTCAGGTGGCTGTCATGACTGTCATTGTCAGGTGAGTGTCACAAAACACTACTAACACACACAGAAAAGTAGTTATTATTGTTTCTTCAATGCCGGATTTTAAAAGAATAAATCAGAATTTAATAGTTTTTTATCATAAGAAAAATCAGTCATAATCAGATTTCACATATGTGAGTTTTAGAATTTTATATATAAGGCCAAGGCAGGTGGATCGCTCAAGGTCAGGAGTTCAAAACCAGCCTGAGCAAGAGAGAGACCCCGTCTCTATTAAAAATAGAAAGAAATTAATTGGCAAACTAAAAATATATAGAAAAAATTAGCTGGGCTTGGTGGCGCATGCCTGTAGTCCCAGCTACTCAGAAAGCTGAGGTAGAAGGATCGCTTGAGCCCAGGAGTTTGAGGTTGCTGTGAGCTAGGCTGATGCCACGGCACTCTAGCCCGGGCAACAGAGTAAGACTCTGTCTCAAAAATAAATAAATAAATAAAATTTTATATATATACTTAAAAGCCTGAAGATTGTCCCCAGAATTAACTTTAAACCTAAAATCCTGTTTTTAATCTACTGTATATTAGTATGTTAATAATTGTAATATTCAAGTTGTTATAACTTCAAAGGTGCCTAGTTTTCTCATCCTTTCCATTTGTATATCTTAATTCAATACTTTACATTGCATTTACAGTAAAACTTGCTGATCTTAGATTAAATATGTCTCATAAAATATGATTTTATTCTTTTAGGAAAAATATTCTAAAAGTAGACCAGCTAAAAAGAAAATTCCAAGGGATTATGCAGAATGGGATAAGTATGTTACATTTCTTTATATAAAATTTGTCACTAAAGTATTCTCTACCATAAAATACTGTAATAAACCTTAACCTGTTAAGAATATCAAATTAATTCAGTAGAGTACTGAGAGTGTATACTCTAAGCACTTTTGATGTTGTTTTTTCATTAAATAAAAAAACTACTACATTCTTTTGTTTATAAAACCAAACAAAAATAACTAACATAATCCTTCTACCCATCTAAAATAAAAAAGAACAAAAATTTTAAATTGAGAGAATAGGTGACAATTTTAATTACAAAGTTCTGAATAGTTTAGATATGATTGATATTTAAGTCCTGATTAAATTGCATCTTAAGAAAGAATGCAGATGACTTTAACTACAAACCTATTATGCATTTTTGAATATCCATCCAAAGGCACAGTTGTACAAATATAAGACTATCAATAATAAATTTGTTTTTTCCATGTATTGTAGTTTTTTTCAGTTTTTGTTTTTCTTTCATTTAAGATTTGATGTGGAAAAAGAATGTTTAAAAATTGATGAAGATTACAAAGAAAAGATTATAGTAGACAACAAGTCACATTTGTCTAAAATTGAGAAAAAAATAGACACAACAGGTAATTGGGGGGAAAATAAGAATAATTAGTAGGTTTTAAATTTTTCAAGTTATAATAAAAGGTGTTGACCTAGAAGATATTTTCTTTAAGTGCTGCAGGATTTTCTCCTAGAGTTGGCCACCTCTAACAAATTCATTTCACTCTTTTACCTACTTAATTTTATGTAATAGTTATGATAATTAAATTTAGTAAAACTAAAAAATATTACCTTATTTTTCTTACCATAATTCATTTGTTTTTCATTCTTTTTTCCAATCCTCTTTTTCTTCCAAATTCCTCAAATTGTTTTCTTTTTGCCTCAAAACAAAAAGATAGGGTAGTTTTATTTGTTTTCATTTGAAGTCCATCAATGCATGGCACCTATAAAGTAAAACAAAACCAGTCATAAGAAAATCTAGGCCGGGCGTGGTGGCTCACGCCTGTAATCCTAGCACTCTGGGAGGCCAAGGCGGGTGGATTGCTCGAGGTCAGGAGTTGGAAACCAGCCTGAGCAAGAGCAAGACCCGTCTCTACCATAAATAGAAAGAAATTAATTGGCTAGCTAACATAGATATAGAAAAAATTAGCCGGGCATGGTGGCTCATGCCTGTCGTCCCAGCTACTTGGGAGGCTGAGGCAGTAGGATTGCTTGAGCCCAGGAGTTTGAGGTTGCTGTGAGCTAGGCTGACGCCATGGCACTCACTCTAGCCTGGGCAACAAAGCAAGACTCTGTCTCAAAAAAAAAAAAAAAAGAGAAAGAAAATCTAAATCCTCAATAATTGTGAATGATTAAAAAAAGAAAATATCTCTAAACGTAGAAAACCTTTTATTTCCTTATGTTTGTTTTATGGTTTTCTGCTTCTGTTAAAATAAGCATTCCTGGATTTAAACTTTTAAATATTCTGTTAAATTATATTTTCATATATGGCAGATAACATTTATTTCTAGGTCTAACTGAGAAGGAAAAGGATTTTCTTGCTACTCGTGAAAAGGAAAAAGGAAATGAAGCTTTCAATTCAGGAGATTATGAAGAGGCAGTGATGTATTATACCAGGTGAACAGATAGCTGTTGTAGTTTAAACCTGCCATTTTAAAAAATAATGTTTTAATTGCTGAAACAATATAAATAAGCTAAGTATTCTATGTTGGAATCACTCAATGTATTGTACTTGTGATTTTATGTTTTGTCTTGTCTTTTCAGTACTTTTCTCAAACCTCTAAGCTCTCACCCCACTCCCACTTTTGACCAAGGACCTAACTTCTATTTTACAGAGAAAATAGAAGCCATCTGAAAGGAATTCAACAGAAAGTCCGTATAGCATAAAAGTTAAGAACTTGACTTTTATAGTTAGACTGCCTGGATTTTAATCCTGGTACTTATGGTGTTCCCTCTTACCACAGGGCCTTTGCACATTCTGGGTCCTCCATCTAAAATGCTCTTCCCTCCTCTCGTTATCTAGTTAATTCTAACTTATCCTTTAGATCTTAGCCCATGACTTGATTCTTTGGAGAAGTCTTCCCTGACCTTCCAGACTAGATTAAATTTCCATCCCACCCTATCTACCTCACGCCCCAATTTTATAGGCTCTTATAGCAATCTTACCACTCCTTTGTAGCATTTGCTGGAAGTACAATTTACGTTTGTGTGATTTGATACTAACTGGACTGTAAGCTGTGTAAGATCAGAACCCACTTGTTAAGATTGTTTACACCATTGTATCCCCAATGCCCAGCATAGTACCTGGTTGTAGTAGATGTTCAACAAATACTTGTTGTTAGGAACTTTTAAAGTTCTTAATAGTCTATGAAAAATAGAATAAGTTCATAAAAAGTTGTTACAGACAAACTATGCTTATAGAAACACTAATGCCAACTTAGTGCTATACTCTGTTCAATCTTTTTTCAACCTTTGGAAAGAAGATAGATTTTTTTTTCAGTGTTGTTTGTGTCTCTAAAGAAGTTTGTCTCAGACTGTTTGAATGAACACATAAGGTAAAGAAGACATCGGATGGATCGTTCATCCAGGACAGCCTCCCCTGTTCAGATAGGTGGATGTCAGCCTTAATACTAGTCTCTCTTTTCTTGTAGATTTCTGCCAGTGGAGATTCTCTTGTCTGTTACAGGGGAAAAAAATCTTAACGTCTTCTTTTGAGGAGTCATATAGTTGAAGAACTAAAACAGCATACTATGATGTGATGGTTAAAGGAACTCAGACTACCACTTTCTGACGTTGGGCAGATTGTCTGCCTCTCTCGTCTTAGTTTCCTTCATGTGATGAGGCTCTAGTAGTGCCTATTTCACAGCTTCTGTGAAGATTAAATAAAAGAATGTATTGGAAGACAGGATAACGTGGTAAAGAGAGCAGGCTGTCTGGGTTTGAATTTTTACTCTACCAGTTACTAGTTTGTGGCTATGGGCACATTATTTAACCTTCCTATTGCATCTTTTTTTTTTGAGACAGAGTCTCACTTTGTTGCCCAGGCTAGAGTGAGTGCTGTGGCGTCAGCCTAGCTCACAGCAACCTCCAACTCCTGGGCTCAAGCAATCCTCCCACCTCAGCCTCTCGAGTAGCTGGGACTACAGGCATGCGCCACCATGTCCGGCTAATTTTTCCTATATATTTTTAGTTGGCCAATCAATTTGTTTCTATTTTTAGTAGAGGCGGGGATCTCGCTCTTGCTCAGGCTGGTCTCGAATTCCTGAGCTCAAACAATCCTCCCGCCTTGGCCTCCCAGAGTGCTAGGATTACAGGCGTGAGCCACTGCCCCCGGCCTTGCATCTGTTTTTTCATCTGTAAAATGAGAAGAGCAGTATTATTATAAATGAGGATTAAATGAGTAGTGTCAGGTGTGTTTGTGTTGGAGGGTTGTCCTGGTCCTTTGGCTCCTTGCATAGAAGACTCGCAAGCAAAGCCAGTGGGATGGAATGAGGACAGACATGAAGCTCTTCCACACAAGCAGCCTTTGTTGCAAAGTTAAGGATACAAAGTGAAAGTTGGTCCCAGGGTCTGTCTCTGGGAGTGGAGAAGACCCTGGGGTCTTAACATACTTCTACTTTTATGTCTATACCTTATGATATGCTAAATGGTGGGCAGAACATTCATTATCTTTCTGGGAAAATGTGGAGAGTTCTTGTAGCTAAGGGCTCTCCCCAGTTTTATCCTTATAGGGTAACTTCCAGAGGTTGCCATGACATTTGTAAACTTGTGGTGCTGGTGGCTATGATTTTTAGTATGCTAAAGTATGTTAATGGGGAAAGGTTACCTTTGGTTGTGAGCTTCTAGTTTCTGCGCATGCTCCTGGCCGGGAAAAGTCCCTAACCTCAAGTTCCTACTCTTGCAGGTTTGGTTCTAGATGCTCATTGGCCTCCTCATATTCATCCCCCCTCCTCTTTTCCTGTGGTTAGCGCTGCCAACCTGCACCTGTCCCTAATAGTATGTATGTAAAGTGCTTAGTGCCTGGCCTGTGGGAAGCACTCAGTGTCAGGTGCTCTTACATGTATTTTCCATGTGTGGTCTCTACTCAACTGTGTAATTTCTTTATATTAAATATATTAAATATTTATTTTTAATGATCTTAGTAAATTGATCCTTTTTGGGACTTTTCCATTTTCACCCTCTATTCATCTTCTGGATTTAGTAAATTCATTGTACCAATACCCCTGTCTTTCTTATGTCTGGGTATTCATTATTTCATGGCATTCCAAATCAATTTTCTAAGCAACAGCCAGATATATTTTTAATTTTTTTCATTAATTATTTTGTACTTACATCCTTAATCTAGCAAAATTTGCTCTCTTGAAGTCTGTATTCCTCACCCCACTGACTACTCTCCTCTGTTCCCTTCAATTAAGTTTCTTCTATTAACTTACTTCATGATCATTTCTTTGAGTTAAATCTACTTTTAGATTACAAACTAATTTGTTTCTATTAACACAATAACAGCTGAATAAAACATATTGTGATTGATTGCTCTATATTTTTTAAACTAAAATATTGTTCCCAAAGAGTCAAAAAGTATGTTTGATATTTAATGTTAACTAAACTGGTTTTTTAGGCAATCCATGGGTATTTAAATTCCCATGTCACTTCTAAAGCCTAAGTCAACTTTAAACCTATTAACTGGATTTTTAAGCATTTATTTAAATGTTGATTTCTTTTGTTTGTAGAATTGTATTTTATTACTTTTGCTGTTATAGGCTGTATTAGTTTGCTAGGGTTGCCATAACAAAGTAGCACAGACTGAGTGGCTTAAAGAGGAGAAATGTATTTTCTCCCAGTACTAGAGGCTATGAAATCAAGATGTTGGCAGGGTTGGTTTCTTCTAAGACCTGTTTCCTTTTTCCTTGGCTTGTGAGTGGCTGTCTTCCCTCTGTGTCTTCACATGGTCTGTCCATACACGTCTGTGTCCTAATATGCTCTTATTTTTTTTTTTTTCCTTTTTCTTTCTTTCTTTCATTTTCTTTTTTTAACGGGGTCTCCCTCTGGCACCCAGGCTGGAGTGCAGTGGTGCAGTCATAGCTCAATGTAATCCACAACTCCTGGGCTCAAGCAATCTTCCTGCCTCAGCCTCCCAAGTAGCTGGGACCACAGGTACAAACTACCATACCTGGCTAAGTTTTGAATTTGGGTGGGACAGAGTCTCACCATGTTTCCCAGGTTGATCTCAAACTCCTTGCTTCAAGCAGTCCTCCTGCCTTGGCCTCCTAAAGTGCTGGGATTACAGGCATTGAGCCACTGCACCAGCACCCTAACATCCTCTTCTTTAAGGACACCAGTCTTGGCCGGACGCGGTGGCTCACGCCTGTAATCCTAGCACTCTGGGAGGCCAAGGCGGGCGGATTGCTCGAGGTCAGGAGTTCAAAACGAGCCTGAGCAAGAGTGAGACCCCGTCTCTACTATAAATAGAAATAAATTAATTGGCCAACTAATATATATAGAAAAAATTGGCAGGGCATCGTGGCACATGCCTGTAGTCCCAGCTACTCTGGAGGCTGAGGCAGGAGGATCGCTTGAGCCCTAGGCTGATGCCACGGCACTCCTTCTAGCCTGGGCAACAAAGCGAGACTGTCTCAAAAAAAATAAAAATAAAAAAAGGACACCAGTCTTATTGGATTAGGGCCCACTCTCATGATTTCTTTTAACCTTAGTCACCTCTCTAAAGATCCTGTCTCCAAATACTGTCACATTCTAAGGTACTATGGAGTTAGGACTTCAACATACGAATCTTTAGGGGACACAATTCAGCCCGTACAAAGCCTATAATTTTTTAATTTACAGCTTAACTTGAGTTTCTTTATATTCTTTCGTTTAACTTATGCCTGCTTGTTGCCAATAAATGTTTCTTTTATAGGAGCATATCAGCACTTCCCACTGTAGCTGCCTATAACAATCGAGCTCAAGCAGAAATCAAATTACAGAACTGGAATAGTGCTTTTCAGGATTGTGAAAAGGTCTTGGAGTTAGAGCCTGGAAACATAAAGGGTAAAAAAATATTCATAGAATGCTTTTAAAATTACACCAGGACCCATTAAAGACCATTTATAGACATGTATGTTTACATAAAAAATATTTCAGATAAACTCGAATTTCTAGATGTGAATCACCACCTTCATAAATTTACTTCTAAGTTTAACTTGGAATTTAAGTCCCTGATTATTTATACTGAGGTAGCTTATAATCTCAGAAGACTGAATAAAATATGTTTTTTTCTTAAAGGGAAATACTCCAGCTTACATTTGAATTGTCTTTTTATCCAAAAAAAAATTTAAGTATAATTAATATAGATTTTCTGCTGTTTATTAATATAATAAAATAGTAAGCCCACACTGGAGCTCTAGCATCCTCTAGCAGCTTCTTTGTGGGTATTTTCACCTAGATGGCTATATATAATTTATTTTAAATTTTAAATTGATAATACTTTAATTTCAAATTAAACTTGTCCAAAACTGATACATCTTCCCACCAAAAATCTGGACTCTTGTCTTGATTCCCTGTCTCTGCGACTGACCACCTTGCCTTGGGTAAAGCCTGAAGGATTCAAGTCAAATTCTGCTGATATCAAGAAGGAATCATTCCAAGAGGGAGTGATGTACATCATAACAGACACATTATATTTCTTAAGCATTTATGGATTCAAATAAATATAAACACTTAATTTTTTTCACATGGACTATACACCTTTGTACCTACATTGTTAAGAGAGCAAAAACCATGGGTGTGCTAAGTGGGAGCCTGATACATCAGCTGCCACTGTCATTGTCATGGACTGCCCTCCATTTAACAATAAAGTCCTCTTGGGCCTGTATTTTGTGCAAACGGGTCTCTCACAGAGTACGGATGGGCTCCCAGCTCTAGGCAAGTGCCTGGCAAAGGCGTTGCCATTTCCTCTGGGCCCCCACCACTGTTCTGTCAGGCCCTACGCCAAGTACTTTATATGTATTAACTCTATTAATTTTAACAACAGCCTCATTGAGATGCAGACACTGTTATTAGCACACTCATTTTACAAAGGAAGAAACCAGGCACAGACATATTAAGCAATTCACCCAAGATCACATGGCTAACAAATGACAGAGCCAGCACTCAGCACTGGACAGCAGATTCCAGGGCCCGTATTGAACTGCTGTGCTATTCTTCTGCCACTGGGATGGCTTATGTTTCAATTCTTTCTTTTTTTTTTTCTTTTGAGACAGAGTCTCACTTTGTTGCCCAGACTAGAGTGAGTGCTATGGCATCACCCTAGCTCACAGCAACCTCAAACTCCTGGGCTCATGCAATCCTCCTGCCTCAGCCTCCCAAGTAACTGGGATTACAGGCATGCACTACCATGCCCGGCTAATTTTTTCTATATATATATATTAGTTGGCCAAGTAATTTCCTTCTATTTATAGTACAGTAGGGGTCTCACTCTTGCTCAGGCTCGTTTTGAACTCCTGACCTCGAGCAATCTGCCCACCTCAGCCTCCCAGAGTGCTAGGATTACAGGCGTGAGCCACCGCCCCAGCCTGTTTGAATTCTTCTTTGTTTGAGTTATTTCTTAAGTACTCGAATCTTCACCATTAAAGAACAAATTAGCAGAACCAAATGTATTAAAGAGAATAGCCATAAAACATTAAGAAATCTTATGTTTGCTTAAGTGAATAAATAACTTTCAAAGTTTTTTTATTTTTATTTCAAAAGATAATTGTTCTAAATACAGTGTGTTACCTTGGGTTCCATCCTGGAACTAAAAAAAGGACATAAGCCGAAAAACTGGTAAAATCCAAATAGAGTCTGTAGTTTGGGTAATAGTACTGTGCCCATGTTAGTTTCTGAGATTTGGCAAATGTACTGTGGTTCTGGAAGATGTTAGTATTAGGGGAAGCTGAGTGAAGGTACCCAGGAACTCTCTGTACTATCTTCGCAACTTTTCTGTAAATCTCAAATTATTTCAAAATAAAAAGTTAAAAAAAAAAGGTAATTGTTATATCATGAATGTTTCTTCATGGAAATTCTGTTCAGAAATCTGAGTAGCATTAGCAATACCAAAACTATACACAAGGCACAATGCTACAATTTTGATTAAATTTATAACAAAATGATTTATCCTTTAGATTTTCATGGCTCATTCTAAGACTAAAATCAAAATAAATTATTTTGACTAATATCAAAATAAATCAAATTTATAACTGTGGTTTGTTTTGTTTTGTTTGTTGAGACAGAGTCTCACTTTGTTGCCCAGGCTAGAGTGTCGTGGCATCAGCGTGGCTCACAGCAACCTCAAACTCCTGGGCTCAAGCAATCCTTCTGCCTCAGCCTTCCAAGTAGCTGGGACTACAGGCATGTGCCACCCTGCCCAGCTAATTTTTCTATATATTTTTAGTTGGCCAGATAATTTCTTTCTATTTTTAGTAGAGACAGGTGTCTCACCCTTGCTCAGCCTTGTCTCGAACTCCTGACCTTGAGCGATCCGCCCACTTCACCTCAGCCTCCCAGAATGCTAGGATTATAGACATGAGCCACCATGCCCAGCCTTATAACTATGTTTTAAAATACATTATTAAAATATGTCAGTATAAATTTCTCACTTTTGAGAATTACCCAACTTTATTCTTTTCAAAATAATGGCTTTTTACACAAACTTCTCTTACTGTATAATGGATAATGATGGGACAAGAGGCATTCATGCTCAGTATTAAATAATTATCAAATTATATGTTGAAAGCTACCCAAAATAAATGATACAAATTACCAAAGTGCTCAATTTCTGAGTCTAGCTGACTTAGTCATCAGGATTCTCTGTTTCCTGTGTGCAGTAACTCCTTCTAATGACTTTAGAGATGCTATACAAATAGCACTAATGAGCCATATTCTGAGCTAGATGCTGGTCACTAATATACTAAATTTTAATAAGGGATTCTCTAAGTTTTCAAAAAGTGGCAAAATAATACTAGCTATGATTATAAGAAGGAAAACGTTTAATCAAAAGCTTCCTGATATTGCAACACAATGTGATACCTGTGAAAGGTTGGATATGAAGTCTCTTAGCCCTTGGAGAAGCTGGTAGAGCCTGGGGCTACCAGAGGGTCATATGAGAGGACAGCTGCCCCTTCTGTTTATTTCAGTATCATTTTCTATGTGTGTAAATACATGAAAATGGGTGTAGTTAACTTTTCCATAATTACATGCTAAAGTGTTCTGTGCTACTTATATTCTTGAACTTGTAAAATATGTTATAACCATAATACCATAAGATAAAAAATATAACTTTTATTCCGGCAAATTTTCAGCTCTTCTGCGTCGTGCTACTACATATCAACATCAAAACAAGCTACAGGAAGCTATAGAAGATTTGAGTAAAGTACTGGATGTTGAACCCGATAATGATTTGGCCAAGGTAGGTGCAGAAAGTAATTTCTCACCTAATTCTGTAGTTGGCTATTTCTATATTTATGTTAAAATGGTATCAATCTTGCTGAATAAATTATGGTGAGGGAGAGGTCACAGCTTTAAAAGGTAGGTATATCACAGACACCCCAAAATCTTGACAAAGTGAAAGAAACCAGCCTCTTGACAATTTTTTTCCAAAACTATAACCTACCTCTGAGTGACAAATATTTAATTTTTCTCTTTCTTCTAGTGTTGTAGGCAGTGTTTTTCTCTGAGCTAATCTCACTTTATTTATTATGTGGGGTGGTATAGAAGTTTCCTAGGTAGGATTGGTGTGAGCTCCATGGCCACAGAACAATGTTTCTCTTTGTAGCTAGCATGGTAAACATAGCATTATTGATAGCATGCACTACCTGGCTGAGCAGAGTGACTCTGATATGCACTTCCGGGATCTGTGTTAAAGCCTAAAGAGTAGAAGTGAGTGTCAACAACTGAGATTTTACCCTACTTGCAAATTAATAAGGTGGCTTAGCAAAGGGTACAAGATATCCTGGGTTAGACACAAAGGCCTTTGTTACTCAACGGCATATAAAGCAGATGAGTTTCTCATTCATGTCAGTTCCTGTGACTCCCAAGTCCCACAGGGGTGACACAGTGGCCCCGATGGGTGTTGTACACTCCGTGGGTTTGTGTGATAATTAATGAATGCAAAATTTAGGAACACCTCATCTTTTATAATGGGCTGTAAGCAGACCTGTCCAACTTCTGCTCCAGAGGGAAGTATATCTTTGTTATACTGTAGAGCAAACAAATCTGCTGTCTCCTCTGCAGGTAAATGCTGTTTCTGTTTTCCAAGGCAAACATTGTAAAGATGTCCAGAATTAAGATGGTTTAGTACCATTTTTGCTCTCAGTGTAGTCAGAAATAGGAGAAACCCATGGAGAATTGTCTTCCAATAATAAGTTGTCATTGAGTTTCCACATACACCTATCAGGTAATCTGTTACACTCTCTCCAAGTGGCAGCTAGTGTCCCTAGTGTATCAGCTGATTTGTCAAGTCAGCATTTCAGTGGATTAGGTTTAGGGCCTAGTTTAGGAACACATCTTTTCCCCATAGTATTTCCTTTTTATAATGGTTATGTTTATTAAAAAGTTAATATAACAGTTTGTAAAATAAAAAAAATTGAAACAAGGAAAACCACCTTTAATTTTACTACTCAGGCCAGGCGTGGTGGCTCACACCTGTAATCTTAGCTCTCTGGGAGGCTGAGGCGGGTGGATTGCTCGAGGTCAGGAGTTCGAAACCAGCCTGAGCAAGAGCGAGACCCCGTCTCTCACATAATAGAAAGAAATTAATTGGCCAACTAATATATATAGAAAAAATTAGCGGGCATGGTGGCGCATGCCTGTAGTCCCAGCTACTTGGGAGGCTGAGGCAGGAGGATCACTTGAGCCCAGGAGTTTGAGGTTGCTGTGAGCTAGGCTGATGCCACAGCACTCACTCTAGCCTGGGCAACAAAGTGAGACTCTGTCTCAAAAAAATAAACACTCATTCTAGCCTGGACAACAAAGTAAGATTCTGTCTCAGAAAAAAAAAATTTTTACTACTCAACACAATTTCATGTTATGTTTTAGGCCAAATGCATTTTTTCTTAACCATATGCAAAGCTTAACTTAAAATGGATCATATACTTTAATGTAAAACCTAAATTATAAAAGTTTTAGAAGAAAACATAAGAGAAAATTTTTATGAGCTTGGATTAGACAAATATTTAATACATATGGCATGAAAATTATAATTCATAAAAGAGTTGACAAATTGGACTTCATCAGAATTAAAAATGCCTGCTCTTTGAAAACCATTATTAGAAGAATAAAAAGACAAGCCACAGGCTGGGTGCAGTGGCTCATGCCTGTAATCCTAACACTCTGGGAGGCCGAGGCAAGGATGCCTATGGTCTCAGCTACTTAGGAGGCTGAGGCAGGAGGATCGTTTGAACCCAGGAGTTTGAGGTTGCAGAGAGCTATGATGATGATGCCATTGTGGGGCAACAGAGCAAGACTCTATCTCAAAAAAAAAAAAAAAAAAGACAAGGCACAGACTGGAAGAAAATGTTTGCAAAATCATGAATCCATGAATCCAACAAAGGATTTGTATCAAGAATATATAAAGAACTTTCAAAACTCAATAATGAGAAAACAAGCAGCCAAAGTATAAGTAAGCAAAACATTTGACGCTTCATCAAAAGAGATATGTGGATTGAATATAAACACATGAAAAGATGCTCATCCTGAGTATAAAATTGCCCAAAGCAATTTTAAGGAAAAAGAATGAACAAACTGGAGGCATCACATTACCAGACTTTAAACTATACTACAAGGCTGTAGTAACCAAAACAGCATTGTGTTGGTACAAAAATAAAGACATAGACCAATGAAACAAAGAATAGAGAACCCAGATATAAAATCACCTACCTACAACCAACTGACCTTTGACAAACAGACAACAATATACACTGGGGAAAAGAAACCCTATTCAATAAATGGTGCTGGGAAAATTGGATAGCCACACACAGAAGAATGAAATAGGATCTAAATCTCTTGTCACTCACAAAAATTAATTTAAGATGGACAAAAGACTTAAATATAAGGCATAAAACCATAAAAATTCTAGAGGAAAAATGTAGGAAAAACTCTTCTAGATACTGGCCTAGGCAAAGAGTTTATGAATAAGACCCCAATTGCAATTACAGTAACAATAAAAATAAATAAACAGGATTTGATTAAACTAAAAAGCTTCTGCACAGCTAAGGAAACAATCAACAGAGCAGACAGACAACCTGTAGAACAGAAAATATTCACAAGTTATACATCCGATAAAGGGCTAATAACCAGAATCTATAAAGAACTCAAGCAAATCAGTGAGGAAAATAAACATCACCATTAAAAGGTGGACCAAAAACATGAACAGAAGCTTTTCAAAAGAAGATAGACAAATGGCTAATAAACATATGAAAAAATGCTCAACGTCACTAATCATAAGGGAAATGCAATTAAAACCACAATGAGATAGCACCTTACCCCTGTTAGAATGGCTTTTTGTTAAAAATCCAAAAACAATAGATGCTGGCACAATGCAGAGAGAATGGAACACTTATACACTGTTGGTGGGATTGCAAATTAGTACAACCCCTGTGGAAAACATTATGAAGATTCCTCAAAGAAACTAAAAGTAGACCTACCATTTGATCCAGCAATTCCACTACTGGGTATCTATCCAAAGGAAACGAAATCTTTCTATCAAAAAGACACCTGCACTCAAATGTTTATTGTAGCACAATTCACAATTGCAAAGATGTGGAATCAACCCAAGTGCCCATCATTCATGAGTAGATTAATAAAATGTGGTATATGTATACCATGGAGTACTACTCAGCCATAAAAGGATGGATTAATGCCTTTTGCAACAATTTGGATAGAACTAGAGACCATTCTCCTAAGTGAAGTATCTCAAGATTGGAAAAACCAGCTCCACATGTACTCATTATTAAATTGGAACTAACTGATGAGCACTCATGTACAGAGGAAAGTAAAACGCAGTGGAAATCAAGCAGCAGGGAGGGGCTGGAGGGGAAGGGCAGAAACCTACCTAATAGGTACAGTAAACAGTATCTGGGTGATGGGCACACCTATAGCCATGACTCAAGCATTACAAAAGTGATCCATGTAACCAACAACATTTGTATCCCCTTAATATTTTGAAAAAAAAAGATGCTCAATATCATTAGAGTGTTATAAACTTAAAACCTCAATGAGATACCACTATACACCTGTTATAATACCTAAAATTAAAAAGACTTACCATACCAAGAGTTGTTGAGAACACAGAAGAACTGAAATTCTTGGGACTATAAAATGATACCACCACTTTGGAAAACAGTTTGGTGGTTTCTTAAAATGTTAAACATAAAAACATATACCTACCATATAACCCAGCCATTTCACTCCTAGGTATTTACCCAAGAAAAATGCAAGTATATAGTCATAAAAAGACTTATGCACAAATGTTTATAGTAGTTTTATTTGTAATTGCCAAAACCTGAAAACAGCCTCAAGTGTCCATTAGCAGGTGAATGGATGAACGAATTATTATATCCATACAATAGAGTACTATGAGCAATAAAGAGGAATGAACTATTGACACACACATCGTCATGGATGAATTTCAAAATAATTATTCTGAGTTAAAGAAGTCAGACAAAAAAGAGTATATGCAATATGATTCTATTTATATAAAATTGTAGAAAATACAAACTAATCTGTCACGATGACAAAAAGGACAGTGGTGGTAGGGAGAGATAAGAGGGAGATATTACAAGGAAATTGGAAGAAACATTTGGAAGTGATGGGTATGTTTATTATTATGTCAAAACCTATCAACTTGTGTACTTTAAGTGTGTGCAGTTTATGTTAATCATACCTCAATTTAGCTGTTGAAAATGAGAGGGGAAAGGAAAATGGTTTCCTATATATATTTTTCATTCTAGTTGGCAAAAAATATTTCAGAACTTTTGACATTTTAGAAAACAGCATGCATAGCATAATTTAATTTATATAGAACTATATATCTCTGTGTGTATATATATATGTGCATACAAACATACTTAGGAAGATGATCATCAAAATGTCAATAGTGTTATCTGAGTAGCAAGATTTCAGCTGATTTTTTTCTTTTTTATACTTATTACTCTAAGTTTTTTTTTTTTTTTTTCTTTTTTTTGAGACAGAGTCTCACTTTGTTGCCCAGGCTAGAGTGAGTGCCGTGGCGTCAGCCTAGCTCACAGCAACCTCAAACTCCTGGGCTCAAGCGATCCTTCTGTCTCAGCCTCCCAAGTAGCTGGGACTACAGGCATGCGCCACCATGCCCGGCTAATTTTTTCTATATATATTAGTTGGCCAATTAGTTTCTTTCTATTTATAGTAGAGACGGGGTCTCGCTCTTGCTCAGGCTGGTTTCGAACTCCTGACCTCGAGCAATCCGCCCGCCTCGGCCTCCCAGAGAGCTAGGATTACAGGCGTGAGCCACCGCGCCCGGCCTCTAAGTTTTTTTTTTTCTTTTTACAGTGGACATGTATGATTACAATCAGACAAAGCAATGAAGTTGCTTTGAAAAAGAAAGTACACCACCATAAAAGCCTTAATCTTAGTTATCTTTATTTATTTTTAATATCTTTATATTTTTACCTGAAAGAATGGATTTTTTTTATTAAAGGAAAGCATTTTCTTTAATATGGTGATTATGTTGCAGAAAACCTTGTCAGAGGTTGAAAGAGACCTGAAAAACTCTGAACCTGCATCTAAGACTCAAACCAAAGGGAAAAGGATGGTTATTCAGGAAGTAGAAAACTCCGAAGATGAAGGCGGGAAGGGCGACGGAGAAAAACATGAAGATGGCAGTGGAGACAATAGTAAAACATTTTTTTCTATTTTGGTTACGTAAAGAACTGCCTTTCTATATGATAAGCTGGCTCAATTTTTTATTTGTACAGACATTCTTAGTCTACCAAGCTTTATCTAGCTTTGCCTTGTGAATCCACAAGCAAATTTAGCTCATCTTTTTAATGCAGCTTAATACAACCTCTCAAACCCATTTTCCTTCTTAACCTGTCACCTTTTTTCTAGTGCTCAATTCCTGATTATCACTTTTAAATGTAAATGGCTGTGTCTGTGTGACACAAACCATTTGCAGGTCAACCTTAGAAATCTCTCATAGGTGATTGTTTTTTTATCTATCTACTTGATTGCAGCAAATGCATTGGTTTCCAAGTGGGTATGGGTATGGGTAGCTCTCTCTCTATATATGACTAAAATGAATGCATTCCTGGAAAATGTTCTTTCTTGATGTATATTTCATCTGCAGTTTTAATGAATATGTATTTTGCTGTTTTGGGGGTGGGGTATTCTATAAAGGTCAATTAGAACCAGTTGGTTGATGGTGTAGCTCAGTTCTTCATCCTTGCTTATTTTCTGTGTACTTGTTACATTCCTAACAGAAAGAGGACTGTTGTAGTTTGTAGTTGTGGATTTGTCCAGTTGCCATTTAGTTCTATCACTTTTTTGCTTCATGTGTTTGGAAGTCCTGTTGTTACGTGTACACACATTTAGGGTTGCTGCGTCTTGTTAGTCAATTGTTCCTTTTATCGTTATGTAATGTCCCTTTCTATCTCTGATAATTTTACTTGCTTTTAAATCTACTTTTCCTGACATTAATATAGCTACTTCAGTTGTCTTTGGATTCATATCTGTATATATATATATATTTGTCACACATTAAAGTGTGCTTCTATATCCTTACTCTTACTTATAATTGGTATGATTACCCCATTAACAATTATTAATGTTTATATTTAGGTCACAATATCGATATGCTTGTATTTAGGTATTATTTTGTTTTTCTGTTTTTTCTACTATTTCCACTTTCCTATTTTTTAAAATTATTATTTGGCTTGAATATTTTTCAGTTTTTTTATTTTAGTTTTTGATTGAGGCTTTTTTTTAAACTGTATTTGTTTGTATATTCTTTTAATGTTCTCTCTAGGGATTTAAATATACATATTTAACTTTCCACATTCTACTTAGAATTAGTATTTTACCACTTAAAGTTAATGTAAAAGCCTTGCCACCATATAATTCCCTTTACCCTACATGGGAGGTTGAGGCAGGAGGATTGCTTGGGGCCAGGAGTTTGAAGCTGCAGTGAGCTATGATTGTGCCACTATACTATAGCCTGGGTGACAGAGTGAGACATTGTCTCAAAAAAAAAAAAAAAAAAAAAAAAGGAAGGGAAGAAAAGAAATCTGGTTTAGGATTGTTATAATATAATATCATTTAGCAGATTAATAAGATGTTTCTCTCTGAATTAAGCAGTTGTCTTTAAGGTGAGTCCCATAGAGAAGCAATATTCCCATTTAGCACTCCAAACAGCCAGAGCTTTAAGAGAACCATTCTGATCCTGTCATTCATGTCCTGCTCCTTCATAATTATTTTACAGATTAGGGAATATATAAAATATATAAGATTCAGAAACCAAAAGTGTCTCGCTAGAAAGAATATAAATTTTGGGGTAGATGCCCAGTAATGGGATTGCTGGATCAAATGGAAGATCTACTTGTGTTGCTTTAAGGTATCTCCATATTCCTTTCCACAGAGGCTGCACTAGTTTGCAGTCCCACCAGCAGTGTGTGAGTGTTCCTCTCTCTCTGCCAGGTGCAGCTGTGTGTGCCTATAGTTGCAGCTACTCAGGAGCTCAGGAGACTGAAACAGGATGATTGCTTGAGCCCAGGAGTTTGAGCCACATCTGGGTAACATAGCAAGACTTCATCATCTCTTAGCAAAAAAAAAAAAAAAAATATATTATATTATATATATATATATATATATATATATATATTAAGACCAACAAGTTCCCTTTTATCAGGAAAGCAAATCAAGATAAGTTGGAATAAATGTCTGGAAATTGAGAAGTAATCTTTTCAGCCTAAGAAGAAATGAAATTAATTAAACTAGCTTATACTCACCTCTACCAAGTTACGTTGTTAGATGTAGTATCAAAAGAGGTCTAGAGCCTTCTCTCACTTGAAAAGTGAGAGAAGTAACCCAACTCACTTTTAGGAAAGAATGTTAAAGCACAGATGGAAGTTATCAATTTGGAATCTTTGCATATGCTTCTCCATCTCACCACATTCCAAGAAAGAATTCCTGGTCATTATGGGGTCTGTTCCAGGGAGCCCCCAGGGCCGAGGAAAAAGGCATCAATTTGTGTTTTGTTGGCTGATAATGCTGCTCCTCCATGAGCTCCACTCCAGCTGGCCAGGCCCAATTCCTCCAGACTGAGGTATAAGATAACCGATGTATTTAATTTAACAACTGACAATTAGTGAGTACCTACCCTGTGTCAGGTACTGAGGTAAGACAACTGACAGGCTTTTTTCACCTCTCCTTCTAAGGACTAATGTTAAGAAATACCTGTCTGTTTGCCAGGATGATTAGATCTGGGAATTTGAGTTTGTGGGCTTTCTCTTAGAAGCTCCTCATCTATTTGTGTTTTCCTTCCCCAGTAGAGATCACTTAGAAGGAGTGGCCATCATCACACACTGTAGCTATCAGGGACTCTGGTATTTATTCCATCTATCTCCTTAAAGAGTCTGTGAGAAACAGAGGGAAAAAACAAGCATTTAACCCCCTGTGCAGTACTGTTGCTTATTTCCCACTTAAAAATGAAATCTAAGAAAATTAGTCACTCACAAACAAAAGAATAAAATATATTAATAGATAAGTATCTCTCTTGTCCTAGAATTGGCAGGAATTACACAGGGACTTCTAAGAATTAAATAATAGACAAAATTGTAAAGAGAAAGGTGAATAATTTTAACTATGCAAAAATGAAAAATGTGTATCATAGGTATTATAAAAAAATCTAAAAAGTGAATGACAAACTAGGAAAAATGGCAAAGGATTGATAACTTTATAATATGAAACGTCTTTAGAAAACAATAAGAAAAGAATGAAGAGCCTGTATAAAAGTGGGCAAAACATATGAACAGAGAAACCACTAATGAAGAAATATAAATGATCAATACATTTTGTATTGCTAGTGAAAATGAAAATTAAATATACATTATTTTTTCTCCTAGTACATTGGCCAAGCTGGAAAAAGAGAGTACCCTTTGTTTTCAAGGGTGAGGTGAAATAAGCATTCTTTTTTAAAAAATTGAGATATATTTCATATATCATAAAATTCATCCTTTTCAAACTCAGTGAATTTTAGTACATTCACAAGTTGTACAACTATTACTACTATCTAATTCCAAAACATTTTTATCATCCCCAAAATGAATCTCATGCTCATTGCTTCTCGAACTTTTGGCTGAGATCAAGTGTAGAAATCTCATATTCATTAGCAATTACTCCCCATATTACCCTTTCCCTAGCCCCTGGCAACCACTAATCTCTTGTTGCCATGGATTTTCCTATTCCGAATATTTCACGTAAATGAAATCATACAATATGTAGTTTTTTGTGTCTATCTTCTTCCACTTATCATAATGTTTTATTTTGTTTCTTTTGAGACAGGGTCTTGCTTTGTTACCCAGGCTAGAGTGAGTGCTGTGGCATCAGCCTAGCTCACAGCAACCTCAAACCCCTCAGCTCAAGCAATCCTCCTGCCTCAGCCTCCTGAGTGGCTGGGACTACAGGCATGCGCCACCATGCCCGGCTAATTTTTTCTATATATATTAGTTGGCCAATTAATTTCTTTCTGTTTATAGTAGAGACAGGGTCTCGCTCTTGATCAGGCTAGTTTCTCCAACTCCTGACCTCAAGCAATCCACCCGCCTTGGCCTCCCAGAGTGCTAGGATTATAGGCGTGAGCCACCAAGCCCCGCCTTAACATAATGTTTTCAAGGCTCATCTAAGTTGCAGCATTTATCAGTACTTCATTCCTTTTTATGTATAAATAATACTGCATTATATGAATGATACCACATTTTCTTTATCAGTTGATAGACAGTTGGGTTGTTTGTCCAGTTTTTGGCCATTATGAATAATGCTGTCATGGACATTTATATACAAATTTTTGTGTGAATAGATGTTTTAAATTTTCTTGGGTATATATTTGGGGGTGGAATTGTTGGGTTGTATGGTAACTCTATGTTTAACTTCTTGAGAAACTGTAGATTGTTTTCCAAAATGTCTACACCATTTTACATTCTCACCAGCAATGTATGAAGCAATTGCTCCACAATCTTGCCAAATTCTTCTTATTGTCTGCCTTTTTTGATTACAGCCATCATAGTGGGTGTGAAGTGGTGTCTCCTTATGGTTTTGATTTGCATTTCCCTGAGGACTAGTCAATATAATTAGTTCTCAGGGAAATAACCCAATAATTGGGGTTATTATACATATGATTTATAAATTTTGATTTGTAAATTTGTAAATATTCCTCCCATTCTGTGTGTTGTCTTTTTAGTTTCTTGATATTTCCTTTCATGCACAAAAGTTTTAATTTTGATGATGTTTTTGATGATTTTGATGATAATTGTTTTTTCCTTTTGTTGCTTGTGCTTTTGGCATTATATACAAGAATCCACTGTTAGGCCGGGCGCGGTGGCTCACGCCTGTAATCCTAGCACTCTGGGAGGCCGAGGCGGGCGGATTGCTCGAGGTTGGGAGTTCGAAACCATCCTGAGCGAGACCCCGTCTCTACTAAAAGTAGAAAGAAATTAATTGACCAACTAAAAATATATATACAAAAAATTAGCCGGGCATGGTGGTACATGCCTGTAGTCCCAGCTACTTGGGAGGCTGAGGCAGGAGGATCGCTTGAGCCCAGGAGTTTGAGGTTGCTGTGAGCTAGGCTGACGCCACGGCACTCACTCTAGCCTGGGCAACAAAAGTGAGACTCTGTCTCAAAAAAAAAAAAAAAAAAAAAAAAGAATCCACTGTCAAATCTAAGATCATAAAGATTTACCCCTATGTTTTCTTCTAAGATTTTTATGATTTTAGCTCTCATATTTAGGTTTAGGTCATTGATCCATTTTGATTAATTTTAAATATGGTTTGAGATAAGTGTCCAAGTAGGTTTTGTTGGTTAGTTTTCTGTTTTGTTGTTTGTTTGTTTTCAGTATGTGGAAATCCAGTTCTTTAACCATTTGTTAAAGAAACTGCACTTTCCCTATTGAATAGATGTGACACCTTTGCCAAGCAGTTGGCCATTGATATATGGGTTTATTTCTGGATTCTCATTACTATTCTAGTGGCCTATGTGTATGTATGTCTTTATGCTATCACCACACTGTTTTGATTACTATAGCTTTTAGTAAGTTTTGAAATCAAAAAGAGTAAGTCCTTCAATTTTGTTCTTGTTTTTCAAGATTGTTTCTGGCTATTCTGGATTCCTTATAATTCCAGGATTGGTTCTTCCATTTCTTCAAAAAGTTTTCATAGGATTGTGTCGAATCTGTAGATTGGGTAGTATTGACATCTTAACCTTAACAACAATAAGTCTTCCTATCCATGATTACAGGATGTCTGTAAGTCTTTAATTTCTTTATTTAAGTCTTTAATTTCTTAAAGCAATATTTTGAGTTTTCAGTATATAAGTCTTTATCTCCTTTGTTAAATTTATTCCTGGTTATCTTATTCTTTTGGATGATATTATAAATATAATTGTTTCCTTAATTTCCTTTTTGCACTGTTTATTGCTGGTGTATAGAGATACTGATTTTTATGTGTTGATCTTATACTTTGTAACTTAGCTAAATTTGTTTTTTGCTCTAATAGGGTTTTTTGAGGGGAGAGAGTGGATTCTTTGGGATTTTCTATATATATAGGATCATGTCATTATGAATAGAGATAGTTTTACTTCTTCCTTTCCAATATGGATACCTTTTATTTCATTTTCTTGCCTAATATATAAGGCTACAACTTCTAGTACAGTGTTAAATAACATTGGTGAAAAAGGGCATCCTTTTCTGTTGTTGATGTTTGGGAGAAAGCTTTGATTCTTTCACCATCAAATATGATATTAGCTGGGGTTTTTTCATAAATATAATTTGTCATGTTGAGGAATTTCATTTCTGTTCCTAGTTTTCTGAGTGTTTTTATCATGAAAGGGTGTTGGATTTTTGTCAAATGCCTTTTCAGCATCAATTGTGATGATCATGTGGGTTTTGTTTTGTTTTGTTTTTACTTTTTCTGTTAATGTGATGTGTTGGCATTGATTGATTTTCTAATGTTGAATATGTTTGTATTCCTGAGATAAATCACACTTGGTTATGGGATGTGATTCTTTTAATATGCTGTTAAATCTGGTTTGCTAGTATTTTGTTGAAGGTTTTTGCATCTACCAACTTCCCAAACTACCCTGCCCAGGGCTACACTTTGGCTATTCCTTCTTTTGATATTTGTTATTGCTGAACTCCTTTCTTCCCCAGATACTCTTGGCTTCTGAGGCAGTAGGCTCTCCTGGTTTTTCTCTCATTTCTTGGCACTCCTCCATCCATACTGGAGAGTTTTGATCTGCTCATCCTTTAAGTGTTAGTGTTTCTCTGGGAAAAGTGTTTTCTGAGTCTTTATTTATTTATTTATTTTTTGAGACAAAGTCTCGCTTTGTTGCCCAGGCTAGAGTGAGTGCCATGGCGTCAGCCTAGCTCACAGCAACCTCAAACTCCTGGGCTCAAGCGATCCTACTGCCTCAGCCTCCTGAGTAGCTGGGATTACAGGCATGTGCCACCATGCCCGGCTAATTTTTTCTATATAGTTTTAGTTGACCAATTAATTTCTTTCTATTTTTAGTAGAAATGGGGTCTTGCTCTTGCTCAGGCTGGTTTCGAACTCCTGACCTCGAGCAATCTGCCCGCCTCGGCCTCCCAGAGTGCTAGGATTACAGGCATGAGCCACCATGCCCAGCCTTTTCTGAGTCATTAAAGGAGTGATTCTGTCCACACCCAAATATTTATATGCTGGCAACTCCCAAGTCAATGTCCCTGGATGAGGCCACTCCTCTGATCTGCATATGGAGCTACCTCCTGAACAGCTCCTTTGCATTGTTCCATGGGCAGCCCAATACTCACCAACACCCAAAAGTCTTTCATGTTTGGGCCTCTGTTTACCTTTCCAGAGACTCTTGTTGTTCAGGGCCATTTCAATCTTAAGGAAAGAATGCTTTGCATTCAGTTCAAATCTGGGTTATGTTGGTTTACACTTTCCTTAGCTTTTTCCTTGTGTCTCTGTTGCCTTGTTTATAAAGTGGGAATGATAATCCCTGGTATTAGGATTAATGAAAATGTATGTAAAGGTCTTGACCCATATTAACTTTTAAATAAACAGCTATTTAATGATAGTATTGGTTAGACATGAGGGGATATCATGCAAGGGATCAAAAATAATACCATATTGACCACTGTTTCTACTGACACTGATTTGTGCTTTCATCCAGTTTATAGTGGAGGGCTTGAGTAGCAGATATCAGATGAAAAGTGGGGCCTTGCTCTAATAATCTACTGAGTCCAATCTGGGGATTTATCTCTATAATAAAATAATATTTTTATTATTTTAATAATTAAACCTCTTTTGGTTGGAGATCCACATTGGATGTGATTCTGCTGTGTAGAAAACTATATTAATTAGCGTGATTTTATACTCAATGTGATCTCACTGACTTTCACTTAGATAATTGTGGTTTTCTATTCTCTTTGTGCTTTAAATCTTGGCTTTACCATTTGTGGACAAGAATGGAAAATCATTAAGAATCAGATTAGAATTTGTTAAAGAGAAAACTTGGAAATCTCTGTATTTAAGTGCTTTTTAACAGTGCTTTGAAATGATTAGTTGCTTTGTGTTAAATAGTGATACCATCAATAAAATATTAATACATAATTTTCATATTTAAAAATAGTAGATCCAATAATCAGTTATTAAAGCTATTAATACCTGTAATCTTTCAATCAAAATCAAAGGAATTTTTAGTTTGAATTAGGCATTGGGGTGGAAAATTTGCTGTTTTTAAAACTCCCATTAAAGTTTAAAAACTAGGTGCTTATCTTATGTGACTTCTTTCCTAAATTCACTTTAAAATGACTTAAAAATCACTTTGACTTTTTTTTTCCCAAATCTTTTCCTCCTATTCCTTTAAAATAAGGAAACAGTGGTCCCAACCTTGGGTGCAGTTACTGTATTCATCAAGTTTTAGTAACTCCATTTATTCATTGATTCATTCCTAAATTGTAAATGGAAGGAAGAAGTACGCATTCTGTAAGATCTACCTGAGCAGGTATGGCCTGATTTAGGGAATGGTTAGAAAAGCCGGTTTTCACGTGACAAGACCTTCCGGCGTTTGAGGAGTTAAACACGGGTTGGCTTCAGTTCGGAGCCGCGGAGCCCTGTCCTCAGGCGGCCGCAGGGACCCCGGGCCGCGCCTGCCCCCGGAGGTCTGGAGGCCGCCGCGCTCCGCCCGCGGGGGTGGCGCCGGCCCGGCTTCCCCCGCGAGCCCGCCCCCTGCGCCGGGCACCCCCCGCGGCCTCCGCGGTAGTTTCTCCTGATGATGCAAACGCTCACTTCCCGCACCCACTTCCCCACAGAGGCCGCCGAGCCGCGCGCCATGGGCAACATCCAGAAGAAGCTGACGGGCAAAGCCGAGGGCGGCAAGCGGCAGGCCCGGGGCGCGCCGCGGCGGGCCGGCGGCGGGCGCCGGCGCGGACAAGCGGGGCGGCCGCGGGCCTCGGCGACGGCGGGCGGCGGCGCCAACGGGCACCCGGCAGCGGGCCGGTCGCTGGGGACCCCGCCCGCCGCCCCGGCCGGCCCCGCCGGCCTGAAGACCCAGGGCAACGAGCTGTTCAAAAGCGGGCAGTTCGCCGAGGCGGCCGGCAAGTACTCGGCGGCGATAGCGCAGCTGGAGCCCGGAGGTAGGTGTGCTGCGCCCCGCGACGACCCCAGGCCCCTCGGGCTGCGGCAGGTCACCGGACCTGAGGGGGCCCCCGCGGGAGAGTCACTAGCCGCCTCCTGAATGACAGGCCTTGCATCTGTGCATTCTTTCCTGGTGATTAAAGGCGCTGTGCGACTTGACCTCCGTGAACAATACCTTGGAATGCGGAGCATGTGCCCGGCCAGGCGTGTTTGCATCTGTCCCTGTGGGATTTTCCCTCTGTGGCCATTGCGGGAATAGACAGCTCCTCGGAGCTCTGCATGATCAGCAGTCTGTAGGACTGCAGTGCCACTGGAGACCTCAGTCTTGCAATTCTGGTGAACTGTGATCTTGCTAATGGATTTTAACTGTATTTAATTAAATGTGATTTTAGGAAGTGAAAGTGCAGATGATCTAAGTATCTTATATTCAAATAGAGCAGCATGTTACCTAAAAGAAGGAAACTGCAGTGGCTGCATTCAAGATTGTAACAGGTAAACTGCACGTTTATCAGGTTTGTCAAGAGATTGTTATAATGTCATTGTGATGAATGCAATGTTCAATAGCCTCCTAAATTTTCTGCATATGGGTCTAATTTCTTAAAACAGTTTTACGGTATGTTAATACTTAAAAATCATGAATTTGTGTCTCACACATATGAAGACTGTTATAGAAGATTGTGCAAGCTTTTTTCATTTCCACTGCTACCACCCTAATTCATGCTCTTCTCATATCACTCCTAGACTACTGGAAAAGCCTGATAACTAGTTCCAATCCACTGTGGCATCAGAATAATGTTTCCTGAAGCATTATTTTGCTCAGATTGTTTCAAACAGGCCTTTCATGGCTAAGTATTGTCTTCCAGATAATTGTCTTCTCTATCACCATGTTGCCCCCCAAACAAATTTTTGCTCCCATTTGGTCCACTGGACCACTTCCTTACACTTGCCCTGTTCTTTGAGGCTTTGCTGTCGTTGTCCCCAGTGTCTGTAGTGCCCTCTGCACATCTTGGCTTCTGAAATCCCTTCTCAGCTGACCCTCCTCTCTGCCTTCCTGAGCGCCCCAAGCTTCCTGGTCATCTCAGATCTGTAACACCTGCACTGACACTTGGTCACACCTGTGGGTCCTGTGTTATCCACTGCAGTGGATTTAAACTCCTTGAGGTCAGGAACTGTGTCTTTTCTTTTCTTTTCTTTTCTTTTCTTTTCTTTTCTTTTCTTTTCTTTTCTTTTCTTTTCTTTTCTTTTCTTTTCTTGTTTAATTGACATATAATAATTGAACATATCTAGGGGCTATATAATGGTGTTTTGATACATAATATTTAATGACTAGATCAAGGTAATTAGCATATCCATCACCTTGGATATTTATCATTTCTTTGTGTTGGGAACATTCAATATCCTTTTAGCTATTTGAAACTATATATTATTGTTAACTATAGAAACCATGCCTTATACAGCTTTCTATTCCTCGAAGCACAGTAGTTACCCATGATACTCAATAAGTTACCTGTCTGGATGGATAAATATATTTACATAAATAAAATATAGTTTTCTTTTACCATTAAGTATCAAGAATAAGCATGCTTCAGAAGCCTTTTGGCAAGAAGCTACCGTTAGTACATCTAAAAATAAGTTATATCCTGCCTTGATTAACAGTCCAGGTTTATTCCTCTTATATAATAATTAATATTATTCTCTAGTTTAGACTAAATTATATGGACACTGTTTATAAGGTGAGCAATTTATTTATTTCATTAGCAATATCAGTTTATTGATCTAGGTAAAGCTTGCTTGTATATGTGCCTACATTTTAAAAAGAAGGCCTTGAAACATTTGGATTTTTTTGCCAATTTTACATATTCAAATGTAAAATAAAAATATATTCTCTTTGGCCTGACTTTAGACCCTGTTCATGGTTATGCTGGCTCACACTAGCTAGCTGTTACATTTTTGAGATTCTGGTTGATGTCCAGTTGATAGCTTGAAATCTGCCATGGTAGGATACCATTTAATACCATGACAACTGGCAAAATGCCACAAATCTGGGCTTTTTTCCTTTATCAGGAAATTCCTAAACATATTTACCACTGCTCATAACGAACTGAGAAGACCATGTGAATTTCTTGGCTACTGGGAATGTGGTGATTTACAGCCAACACCCTTTCAGCCAAGTGTCTGTTTCTAATGTTTACTACATTGCCCTCGGATTTGTCTTAGGCCTTCCCTACAGTGAGTGAGGTTAAAAGTCTTTAGTTAAAACTTCAGACCCCTACAGTTAGGGCTGCTGCAAAACAATGGATTCACTTTGTCCTCAAGTGACAGGGAGTGGACACTGACTGGCTAAAATCACTGTTTAACAGGACCCAGGAGGAAGCCAAGTATGGGACTCTAGCCATGGTGTCCCGAGAGTCTGGGATGGGGGCTGGTCCTGCAGGAAAGCAGGAGATGGCCTGTGAGGGAGTGAGCCAGTGAGGGAGGTGGGTGTCAATTTGGGTAGCTTGTCCTTAGATAAGAGCTGTGTTCTAGGCCAAGGAATCAGGCTGTGCTGGTCTGTGCTGACCGCCATAGAGACCGACCTACTTAGATGTTTTCTTTGATAGCTAGCCTATGACTCCTCACACAAGGTGTGGAGGTAATGCCCAGTGTAGGGTGATTTTACTCTAAAGCAGTGATTCTCAAGCTTGTTTTAAAGCCAAAGAAGCCATAATGTGCTTTGTGAACCTGTTGAAATATGGATGTATTTTAATCTGTATGAACTAGGAATAATGTATTAGCAGAAAATATGACTGCGTTTTCTCTTTCACCTCAAAAACATTGCATACATGTTAAAGGATACTTATTTTTTCAGTTTTTCAGTTAATTATCTTTGCTCTTTGGGAAGTTCCATGAGCTCTTATTACCAGACAAGCGGTATCAGTAGTCAAACATTGAAAAAGGAAAAACTCATGGAGGCAAAATTTAAAATAAAGGAAAGGGAAGAAACTTCTACCTACGAAAATAATTTTTTTTTAGAAATTTTGGGGGGAAACTACTATTTGATTTTTAAATGTCTAACCTCTGAGGAGTGTGAGTGTTTCCCAGGGGTGTGTTTGGATAGTGGCCCTTGGGCAAGCAGGGGACCTTTGAGGAGCTGGGGCGGGGTGGGGGTGGGGGCAGGGTGGAAAGCGCTTCTTCTGTCCTCACCACAGCATCTGCCCAGCTCTCTTTAGGCCTGCAGGTGAAACATGAGCGAAAGTGTGAAAGCCATTATTCTAGAAATTACTTTTCGTCCTCATACTTGTTTATCAGCTAAAAAAAAAAAATCTTTACTTCTCCCAACTGTCAGAGAACCTTTTTGGTTTATTTAGACCACACCAAAAATCTTTGGGTGACTTTCCATTGAAGACATTTTGACAGACTAAAGACAAATGAATGTTACCCTAGTAATTCTTCACTTTTTTGCTTATCTTTCCTACTTTCTGACAGATTCGAAACTAGAAGACTCTTTAGGGTTTTAACTGTGTTAATTTCAATGGAGAGCCTGTTTCATAAGCTCTAGTTTAAAAGTTCTCTGAGTTTATTTGTTTTTATGAATGGGTGGTTTTTCTCCTTAATGGAATTTCCATTGAAAAGCTCATTTTCATTTTCAGGATCGTGCTTAAAAGGAAAAAACAGAAAAACAAACAAAAAAACCCATTGCATTTGCTAGGCTAGATAGTACTAAAAGTTAAATGCATCATCTCATCAGTTTTAGATCCCAAGCTTGGCTTGGGGCCATCTTGATTGGATAAATGACACCTCAGGCGTTGGAAGTCCCCTGTGAAGTGAAGAGAGTCGTGGTTGTGAGAGGGACTCATTTACAATCGCTGACATGGAGTTAATATCCCTTAAGCTAGATTTAAGGCAGTGGTGGAGATAACAGACCTCTTGGATGTAGTATTTTAAGTATGCTTACTTGATTTTAATTTTATTTGTAAAATAACTTTTACTAATTACAGAAGTAACACACACCTATTATAGAAAACTTTAAAAAATCAGCACACTACAGAGAATATCATTTAAATCACTCACAATCCTAATACTTAGGCAGAGCAAAACTATTTTTCAGGGAAATGAATCTAATTAGGTTTAATAGCATTTTCATACTTGATCTTAGCAAAAGGCTGAGAAGTGATGTGTTTAATAGCATTTTTAACTCATGGGACAACATCCAGAAGGGCTCCCACAAGGACAATTGAGTATCTGTATACTGTGGAGGAGTGTGATGACTCTGGCAGATGACTCAGAGTTCCTTCATTTGCGGTGTTTGTGTGTGTGTGTGTAGGAGGGAGAGAGTAGGCTCTGAGGGTTCAATCAGGAGTTTGCTGAGTGCCTTTTATGGCTGAGGTGTCGATCTAGGACTGGGAATATCATGGGGCTGTCCTGAACAGGTGATGCACTTACCTTCATGACAATCACATTGGAAATAACCGACATGTGGGTGCATCACTCCCTGTATCTATCAGTTTCCTCCCCTGCCTAATGAACATATTAATATTTACCTTACAGGTTTGTTGTAAGATCAGATAAGAAAGTCTGCAGTGTCTAGCACGTAGCAGATACCCTATCAGTGCTTCTTCCTTACCAAATAATTGTAGACAGGAATAGACAGCAGATTTCTAAGACTACTGGGGAAAAAAAAAAAAAACAAGTTAAAGCGGCTCTCGCTTATGCTTTCCCTGAGGCAAGTTAAATATTTGATATATAAAATTGCTTATATCATGAGTTATCATAAAGAACAAACCTGTAATCTCCAGTGTAGACAGTCTAGTGCAGGTGCTGGTGAGTAGATTATGTAGAAAGTAGGCTCTTCGTAGGACTTCTGCATGGAAGACTTCTTTACAGTTTCAGGTGATTTTGTTAAAACCAGCATTATGATAGTTTTCTGTCATAAATACAGATGGTCCCCAACTTATGACTTTTTGACTTTATGACGGTGTAAAAGTGATACACAACCGCAGGGTTTCAGTCTTCAAGCACTGGTGATTCTTTGACCAAAGAGTCTCTGGGATGCCTTTTTGAATTATGATATTTTCAATTTATGATGGCTTTATCAGGATGTAACCACATTGTAAGTCAAGCATCTGTACGGTTTTTTGATTGTTTTATTTCAGAATATGATGAAGTACATTACACACTGAAATTGCTTTAAACAGTTACTTCAAACAAAACCAAGAACACAATCTTGAAATGCATCTTTAGTGATATTGAAAACACTTCATAGACTAAAAAGTGCAAGATGAAATTGATGACTTGTAAGAAATCATTGTATGTTTAGTTCCTTGATTTCCTTCTGGCTTATTTTTAAAGCCCTTTTGCAGCAAGTAAATCCTAATGAACTGTAATAAATTTTAGAGTGCTGATTTGAAAAAGGTAATGCAAGTTTTCATGGTTCTATACTAAGGTGCCTTATTAAATACATAAGTGCAAATAAGAATTTTCTTTTCTTTGTTTGTTTTTTTTTTTTTTTTTTGGAGATAGGATCGCACTTTGTTGCCCGGGCTAGAATGCAGTGGCTTCATCAAAGCTCACTGCAGTTTCCAGCTATTGGCTCAAGCTATCCTCCTGCTTCAGCCTCCCAAGTAGCTGGGACTATAGGTGCACACCACCATGCCCAGCTAATTTTTTTATTTTTTGTAGAGACAGGGTCTTGGTATTGCCCAAGCTGGTCTCAAACTCCTGGGCTCAAGCAATACTCTCATTTCAACCTCCCAAAGTGCTAGGATTACAGGTGTGAGCCACCGTGCATGGCCAGAATTTTCTTTGTAATTTGTCAATAACAAGAATCTGTTCAAACCTTCTGTGCCTGGTCCATGCTGGGCTCTTTCAGGACATTGGGTAGGCTGCCAGGGAGCTCACATCTTAGTGGGGAAAGAGTAAATGCCAGGTGCTTTGATACTGGTTTAAAAGAGAGTAACCAAATTTGGTAACTCTGCTGCTCTGGGTTTGCCTTTCTGGTATTTTGCTAGGTGCCCAAGATGAAATGTCAGATAGGTATAAATTTGTGAGTCCAGTACTACAGTATATATTCAGCTTAAGCATAAATTAAAGAGTAGTTTGCAAAACAAATGATATGTAACTTTTTTTCTTCTTTAGGGCTCTGGAACTTCATCCATTCTCGATGAAACCTCTTTTGCGACGAGCAATGGCCTATGAGGCTTTAGAGCAGTATGGGAAAGCTTACGTGGATTATAAAACAGTGCTGCAGATAGACCGTGGAGTCCAGCTAGCAAATGACAGTATTAACAGGTAATCTAATGTAGGCAGCTACCTACAGTCTAGATGTTTTATAATGGAATTAGATTTTGTTTTCCTTCCCCTCTTTCAAGAACATGTCAAAGTGTAGATGTGTTCCCAGCTATTTACATAAATGATTGCCTTCTTTCACTCCATTAAACCAAGTGGTTCTTTCTCTCTAGCTTAATTTCTCACTGTCCCTTAATACATTTTGAGTTGTTCTCTGGCACCTTTGTATTTCTTTTCTGGATCATTTATTACTGTTAAGTGAATATTCTTCTTTTTTTCTTAATAACACAGGTTATAGCTCATATGTGCTGCTTAAATATCTGTGGTGATAGGAAGGTGTTTTCATTGATGTCATAAATCAGTAGTAACTGTAGGACAAGATCCAAAAATGCAGTGAAAACTGCCATGTTGGATCTTCTCCTCCTGCAGGGATTTACAAGTGTTCATTGGCGCCATATTTGTCAGTGGAAACATCTCTATTGTTTCTCCTCAGGAGAATGGATGTCTACGTGAGCCTGCTAGATATTTGTGTTATATGCCCTTGTAAATAGACACTCACCTAGGATGAGTATTAATTTATAATGGTGAAATAGCAAAGAATTTGGACCTGATTTATTTTATGAACTATTTACTCCCCGAGTGAGAATGGGAAGGTAAGAGCTTCCAGATTTCATAAATTGCTTTCAGGTGAAATTTGAAAATACTAGTTATATAACATTTCTAGTTATGTCTGATGTTTTCTGATCTCATTTGCCCAAAGTGTAACTTCTGAAGTGTTTATGTGTTACACTGTCCCCTGTGCCAGTCTGGCATACCCTGTCCCACTCCCTCCAAAAGAGATGAAAGGGGAAACAATGACCCATGGTCTCTGTCTTTAAGCAGACTAGCATATAGCTGGGGGAAAACTTAATGTAAGACAGGTTGTCCCCAGCTGGGAAAATTATTAGTAAGGTGGGAGGGATCACAGGAGGGCCAGGCCACCTTTGTCTGTGTGGACTGGGGTGGTCTCAGAGGGAGCACTTAAGGTGGTCTTTGAAGGGCGCTGATAGAACATGAGACCTTGAGCAAAGTTGTAGAAAACGAGAATGGCATGTTTCACATTAATTTATTTTTTTTAAATCATGCCTTACCTTCCCACATGGTCCCAGCCCACTTTGGAGAAAACTGTTGGAAAGATGTGCAAGCAGAGCCAACAGCTATCCCCTGGGGCTTCCACTTGGTGGCTGGCTACATGGAACCTGTCTAATACCAGCCTGATACCAGAAAGGGATAAATACCCGATATTTGTGGCAGGGTGGGACGCGACAGAACCTCAGGCGTCTGCTGCCTCCTTGGTCTTGAGCTTATAAAATCAGGCCACCTCACCTGGTGCTGCATGGCCGCCTCTCCGCGTGTCATTGGCTGCCTCCTCTTACTCGCCTGCAGGCCTTTCCCCTTTTTGGGTGGATAATTCCTTCTTGTCCTTTAGGAGAGGACTTGCTGCCTCTAGGAAACGACTTTCCCTGACCCACTGTCTTTCTCCACCCTACCCACACACCTTGGCTCCCTTTCTAACACTTCCATATTACCCAACTTCCATACTATTTTTACATCCTCTGTCTCTCCTGTTTTGTAAAATTCTTTCCCTGTCAGTCTAGTGGATGTTCCTTGAGGTCGGAAATTGTGTTTTATCCATCTTTGTAGCTGCAGTGCCTGGTACACTATATCCTCAGTGAAAATGTGTTGGATGTGTACATTCTTCAACAGGGAAAGCATGGTTTAGTCACGTGCTCTGAGGCTTTGCTTTTAACTTGCCCATCCTCTGCCTGGTTGTTTTCAAGGTACGGCTGGAGAAAGTAGGATCTTCTCACAGGGGTAGAGGCTCTTGTGAAACATAAAGTATCGGGCAGAGAGGAGGGGCCTGATTAAAGAGTATTTTAAAAATAGTAGGCTGAGTGGTTTAAAGGGAGAAATGTGTCTGAGAGATCACGATTACTCATATTTCTAAACATTTTGCATTATACTTTTTAAAAAAATTGAGGTAGATTTCACGTAACATAAAACTATTAATACTTTAAAGTGCGCAGTACAGTGGCATCAGTACTCACAGTGTGGTGCAATCATCACTCCTCTCTAGTTCCAAAACATGTCCAGCACCCATAAAGGAAACCGGGCACCCATTAAGCAGTCACTTTTCATTCTCCCTTCCCCCAGCCCCTGGCAACCACCAATCTGCTTTCTGTTTCTGTGGATTTATCTATTCTGGATATTTCATATCAACTGAATCATGCAATATATGACCTGTTTTGCCTGGCCTCTTTCACTTAATGCTTTCAGGGTTCATCCATGATGTAGCAGGAATCAGTACTTCATTTCTTTTTGGCTGAATAATCCATTATATGTATGTATATATATCACAACTTGTTTATCCATTCATCAGTTGATGGACATTTGGGTTGTTTCCACCTGTTGGCTATTGTGAATAGTGCTGCTATGAAGAGTTGTGTACAAGTTTGTGTTTGAGTCCCTGTTTTCAGTTCTGGGTGAATACCTAGGAGTAGAATTGCTGCGTCATATGGTAATTCTATGTTTAAATTTTTGAGGATTGTATTATATTTTTATATGTACTCAAGAAGGTTCTTTTATAACAATTGACTTTTAAGACTCAGTCATTTTTTTAATTGAATGGTTCTTGTTGCTGTCTTGTTGATGAGGAGGCTCTGTCTGGTTTTGCCATAAATATTTTTTTAAAAAATATCCATTTTCTAAAATTTCACTATTCCTTTTTGTGAATCCCATATTTATGCTTGCTTTTCCATCTATTCCAGTTCATTATGGAAAATTAAGCAGCAGCAGCTTATTTTATTTTTTTTTAATTTAAACATCTGTGCTTATTTTGTTTCTGTCTTCCATTAACCATATTCCTCTCTTCCTCTCCAGGAATCTTACATGTTAAATTTCTCTGCACATACTTATTTACTCCCTGGCAACACATCATCTCTTTTCAGCTGCTTCTTCCTTCCTCTCTGCTGGTAATACAAGTTTTGCTTGAAAATTCTTTTTTCTAAAGCTTCTTTTTCTTCTGCAAATGTGGGTAGTTACACATTAATTTTACAAAAATGTATTTTTTACATTAAAACATGAAATTTAATTATAACCAAAGATTGCTATTGAAATTTCGGTTTAAGAAACTATAGGAAGAGTATGTGTATTATATTTGTCTATATGTAAATATAAACTTTTTTTATACAAAAAGTATATGAGACTACAGAATTAACTAACTTCGAATGTATTCTACTAATTACCAGTAAACCTTCTCAGTCTTGGGAGAATCTTTTAAAACCAGATTCATCCCAAAGATGGAATTCAATTTTGTTTTTAAATTTAAGTTTGACATTTTTATATATTTAAATTAATGAGAAAGTGATAATTGAGGGTGTTAATCTGAATTTTATGATGGGCATTAGTAAATGTCATTAATACAAGGACCCCTGTAGTAGAGACTAGTATCCTATTTTTTTCATCTTTATTCATATTGAAAAGATAAGTGGATAATTTTAGAAGTGAAAAAAATGCAAGGTAAGAAAGAGTATCTTAACCACATGTCAATGTTTTAAGAAAAAGCAATATTCTAGGACAGTTAACACTCATCCATTTTAGCAACCAGTTTTGAACACCTGTTTTCATCCACTTTAGTGTATAGTTTGGGCACAGAAAGTCTAAAGTACTTCTGATTATTTTCAAGAGTAATACATCATCAATTTAGTAATTATATTAAATATTACAGGGGGCATTTCTTCTAAGCCTCCAAAATTTTAATTGTATATTTTACTTTCTCAAAGATTAAAGATTTTTTTTAACAAATTAAAAATATCTCATTTTTTTCTTTGCTCTAAAAAATATTCTAAGTTACATTATTTATGGCAACTTTTAAAAGTCCTTTTGAAAACATTTAGTTTACATGGACAGAAGATTGTGTGTTTCTCCAAGGAAGTACACATATGCATAGCATTTGTAAATCTTACTCTTGATCTGACTTTCAGTAATATGAAAAACAAATTGCATGATAAATAGAGAAAACTCATTTTCCCTTTAGAATAACAAGAATCTTAATGGAGCTGGATGGACCAAATTGGCGGGAGAAACTGTCACCCATTCCTGCTGTGCCCACTTCTGCACCACTGGGAGCTTGGCGTCCTACAGCAGAGACAACCTCACAGCAAGTGGGACATCCCAGCAGCCATCACCAGCTGGGCATGACAGGTGGGGGAAGCCTACACTCATTTCTTCTGAAGGTGATCTTTTGCTGTGTGCATACTTGCACGGGAAAGCAGAGATATAAGAGAATGAACTCTGGCTTTGACCTGGGTTTAAGCCAAGTCACTGTTCTCCCTCTTTTTAACTACATGGTCTTAAGAAGCTGCTTCATACCTCCCATGTCCTAGTGTACATGAAAGCAGGGAAATATAATATTAATAACTGTCTCATGGGGTGATTCTCAGAAATAAATGAAGCTATGCATATGAAACACTCAGCACATACGCTGACTGTGGAAACCAATAGGAACCTCTTAATAAAGATTAAGTTAGCATTATTTCTAGTAAGAAAAAGAATTAAGTAGCATATAGCTCTATAGTAGACCGTGTATGTGATGAGGCTAACGGAATAAGATTGATGTATTTAAAATAATAAAACAAAATTAAACCCCACAACATAAATATAGTCATGTACCACATGATAATGTTTTGGTCAGTGACAGACCACATATGATGGTGGCACTGTAAGATTATAATACCACATTTTGACTGTACCTTTTCTATGTTTAGACACGTTTATATACACAAATACTTAACACTGTGTTACAATTGCCTACAGTATTCAGTACAGTAACATGCTGTACAGGTTTGTAGCCTAGGAGCAATAGGTCATTCCATGTAGCCAAGGTGTGCAGTAGGCTAGACCATCTAGGATTGTGATGATGAAATTGCCTAACAATGAATTTCTCAGAACATATCCCTGTGGATGAGCAACACATGACAGTATACAGTAGGTACTTCTGCCTTCTGTCATAGTTGTTAACATATTTGTATTCCCATGGTGCCTACCTTATTACTTTGTGATAATAAGTATTTAATAAATGTGGCTTCACTCTTGCTTTCTGCTTCAAAGCCAGCTGAGGCCCCATTTCTTCCACAAGCTTAGACACTCCACATGTGTCCCCAGGATGGGCTTCATCTTGCAGATACCCTGAGGTCCCTCACCCATGACGTCCTGATGGCTAGCATTGGGCACTCATCCTCTTTATTGTCTAGGAAGAACATACAGGGAACATATACCAAGGCTTTCAGATTTAGCAGTCCTAGGAAAATTGTGGAGATCTCTAATTTTCTAGAGTCTGTTATTAATGGGGCCTGACACAAAGCATTTGCTTAATTAAGAGAAGCTATTTCTTATTAACAAAATGCATATATAGCTATGTGGTAGCAAATCGTAAGTATAATCAGCTCTTTTTGAATTTTTCTGTCTGTATTTGTTTGCTAATTATTAGTGAGAATGGATACCAAAGACATTGCAGGATAAAAGCTTGAGGAAGGTTTTTCAGCAAATGGGGGAAAAATCCTCTGTAATATTCTATTTTAGGGTTTATATACCAGGATTCAAGGGAAGTATCATTTGACCCCATTTTGTGAGATCTTTTGAAATATGAAACATAGGCAGAAACATTCTGTGATTTGAAGTAAAAGATGAAAAGTTAACCAATATTTTATACAATTTGTGCAGAAGAACAAATAAGATTGTTACTCACATTCCAAGTTTAATATTAAGTTAATAAGTATGAAATGTCCAGTGTCCTTAGTTTCCTAAGTTTAACAGTTGATATCTCTGACATTCCACTTTGACAGTTCTTGTTTTATTTTTATTGTGAAGGTACATCCTCAGTCTTTCAAACACATGTTTTGGCTTGTGATTATCTTTCACATTTTTTTTAGAGCTATTTTTGTGAAATCATGGATAAGTCAGAAATTTGTGTTAATTTCAAGTGAGCTCCATTATGGAACCAACGCAGCGCAGACAACTCAAAATATCACGAGGTGTTGGGGAAGGATGTGGCTAATGAACACACAATACACTGATGGTTTGAGAAGTTCCATTCTAGTGAATTTAATCTTGAAAATGAGCCATGTGGGCAACCTGAGACCAAGGTGGATAATGGTGAGCTGAAAGCTGTAGTAGAAGTGAATCCATCTCAACCTATGTCTGAATTAGCAGCAAGGTGTGATGACACTATTCCAACAATATTGGACCATTTGAAACAAATCAGCAAGATAAAGAAGCTGGATAGATGGATTCCACATGAATTAATAAGCATCAGAAGAGAAATCGTCTTGAAACTTGTCTTTCTTTGCTGTCACGACGTAAAGGTGATCCATTTCTACACCACATTGTTATGTGTGATGAAAAATGAGTCATTTTTGACAATAATTAGCATTCAGCACAATGATCAGATAAAGACAAAGTACCAAAACACAGTCCAAAATCGAATGTTTATCAAAAAAAGCTAATGGTGTCTGTTTGATGGTCTAGCACTGGTATTGTCTACTATGGCTTCATGAAACCGGGCCAATAGATTACTGCAGATGTCTACTGCAACCAGTTGGACAAAATGATGAAGATGCTTGCGATTAAGCAGCCGAAATTGGTAGTCAGAGACAGGCTAATCCTCTTGCAAGACAACACTTGACCACATGTTGCACAAACAACACTGCTCAAACTATAGAAGCTGGACTTGGAATCTCTCTGTCATCCACCATATTCACCAGACCTTGCACCAATTGACTATCCTACTTCTGCCAGGCTTTGGACCACTTCTTGCAAGGAAAAATATTCAATTCTCAACAAGCTGTGGAAAATGCCTTTCACATTTTCATCGCCACTCACTCTCCAGGCTTCTTCAATGCTGGCATAAACAAGCTACCATTAAGATGGCAAAACTGTGTTGACAGTTTAGGCACACACTTTGATTAATTGTACTGCTTGTCGTTTGAGATATAATAAACTACACTTTTGATTCTAAATCAGACATTTCATATTTAACGACCTAATATTATAAATTCAGTATATCTATGAGAAGACTTTTAGGTTGCAGAATTTAAAGGTATATGTTAAATTTTAATTTATGGATTTTTAAAACATAACAAGCTACTCTATAAAGGTGTTACATAGATTTAAAACTTTAAGTGTTAATATTTTGTGTGTTTGAAAACTTTGGTTACAAGTAATAGAAAATCTGTTCCCTTAAATCCTACAGGGCAGCATTGGCTCATGTAACTGCAAGGGCCCAGACGGACTCTGAGATCAGGCACGGCTCATCAGGGCTCAAGCTGTAGCCAAAAACAGTAGAACTGTGGCAGTTTTAGGCTTCACATTGCACATATCAACGTCCAAAGGGAGACAGACACCATTGCTTTTGGTGGCAGTAGTTCAAGAATGAGGAAATATGTTGCCTCAGAGCCCAAGCTTTTTTATGTTATTCTAATGGCCTAAAGTGGGCCCTGTGCCCATTCCTAAGCCAATCTCTTTGATGAGGAAATGCCATGTACTACTGGCTTAGCCCTGGTTTCTTTCTGATCAGTGGGGTCAGCTTCCCTTGAACACAAGGGCTGAATGGGAGAGGGGTGATAGCTGAATGAATACCAAGGTTCTCTTAGGAAGGGAGAAATAGATTCCCATTCCAGGGAGTCAGCGATGTTCACTGTAAGATAGTAAGAATAGTTATGTAATTCTGGATGAACAGTTGGTGCTCTTTGATTACATAACAGAATGCCCAACTCTTAATGCCTTGGGCAAAAGGCCATTTATGGACATTTACTGTGGACAAGTCCACAGGGTAGAGTAGCTGCAGGGATGGCTCGAGTCAGGATTTAGAGACCCTTCGGCTTTCCACTTGGCCTCTCCCTTGCTCTGTTGTTGGCCTCATTCTTTTTTTTTTTTGAGACAGAGTCTCACTCTGTTGCCCGGGCTAGAGTGCTGTAGTATCAATGTAGCTCACAGCAACCTCAAACTCCTGGGCTCAAGCGATCCTACTGCCTCAACCTTCCGAGTAGCTGGGACTACAGGCATGTGCCACCATGTCCAGCTAATTTTTTCTATATATTTTTATTTTGCCAATTAATTTCTATTTTTTTTTTTTTTTTAGTAGAGACGGGGTCTTGCTCTTGCTCAGGCTGGTTTTGAACTCCTGACCTTGAGTGATCCACCTACCTCGGCCTCCCAGAGTGCTAGGATTACAGGCATGAGCCACCATGCCCAGCCTGTTGGCCCCATTCTTAAGATCCATTTTCCCTTTTTATCACAAGATAGCAAAATAGCTTCTCCATTTAACCTCAAATTCCATGGAAAGAGCAAGAATTACTTTACAAGAATCTGGCACAAAAATCTTACTGGCTCTCAGAGGCCCAATTCTGAGCAATCCCTTAGATTATTGACCATGGGACTATAATGTGCTAATTAATAAAATGAAAATTATCCCAAAGGGTAAGGTTCAGATGAGGTTTACGTTACCTCAACCACAGGAGCAAAGAGTGGAAAAGGTGTGATTTCCCAAGGAAATTTGGGGTGCTGGATAGATGTCCACTTCAGATTTTAAGAGGTTTGTTTATTCATGATTCATGAGATAGTCATTGAGTCAAACACTGTAGATGTTTGTGTCCCCATTTCATCGACTGATTCTGTCATACCTGCAGCTTCACTAGAGGTTAAAGTACCCTTGGTACAGCTATATAAGTGCTACTTGAGGCAGCATGGATTGAGATGACAGAAGACACTGTTAGGCTTGCTTTAACAGCCATATTTGAGACCCTGCCTCTCATCACAGAGTGTCGCCTGTGTCTTGGTATCCTTGCTTGGCTTGATTTTCTCCCTCTCTAAGGTGGTTCTGTCCTCTGTTAATATGTCCAGAATCCCAGTAGAGGAAAGAAGGCATGCCAATATGGATAAAAATGACAGAATTACTTGCATTTTATTTTCTAATTTGAAAATAATAGTGTCATATAATTATTTTTACTTAGAGCCAATTTATCTTTTTAATTTATCTACAAAGTTTTGTTCTGTTTAGACATTAGCTCTAGTTAATTTGCGATAGAAGATTTACTTATGCTGTACTTAAGATTTTATAGAGGTGCTTATATGAATATTTCCTCCCTTTTTTTGGGGGGGGGTCCCATAGATGAAAAAATGTTTACAGCCCTTAAAGAAGAAGGAAATCAATGTGTAAAGGACAAAAACTATAAAGATGCCATTAGTAAATACACTGAATGCTTAAAGATTAACAACAAGGAATGTGCTATATATACAAACAGGCAAGTTCTTTATAACTTTATATATTTCTTATGTTGATAGTTTTGATTATTAAAAATAACCATTTATAATAAATTATTTAATTAATAAAATTGTTTAATTGCCAAAGATTTTTGTTATGGTTCTAGAAATTTATATACCAAGTTGTCTTAAGTGAGTGTTTATGAAAGAGGTGGGCTATGGGAGTTCTGGAGAGAGGAGTGGTTTGATATAGTCTATGTCACCAGGTTTTCTCATCTTTGGCTGCTGCTGCTCTGATTCAGCATTTCCTGGCCTGTCTGGCCTTGCTGCAGCTAGCTGGGCCTGGGCACTGTCCAACATGGGAGGAGCAGGAGCTGATGCCCTTTCAAAATAGTGTCTTACAGAGCAATGCCTTGCTGCTTCTGAAGTGCTGAGGGAATGGACCAGCATGTTTTATAGTGTGCAGTAGGAATGGGCAGATTGTTCTAGAATGCTGCTCGGGTGCCATCTTTAACACACAGGGTAACGGATAGCTATATAGAATATGGTGATAGAATAATGGCAACCTTTTGCCAGAAATGTCACTAAATCCAGGAGATATTTTTCTGTCCTTCTCCTGTTCAGCCTCTGTGGAACGGGGCATTATTAGCCAGTCAGTTTTCCCCGAAAACCCCTTCTCTCCTTGGCTGCAGTGGCAAAGAACTCATTGCCTGGTTATTCTCTTCTCCCCGTTGACTTTTCTTTCCCTGGTATTCTCGGAGTTCTGAAGGTGTAGGTCCCTTTTTTGTTCCACATCCTCTCAGGGCCATTCCATCCTTTCCCCAGCTCCATTTACCACCTTACAGTGATGTCTCCCAAATCTCTGTCTTCTGAGTTCCACTCCCAAATGCTCCCTTCTCTTCTGCACTGAGGGCTGGTTATCATCCCTGACCAAGACCTCCTGCCCTTAGAAATCCCTCCAACACCTTAGAAATCCCTCTTTAGTGTGACCATTTCTGCGCACCCCCTCTGTTATGCCCCTGCTCTGGGCCACTGGCATCTCCTAGATGTCTGCAGCACCCTCCACGCTGTCCCTGCACAGCCTTGCTCCCTCTCGTCTCTTCTCAGTTGCAGAGTGATCTGTCTAGAACACGGTAAACAAGTCAGTCCCTATTCAAAACCTGTCCTCAGATTTCTGTTAGGCTCAGGATAAAGTTTAGCTTTGTCATGATTCACAAGGCCCTTCATGATCTGGCTTGCCTACTCTTCCAGCTTCATCCCTGGGCTCCAGTCATATGGAGCTTTTCTTTTTTTAAAATTATTTATTTTTTAAAAATTTTAAATCAGCTAATTTCTTTATATTTTTAGTAGAGACAGGATCTCGCTCTTGCTCAGGCTGGTCTCGAACTCCTGAGCTCAAGCGATCCTCCTGCCTCGGCCTCCCAGAGTGCTAGGATTACAGGCATGAGCCACCTCGCTCAGCCCATATGGAACTTTTCTTAATTCATCAAGAGCACCATGTTCTCTCCCACCATAGATCTATGCCCTTGGCCTCCATTCTCCCCTATCTCCATCTTAACTCTCTCAACCCAGTGCCTTTGCATTGGAGATTTCTCACTCCACACTCGAGTTTCACCTTAAATGTTACTACTTTTGGGAGGTCTTCCCTGACTGCTCTGCCTCTTGCCTCAGTCCCACTGGGTCTGGTGTGGTTCTGAGCTGTGTGCTTCCAGAGCACCTTGTACAAATTTTACTGTGTGTGCTTGTTTTAATGGTCTGTCTCCTCCACTGTACTATATCCTCCTTGGAGGGGGAGGGCTGTATATTATTTGCAGTTACATCCCCCGTGCTGTAATTTCTTGCGTTGCAAGAGAGTGCCATTATTGGAATCAAATGTTAAGTTTCAATTGAAACAGCTGTAGTATGGAAAAAGATTTACTGAGTTATTTTCTGATTTTTCTTAGTTGTCTACATTTCTAGATATCTTTACCTTTCTTAATACTGAGTTCCATTACATTATGCCAGAGCTCTCTGCTACTTGAAGCTGTGCCAGTTTGAAGAGGCAAAGCAGGACTGTGACCAGGCACTTCAGATAGATAACGGGAACGTGAAAGCTTTCTACAGACGAGCTCTGGCTCACAAAGGACTCAAGGTGAGTCCACATTTTAATGTGGAAATTTTAGTTCTGAACAAATCAAGTGGTTTTCATGAACATAAACCATGATCATGGAATGGGAGTGAGATTATCCTGGGATTTAATCTTAGTGCTATACTAAGCAGTTCTAAAATGTTGGAATAGGCCTCAGCTTTCACCCCTAATTATAACATGGAATTGGATGATTTCTAAGATTCCTTCCAGCTCAAAATTATGATTTATTCTCTAATTTTCCAAGGAGTATTAGGAGTATTGTTAGTTATAATAGGTTCACTTTAAGGGACAGGATGTTTTGTTACTGAATTACTGAAAGCCATCGGCAGTGCTTCTGGTTCCTCCAGCAAGGATTGGGGTTGGGGGGGGCGAGACATCACATTGGAAGATGGATCATTCAGTAGAAGTTGGTAGCAACACATCAGAGATTTGAAAGCTTGTCGTGATCTAGGCCTTCTGCTGGCTGATGGTCAGTGTGAGACTACAGAATGGTATTCTTCTCCAAGAAAACCACACCATTAGTTTAGAAGAAAGAAGGTACTGTATAATTGTACTTTTCTTTATGTAGATTCTTCTGCATGAAAATCTTGAATGAATGTTCACATATGTATAAAATAACATCATAAGGACAAACCAGAACATATTTGAAAACAGCATTTACTAAAGTAGTTTTTTTTTGAGACACAGTCTTGCTCTGTCACCCTCAGTAGAGTGCAGTGGCCTCATCGTAGCTCACTGCAACCTCAAACTCTTGGGCTCAAGTGATGCTCCTGCCTCAGCCTCCCAAGTAGCTGGGACTATGCAGGTGTCTGCCATCACACCCAGCTAATTTTTCTATTTTTAATAGAGACAGGGTCTCACTCTTGCTCAGGCTGGTCTCGAACTCCTGAGCTCAAGCAATCCTCCTGCCTTGGCCTTCTAGGTTTTGTAAAAAAAAATTATTAAGGTCTAATACAATGAAATTCACACATTGTGAGTGTGTAAGGTCATTGACTTTTGATATCTTCTTATAGCTACCATCCCAATCAAGATCAAGAACATTTCTCTCTCTCTAGAAAGTTCCCTGTGCCCCTTTGAAATCAACTCCTAACCCCAGGCAGCCATTCATCTAATTTCTATCACTATAGATTAGATTGGTTTGGCTTCTTTTTGACATTATGATAAATATAATCATATAAAAGGTGCTCTATTCTTTGGCTTATTTTACTCAGCATAAGCTGACATTCATCCATTTTGTGTATCAGGAATTGTTCCTTTTTATCACTGAGTTGTATGATTACCACAATTTATTTATATATTCACCGCTTGATGCCACTGAGGTTGTTTCCAGTTTGGGGCTATTATGAATAGAGTTGATGTGACATTCTTGTACACATGTTTTATGGCTTTGTTCACAAACTGTACAGCCAGATGTGGGGGGAGGGGTGGAGCTTGGCAGGCCATGCTGAGGAGGCCGTGCTTGACCCTGAGGGTGATGGGAGCCCCTAAGGGGGTAAATGGTGGCATGAGGGTCAGATTTCGGGATAACATGGAAGGTGTGTCAGAGGGACCCAGCTTGGAATAGGAAGATAAGTGAGAGTCCACCAAGGTGAGAAGCAGATGCCTGAAGGAAGGTAATGGCTGAGGGAGGAGAGAAGATATATTAATTTGCTAATAACAAAGTGCCACAGACTTGGTGGCCTATATAACAGAAATTTATTTTCTCACAATTCTGGAGGCTGGAAGTCTGAGATCAAGGTGTTCACAGGGTTGGTTTCTTCTTGCATATAGATGGATGTTTTCTCCCTGTGCCTTCATGTGGTCTTCCCTCTGTGTGTGTCTGTGCCCAAATACCCTCAGTACCAGTCACATTGGATTAGGGCCCAGCCCTAATGAACTACTAATAATTTTAACTTGATTACCTCTTTAAAGATCCTATCTCCAAATATGGTTACGTTGTGAGGTACTGAGGGTTAGAATTTCAACATGTGAATTTCTGGGGGACACAGTTTAGCCTCTACCAGAAGGTGAGGGGTTATTTCAAGGCTGGCTGATAGTAAAATTGACAGGACACAGTGAGCAGTAAAATGTCTGTGGAAAGGAAGGAAGGAGAAGCCTCCCTGGTTCCCGGCTGAGGTGGCTGAGTGGAGCAGTGTGATAATGGAGAGTGTACAGGGGTTAGGGACAAGTTTAGGGCTGGGAAAAGGGGTAGTTTTGCCCTAATGAGTTTGAGATAGTTCTTTTATTCCTTGCCTATCACTGACAGAAAAATATCTAAGTTTTCTTGGGAGGTAGTGGTCATGTTGTTGCATAGTATATGTCAGATAGGGACAATCTGTGTGCATGGAGTGATCAGGCTTTTGTAGATCACAGGCCCACTCAGGCCGCAGTGGAGCCATGCCTGCACTTCTTGCCAGGACACAGACACTGCCATATGACCCCCACGCCAGTGGAGCCAGGCAGCTGCACCATATTTACAGTGTCCGTGTGACCCTAACACCCCCACTCTCCCCATCTTTATTTTGTTAGCAACACACTCATTTGTAGACTTCATATAAAGATTTCCTACATGGTGTGTGGCACCACAAATTAAGAACCTTCTTCAAAATTTACTCAGCTCTTTGAGTGTGATGGATTTGGGTAAATGAGGGTAGATCTGCATGACTCATGAGTTTATATACATCTAAAATCTTAGAACAGGTTTACCTTATACTGACTGCCTGACTCCTTGAACCTGGTTAGCTAACTGAAAGTCAGAAGCTGTACCTAATGAAAGATGACTTGAATTTTATACTTCCTTGGAATGAATTCTAGAAATTATATGATGCAGAAAAATAGTCCCAAATTTGAGTAATCCTATTCCACTAGATTATGAGGCTGGTACCTTGTTTTTCTGGTTCAATTTTTTTTATAGCTTGATTTGTATGTCCAGTAGTTTAGGATATGTGCCAAGTGAATTTAATTTAAGGATCTTCAAAAGGCTACAACTCCTTACAGAATGTGTTAGAACTCATGCCTGGATGCATTTGCTCAGCAGGGCTGTAATGAGGACATGGCACAGGGGCTCACAGTTTGGAGCAGGTGCCCTGCCTTTAGCTCCCAGCTGAACACTTTGCTTTCCTCAGATCTTTTGTTTTCTAACTGACTTTAATAGTGGGTTTTTTTTGTGTTTTTTTTTTGTGCCAGTTTTGAAAACTATAGGCATTCTTTAATGTACAGCTGTTCTTCACAAGAAAAGATCACTAAACATTTTGTTTAATTTATAACTTATTTCTCTTATTGGGTGCCAGTTACATGCTAGGTGTTGAGAGTATAGAGGCGAGTAAGACATGGTGCTTGTTTAAGGAATTTACAACCAAAAGAGGATGTTACAAGGCCAAAAATATCAAAAAGAACTATGTACATTATATATCAATAAAAATATAAAAAAGAATATCTTAAGACTATCCTATAATTGCTTTTATAGTTTGAGCACATCTGTTAATAGGAAATATCGCAAATACATGTGATTATAGTATTTATAGTATATCATTTCTGATATAGCCTGATGAGGTTGTTAGAAACTTCTAATGCCCTCCTTTTTGCCAAAGCCACACTTTATCTTTGTATAAGCTCTGCTTTTCCCTCCACTCTGCATGGCTGGTTTGTCACTCCTCTGACAACTGTAGCAAAAGGAGATGGCTCCCTTGTTTGTATCCAGCTCAGCCTTTGGTTTTCTTAATTGCATCACTGACAATTCATAATTATTCATTTGTTTATACTTTTTTTTTTTTTATTGCTTCCCCTCACAGGACATTTGCGTCAATAAAGGGGAAGGCCCAAGTCTGTCTTTTCTGCCATGGTCTTCCCAGCTGCCAGCACACGGACGTGCTCAGTGACCATTTGTGAAGTGATGAACTTGGCCCCTTCTCTCTCACCGCCTCCTTGCTGTGCCCATCCTTCCTGCTGTCCTGTCCTCTCTTTACCCTTGTGTGCCTTTGTTAACACTTATTTATCAAAGTGTATTTCCTGTTTTCTTATGACTCCTCCAACCAAGCAAGTTGCTTTTTAAACAGACTTTCTTGAATACATAAAAGTGATCATATGGAACTCCTGTGATGTTAGACTCCACTTCCAAGGCCGTAGCCCACAGATTTCTATTTTCAGACCTTCCCCTTGAGGTGTATGTATTACCATCATTGCTGCTGGGATCATCCCAGAGATAATTTCTTTAGGCCTCAGTTTCTTCATTTTTAAAATGGGAACAATAAAAGTTAATATTTATAGGGCTGTTGTAAAAGTAATACCTGTAAAATGCTTAGCATGTAAGAGTTAGCTATTATTGCTCCCTCAACTTGCCCTCCTGCCCCACTCCCTTGCCTTTCCCATAGGTCCCCTGCTTAAAACACTTAGGATATAAATGCAGTGTCATCTTTCCCCCTAGTAGTTTCCAACTGCTGTTGTGAGACAGTGGTATGTGGAGATTTGTTACTAATAGTACATAATGTACCATAATTTGTAAATAATTTACCTTTTTTATAAATTAGAGCAGATTTAAGGTTATCTCTTTAAACATGCCATCTTGCTCTGGTGATGCTGGAAGGGGAGGAGGAAGGGATGTGTATGGCGTTACAGTTAGTCCCTCAGATGTCACCTGACCACTAGCTAAGCTTATCTGTGGCTCAGCCTCCAGTGCATGCTGTTATTGAGGTGACATAAATACTTAAGGAGGTTACACATCTTTGCCGCTTTGGTTTAATAAAAATATAGGTGTAGTCTGTAGTTTCTAGAACATGGCTTGTCACAGTAAACTGATTTTGTATAGTATCTGCCTCTGTTGCCATATTCAGTGGCCTTGTTTTGTTAATCTTAGATTCCATTTTCCTCCCTCAATTCCTCCAGTGTACTGTCTGACTCTTATAGAAGATTATATTGACTCTAGCCTATTTTGAAGAGTAAACAACTCTGAAGGATTTTATGGAACAAAAGTAATATAATTACCATTTGCATAGTTTTTTTATACATTTAAACCATATATTATTTATTCCTTTAATTCCTTGGAATAGCCTTGTGAAAATTTGCATAGAGTTTTAATCCTCATTTTAGACATAACAAGCCTGAAGCCCAGAAAGGTTAAGTAGAAGCTTGTTTGTTTCACTGCTAGTAGGTGCAAATATAAAGAGGTTCATTCTTTCATTTATTCATTCAGCAAACCAAGTGCCTACCTACCATGTTTTAAGGACTGGGAATTTCTGGTGATACAGAATTGAACTTGAGTTTTCTAATTCTGGATTCTGTGCTCTTTTTTCTATCGTGGATGTTCACTGTGTTTTGGGTTATAATATATTAGCATACTCACCCCTTAGGCACATTTCATAAGAGTGGTACTAATGGGGACCCCCTGCACACACTCTACACAACTCGCTTCATCACTCTCAGGCTAATCTAGGCCTCTTCTTTTATTTATGAAAATTATTTTCTCTGTCTTCTTAACAGAATTATCAGAAAAGTTTAACTGATCTCAATAAAGTTCTCCTACTAGACCCAAATATTGCTGAAGCAAAGATGGAACTGGAAGAGATAACCAGATTCCTTAATATTAAGGATAATACATCATCATTCAGTAAACAAAAGGAGAGAAAGAAAATTGAGATTCAAGAGGTATTTTTATTTGATTATCTTTGAAAGTATTCTTTTGGGGATCTTAGACTGGATTCTAAGCTTATATTTACTATGCTTTAAAAAACTTTTAAAAAATTTAAAATTTTGTTTGTATTCAGGTTAATGAAAAAATTTTATCCAGTTATAAAGACAAAATTTTTCCTTTGCAGTGGTAATTAGTCATTGTATTTCCCAATGTGAGTCTGTGGATGGTACTCGGAGTCCCTGCATTACTGAAGCTCTTCCTTTCTTTGCCCACCCTCCCTCTGGCCTGTGACTGTACGGTTCCCACTGCAGAGAGCACTGGGAGCCTGTGGCCATTGAGCTTCGTTTCAGAGTAGACCTGGAGGGTCCTGACAGGACTGATTGAGTTTCAGGGGCCCTGCAAGCCACACCTCATGGGATTTTCCAAATTCAGTCAGACCTATTTAGCACTCTGAAATAAGACTGCCTCATCGGAGATCTCAGTCTACCTCAGGATCAAACCTGCCTTTGTAATTTCAGATAACTCAGATGTTTTGCTTTGCTTTAGTGAAGAATGTCAGGTCATAATTCCTGTACATTTATGAATGCTAATATCATCCCATTTATAATCTTAACATTTACACTAAGAGTAAGAGGCTAATATGTCAATCTAGGCAGTTTTTTACTTTAAAGTAAGAAAAAGCTGTTTTAAGAGAATTGAAAAGTGTAAGCTCACTTCTTGGCTAAGGAAAGATGAAATTCTTGTAGGTTTTTATTTCATGTAAAAGTTTTATTCATGGAAAATTCTAAAAATAAAATTTTATTGTCATAGTTTCAATGTCAAATAGTTTTTTAAAACTTCACAGGATACTTTCATGAATTGGATTCTTTTTTTTTTTTTAAGACAGTCTCTCACTCTGTTGCCTGCGCTAGAGTGCTGTGGTGTAAGCCTAGCTCACAGCAACCTCAAACTCCTGGGCTCAAGCAATCCTGCCTCAGCCTCCCAAGTAGTTGGGACTACAGGCATGCGCCACCATGCCCGGCTAATTTTTTCTATATATTTTTAGCTGGCCAATTAATTTCTTTCTATTTTTAGTAGAGATGGGGTCTCACTCTTGCTCAGGCTGGTTCTGAACTCCTGACCTTGAGCGATCCTCCCACTTCGGCCTCCCAGAGTGCTAGGATTACAGGTGTGAGCCACCACGCCCAGCCATGAATTGGATTCTTATACTTTAAAACTTCTCTTCCTAAAAAATTATAGGTTTTACAATTTATTACAACTTACAGATTTTTCACTTAGAACTTGACTAAAATACAACTATTTGAGGTTTTTAATTCCCTCATTTTGAAAAATGTAACTTAGGATGTGTGTGGTGACTGCTGTTCAGTGTCTCAGTATATATATATATATATATATTTTTACCTCACGAAGGTGAATGAAAGCAATGAAGAGAAGCCTGAAAGACCCTCAGAGGAGGTCTCTGCTGCCTGCCTTGCTTCTGAGAAGGGAGACAAAAGCAACGGGCCACCAGAATACTCTGAAAAACTTCAGATCTCCAAGCCTAATAATGCCTATGAATTTGGTCAGGTTATAAATGCTATCAATACTAGGAAAGATAAAGAAGCCTGTGCACACCTTTTAGCCATCACTGCACCAGAAGATTTGCCAATGTTGTTGAGTAACAAACTTGAAGGGGATATATTCCTCCTCCTCATTCAGTCTCTGAAAAATGATCTTATTGCTAAAGATCCTTCATTGGTATATCAGCATCTTTTATATCTGAGTAAAGCAGAAAGGTTTAAGGTGAGTGGAAAAGTATTTTATTAATAGAGACTGATTTTATTAAGGGTTTCTGTAACTTAATGTTATTTATACTAATATGTTTTCCCTTCTTTCAGATGATGTTGACACTAATTAGCAAGGGCCAAAAGGAGAAAATTGAACAGCTATTTGATGACCTTTCAGACACATCCAACAACCATTTTACTTTAGAAGACATACAAGCCCTAAAAAGGCAGTATGAGCTTTAAATCAAGATTTTTCTTCCATGCATGTCTGTGTTCCAGTAATGCTAATGAAATGGTATTGTATTAGAGTTGCATGGATAAAGTCTGGCTGAGAAAAGATCCCTTAGTCTGGACTATAAAACATTTTACTTATTTTTATACACAGAACATGTATATTCTATAATCTGCTTTTTATTAGTTGTAAATATTTTCTTATGTGTCAGAGCCAACATCTTTATATTTAATAAGTATATTTGGACGTGTTAAAAATACATTTTAATTTATAGTATACATTTTCTTTTAATAACTCACCTGTTGAAAATTTGAGTTAAATTGCATTTCTTTGAGCTATGAAGGTGTCCTCTTAAATTTGACTGAATTTCTTTGTAGTTCTTTTTTAAAAGTGAGTCATTAACAGTGATTATTATATCACCTTATATCCTGCTGATATACATAAATCCCATTTTATACTAGTACCTGTGAGTCAATTAAAATGAAATATAACACTGAAGTCTGTGACATGAAATGATTAAATTGTGTTTATTAATTTAGAGCTATAAGATGAACTTTTCTAGTATGCCTAATTAAGAACAAAAATTTCTACCACTTTTTACTAGATTTCTAAAGGCCATTTTCCCTTATATGTTGCTTATATAAGTAAAAACAACCAACCATTATATAAAAGCAAAGTAAGCCTGCGTTTATATTTGAATTGTCATTCCTATATTTTCCCCAAAGATTTAAATGTCTCCCTCCTCTGTTTTCTGCTGTCGTGACTATATTTATTCTTTCACTGTAAAAGGGAAAGTGAATAACTCTTATATTTAAAGCTCCTTTGTTAACTGAGTCAAAGTAAAGGTATTTGAATCTCTGTCAGTATACTGTTATTTATTTGTGCAGTCTATTGTCAGTGCCCTTCTTCTGGAGCATTTTCTCGTTCATTTAAGAAGTGAGGATGAAAGACTAACAACACTTTTATTATTTTCATGTTTATTATTTTATCTCATCTTACAATTACAGAATATTTTCAAAATCATCATGGGTAAAGGGTACCTTTCAAACTGCTATTTCTCTTCTAAACTGTTCTTTCCTTCCTTCATAAGTGAAAATCTATAATGGGTACTTAACTCTAGTTTTCATATCAACAGGTTTCTCCTTTTTGATGTTATTAAATTTTTATAAAAGTAAATGATGGCTTGTGTTAGAATTCTACAAAGTTTATTTATAGACACAGGACCACTGTTTTCCTATACATAGCAACTTGAGATTGAGAGTAACTTTAGAGACACAGAAAGGAAACTTTTTCTTTTGTTGACAGTTACATACTCAGCACCTTGCACAATCCTGATATAGTGACTTTAATAACTGTAGGTGATCTTTTTTGAGCTTAGTACTAGACACTCTGTATAATTTATTGCACATTGTCTAACTTAATCCTAGTAATAACTGTTATAGATCAGAAAAAAACAGCACAGAGAAGGTGTGTAAATTAACATTGACTACAGATGTTGCAAGTGGTCCATCCAAGGTCCAAATCTGTGCAATCTGCCTTTTGAGCTCATCTACTCTGTGCTATGTGATGGAAAATATTAAATATATGAATGGAAGGTACCTGGCCTTTAAGAGTTACAGATTACTGGCCAGGTACAGTGGTTCACACCTGTAATCCCAGTGTTTTGGGAGGCTGAGGTGGGGGGGATCACTTGAGGCCAGGAATTCAAGACCAGCCTGGGCAATGCAGTAAGACCCCATCTCTACAAAAAAAATTAGCCAGGTGTGACTCTCCCAGCTACTTGGGAGGCTAAGGCAGGAGGATCCCTGGAGCCCAGGAGTTTGAGGCTGCAGCGAGCTATGATCACATCACTGCACTCCAGCCTGGGTGATAGGACCCTGTCTATAAAAAAAAAAAAAAACAGATTAGTGAATGGATATGTAAATTGTACACTAATAGAAGAATCTACAGTGACAACACAAAAGCAAGAGTGCCCAGGCCTGCCTGTGAGAGGGTTAGGAAAGGTTTCAAGAGGGAAGTAATGCCACAGCTTGCGTTTGTCATATGGACAAGAGAAAAGGACATGCCAGGCAGGAGAAACGATGCAAATGCATCAAGGTGCATATTTTTAAGGTACAGGTTGAATGAAGGTGTGGATAACTTGGCATGTTCAGGAAACAACATTTAATCTCAATATTAGTGGAACATGGGGTTTGTGTGATAGCTAGAACAGAAAGTTCTAGTTGCATGCCACATATAAAATGGCAGAGTTTTAAGTATACAAGTAGTTCTTCTGTGAGTCAGGCATTACCGTTCTTCACTAATAACCTGATTTTATTCCCCTTCTTACTTTTACTTGTTAGCTTTGTGATTGGGGCCACATGCCCAATTCTGCCAATAGAGTTTAGGTAGGAATGATGTGTCACTTCTGAGCCAGAGTATGCAAGACCTGGCACAGAACCCTCCATGGTCTTTTCCCTTGCTACAGTGACTGAGAAGACCTCATGTTCCAGACGGTGCAGTTATAGGATAATGGCACCTCCATCAGCCAGGTGCTTTGAATATTGCTTTGAAGCAGAGTCCTGCCAGTCTGCATTGGATATACAGCATGAACAAGCTTATGCTTTCTTCCAGAGATTCTGGGTTGTTTATAACTATGTCCAAGGACTTAACCTCTCATAATCTGTTTCCACATCTGTCCTATCTTCAGCCCTTAAATCTTTCCTGAACTTCAACCTGTAAAACCAAGTTCAAATGGTTCATCTCAACACGGATGTCTCACAGATATTTCAAATATAGTATGCCCTAAATAGAACTCTTTGTTCTCTCAAACTCAGGCTTCACTTATCCCATAGCTCGGTGAAAGGTACAAGCATTCACACACTGGCCTAAGAAACCTAGGCTTTGTCCTAAACCTCACATCTAATATTTCATCCAGACAAACTATTTATTATACAAACATAGCACCCCTCACCCAAGATCAACTGCTTTTGCAAAGGGTATCTTACCACATAGTTTTGGTGTTCTTGAGTTTATTTGTCTGACAAAAAATGTCTGGTTCAATTCTGTTTCCCATATTGCTCAGCAAAATGCTTAGTCCAACAAATGCTATAAATATTGGTTGAATAAAAGAGAAATCTTAGTAATTTTACATTTTGGGGTACATATATTACATAAAGTATTTCAGTGGACTGTTACCACTTATTATAGCTAGTTGATCTGCTGTAAATCATACATCTGAAAGTAGAAAAGTCTCAAGCATAATTCTATACAGAGTGTGGTTTATCACAGGCAAGGTTAACTCAAAGTTTCTAGACAAAATGGTGAAAGACAATATTAAAACAGAAAAGGAAAAGAAAGAAACTAAAGGCTCTGAAAACTATGTGAGTTTTTTACTAAGTGTAAAACACCTGATCAAATCACAATCACTTTGGGCTTAAATTTGCATATTTTTAAATGATTAGTAAATATCATCTGGACTAACATGTTTATTGTAAAAGAACATGAAAATACTTTCTAAGCTGTGTACAATATAAGAACCTATCATTACCTTTTTTGGCTCATAGACACTATGAAAGTTCCCTGGGTACAGAACTTGAATCTAGTCATTTTCATATTTGAAAATAACACAAATTTTTGACTTATCCACAGTTTCACAAAAGTGCTCTAAAAAAATGTGAAAGATAATCACATGCCAAAATCTGCATTCGAAAGACTGAGGGAGGATGTACCTTCATAATAAAAATAAATAAAATGAAATGTCAGAGATTATCAACTGTTAAACTTAGTACTTAAGGAAATTGGACATTTCATACTTAATAACCTAATATGTTGAGTGCAGAGATTAAGCATGAGTTATAGCAGAACGTGACATTAAAGTGATTTCAAATATATTTTCTTATGGTTGTTTTCCTGATACATTATGGATTTTGCTATCTAGAAACAGGATAGAGCAAAGTTCACTTAGAATTTGTTCTACTTTTTCCTATTGGCCTATAGGCACCACTCAGACCAAAAGGCACCTAAAGACTGATGTGCAAGTCACAGAATCCTGCCTCTCTGATTTCTCTACCAAGGGATGTCTATAAGGAGAAATCTCTGTCTCCAGAATATAGTGAATTTGGTCAAGTTTATAGGTTTTGATGCCTTAGGCCAAAATTCAAACAAAAGGTGGTTGAAGGCGAACTTATGGCAGAACAATCAATGAAAAACAAGCAAGAGACAAGAGTATTTGCCTTTTTCTCTGGGAAACTGCTTAAGAGCAAAGACTTTGGCATCAGATAAACCTGGAATCAAATCTCAGCTCTACTTAGGAGCTTCATGACCTGACATGACAGTCTTTAGTTTCCTCATCTGCAAAATGGGGATATCTTTCTAGCATTCAGAGTTGTTGTAATTTGTGGTTTGTGAAAAATGCCTGGTGGTTCTTAGTAAGTACCTTATCTTTCTTTCCATGTGTATAACTGCTTTCTTCCAGTAAGTGTAATGATCTCACCTATGTTGTCAGAAAAGGGTAAGAAAGCTCCTTTCAAATACTGTGGACACTTTAACAGCTATTTACTGGATAATAAATGCACATTATGACCCTTTCCCTCCCAATAGAAATAGCCAGAGAATTAGCTGGCCTTGGACCTCTGGTGCCATCTTCTGGAAATTAGTCATGTTACAGCAGCCAAGAACTTACTCCACAAGTTGAACTGCACAGAGAATCTATTTGTAATAGTAAGCATCTTTCTTTTCCACCTGTCACTGTTTTGAAGGTGAGCCAACACACACAAACAGTTGTACATTCAGAGTCTGGCATAGGCTGGTTGGTGCTTAGTAAATGTTGAATTAATGAATCTAGAGGACACTGTCCTATTAGTGCTCTTGTTTCCAGAGTTTAGATTAGAGAGTTCCTATTACTGAGAAGCTTTCAATGACACTAAATATTTCTCAGTCATTCTTGGAATGTTTGTATAGGGTCACTCGAAAATCTTACAGTCCGGGGGGCTGGGAATATAAAAATATCTCCTGTGATTCTTAGAAAGTTGGAATTTATGACCTACTGGCATAGAAGCTGAGTGTGCACTAATTAATATCTCAATTGTACTATTTATGACCCTCTGAATAAAGTATTGTGGACTGTAAATAAAAAAGGTAGCCTGCTTTACACTTCATTTGGAAAAAATTGGCAAGAGACTCTAATGGGAAAAAATAGCATCAACAAAATGTTCAAGTGTCAAAGGTATTAAAAGGGCCAACTAAAGTTAATCAAAAACATTTTCAGGAAGAGGTAAATCTAAGCTGAGTTTTGAAATGGACTTGGATCAATGAAAAGGAAGAGCTCAGTATGGCTGAATTACTTTACTACAGAATTTCCAATATCACATGCACTAGAAACTTTAAACTCAAACTTTAAAACTTTACCATTCTAGGTATGCTTCACTGTGGAGCAAAGAGAAACCAGACAGGAGACTTACAAAGCACCTTTAACTGATTTTCTATTTTTCCTTAGGGTTTTAATAGTGACCCAAGTCAAATCCAAAATTAGCTGAAAATTTTATCTTACTACCTGACCTCTTCTATGTCAGTTTCCCACCTATAAGATACAACCAATTATTTGCTATAATTAAGCAATGGGTTGGGAGGAGGACTACTTCAATAAACACCATTTTGATTGCAATTCATATCTGTACAAGGGCAAAGATTTCATTAGGATGGCTATAAATAAAACAGATGGGCAATAAGTATTGGTGAGGATGTGGAGAAATTGGAAACCACATATGTTGTTAATTGGAATGTAAAATGGTATACAACTGCTCTGGAAAACATTTTGGCAGTTTCTCAAAAAGTTATACAGAGTTTCCATTGGATTCAACAATTCCAAAACTCCTAGT